ATGTTGGTGCTCCAACGTGGCTGTTTCAGTGACGTTACATCGGTGCAAGCCATCTATAAATTACTATCCACAAACACTTCTAGTAAATACGTGTCCTTATAACATTATGCGCACGTAGTGTACGTGAAAGAACAAAACTCCAGAGAACACATGGGGTCGTTACCGGGTTTTCGCGAGTTGCCTATAGTGCTTTTCCATACTAAACAGTTTCTTGAAAAGATACTGTGACTGCGTTGAGCGCACTTCTTAAGAACCATCATGTCGGTATTATGCCTAAGAGAAAGGCCGACCACAGAGGAGGCATGGCTATAGTCGAAGCTGGGTGGAAGAAATCATGCTCTCCCCTTTTCTCCGCCACCCTAATCACACAGAATTTTCCGCTGTACGCAGCTGTCGATAAAACCACAATTCACGGGATTGAGCGCTATAGTAAAAAAAATTTGGCTTATACTTACCTCTGAATTCCCGACGGTGGTGCTGAACATTTGCGCATTAGGAAAGTCCGCCCGTTTCAAAGCAGCGCGGGCACTACTCGCGCAAATCGCCACAAATGTGCACTGAAGTGTAGCACGAGTAGTCGACAGTCGTGAGCTTTCGTAGCCCCAGAAAGAGAGCACAGACAGATTACGTGGCTGCAGTCCAGCACACTAAGACCGCCAACTGCCTAAAGCAATACAATTCAAGAAGCTTCAGCGGCGTTATCTCCGGTGTCGATCGCACTCGCTTTACTATGCCACATCCGTCGCGCCACAGTTTGTTGCACTACCTGATCTCGACCGCAAATGTAAAAGAGGAAGCTTACGCAGCATTTACTACTGGCATGTGGCCCCAAATAGTTCGCAATGATCAGCTTTCAAACCTGCCTCTGGCGCACTGCGAGGATGCGGCGCAGTCAACTTGCGTTGTCATTGCCACCATGTAAGAATAGACAAGTGCTGACACTGTCCCCGCAACGCGTCGAAAAGGGCAGTTTCAGCGCGTCCAGGTGATGTTCAGGCAGTTATCAGTTATCTCGCAGCTTCGTCGTTGCCTCCCTATAGATGGCGCTACGACGAGCGGGGTCGGTCGTCTCGGCAACAACGCCATGGCTAGCATGTGTGACCGCGCTGTTTTGAAGCCAGGCTTTCTTCTTCGGGTGCGTTTAATGTTATTCTGTCGATGAAGGTGACATCTAATTGCTTAGAGGTTCCCGAAATGGGATGAACGTGTTTTGTACCGAACTACCATTCTGGCTAGTGGACTTGTGTGGAGCGCGTGCCATTCTTCAAATGGCCGTGTGACAATGGTCATCTGGAGCAGTGGCGTTGTGCAATACCGAGGTCAGACCAAACTCAAATGCCTACGAACCATGTTCGCGCCAAGCAGTGAATACGCATGAAATACATTTCAGGGGCAGTAACTGTTTACTTGTAATAGAGGGGTAATAATGATTATTGGTGGTTTAAGTGTCAAAACCACAATTCGGTTACGAGGGGCGCCTTAGTGGAGGGTTCCCGACTAATTTTGACCCGGTCCAGGCCTGTTTAACATGCAACTACGTCTAAGCATGTGGGAGTTCCTTGCACTTGTTCCCCACCGGGAAACGTTTTTTTTATGAAGGCATAGCACACTGTCTAACGTTGTTTTAATTGTTTTTCCCTGCAGCGAAGAATGCTGTGAACATACGAAAATACTAGTGCGCGCGAGCGATACTTACCTTTGAGTATTCCCCGATCGCTCCGTGTTGACGATGTTCCCGCCCTGAACAAGGCATTTACGTGTTAACGAATCATCAAACCAGGTAAACATTTATCTTGTAACCTGAAATAACGAATTTCCTTCGCGCTCTGGGCGTTAGTCACACCATTTGTAACGAAAACGAAGGAGAGGCAAAGGAATTTCAATGCACAGCTTCGCTAGCTACGTTGGCCACGGCACCATCTGACGGCTCGGAGCAGAGTACGCCCAAGAGACCGAACATTATCTGGTTGCTCAGGCGCGATTAGCGTCAACACCTGAATATCCTTACTCATGCTTACACTGTGGCCATTGCTGCTTTGATAAGGACGCCTGTGAAAGGGGGTGCCTCTTGCTAAAAGGAAAAAAAATGAAGAGAGGGGGCATAGCAATGGGCGCCCTAAGAAGCTGACGACAGCGTGAAAAAGCCTGAGCACTCCCGTCCTTTGGCAGTATTTCTACTGGTCTTTTTTATTTATATTTTCCACGTCGAGGCCCAAATATTTTCCCGAACCTAAAATTGGGTATTGGTTAGTGAACCAGAGTTTTATTTTTAAATTTTAATTATTATTTGAGCAATATTTCTCATGTAAAAATGTTGTAGAATGTGAAAATTTATGGCGTATTCGTTTTCTTAGAAGACACGCGTGCCCCGTCGCGGTGGTCTAGTCGCTAAGGTACTCGGCTGCTGACCCGCAAGTCGCGGGGTCGAATCCCGGCTGCGGTGGCTGAATTTTCGATGGAGAAGAGAGAGGAAAATAACGCATACTCCGCTTCACACGGCATCACGCACGTCCTAGTTGGTTTTGCAGACTAGTGCTGCTCGTGTGTCAACGAAGCCGCTGCTGCAACTCTGTGTCATGGGCGTGGTGGTTTGTGTGCTCAGATTTGGGTGCACGTTAAAGCACCCCAGGTGGTCGAAATTTCCACAGTCCTCTACTTCAGCGTTTCTCATAATATAGTTTTGGGACGTTAAACCCCACATATCAACCAATCCAAAGACCCACATGATTTGAGATATTAATAAGACTTTCAAAACCTTCATCTAGGTCATATTGCCCCGCCACGGTGGTCTAGTGGCTAAGGTACTCGGCTGCTGACCCGCAGGTCGCGGGATCAAATCCCGGCTGTGGCGGCTGCATTTCCGATGGAGGCGGAAATGTTGTAGGCCCGTGTACTCAGATTTGGGTGCACGTTAAAGAACCCCAGGTGGTCAAAATTTCCGGAGCCCTCCACTACGGCGTCTCTCATAATCAAACAGTGGTTTTGGGACGTTAAACCCCACAGATCAATCAATCAATCTAGGTCATATCAAAACAATTCTCTGGGTGCGTAATAAAGGCCGAAACTGTGTTACGTCAAGCTGGAAAGTCACGTAACGAACGTAGAGAAAAGGCGTAACGCATCGAAATTCACCCAGGAAAAATGGCTACATTTCAAACAGTAAGTTCTTGCACCTTAGGTAACGCAACTTGTTTCCTCTAATAGTGATTTTCACTGGTGTACATATAAGTTTACTGGAGTTTGATAACTGATACACAAGCTTTTCTTCTTTTTTTCGCCCCGCTATGGCGGTATAGTGACTAAGGTACTCGACTTCTGACCCGTAGGTCGCGGGATTGAATCCCAGCTGTGGCGGCTGCATTTTCGATGGAGGCGAAAATACTGTAGGCCCGTGTGCTCAGATTTTGCTGCACGTTAAAAAACCCCAGGTGATGGAAATTTCCAGAGTCCTTCACTACGGCGTCTCTCTTAACCATATGGTAGTTTTGGGACGTTAAACCCCCATATAATTTTTTTTCATTTGATTGCGTGCCCTGCAGCAAAAAAGTATCATCCAGCATAAAATACTAATTGGGATGCAAACGGAGGTGTTTAAGTTAATAACTCGTGAAAAAAACACGCACAAATAAACGCGTAACATAAGCACACCTTTCTTTGTGTTTTCCAGCGCGCTATATGCATTACGTGACATACCAACACGCCCACAACGCTTTATATACATTACTAATAAACCGGAGTTTATTCTCTACAAAAAAGGTTCAGGAGACAGTTGTGGTTTTACACACAAACTCAAAAAATCATTTTTCACTTTATTTCGTTTATTGTGCTTTTTGTCGCCAGGGCTACGCAAGTCAATTTATTGGCATTGATGTTCTTATTCTTCAACAGTGAAATAGTATTTCATTTCATTTATTTATACTATTAGCCCAGAAGTGGGCCGTTACAGGGTGGAAGTACAAACAATTATTTGCAAAAAAGAAGTACCGTACAGGTCTCGAGATAATTTCTCGGTATTATTGTGACCAGCAACTCGAAGTTATACATAACATACATAAATGGAACACACATGCGATGCAATACATACGCGCAGAACAGCACATGACGCATTTGAGGCGGCACTTTTGCACCGCGCTGAAGATTTGAAAGACAACTACTGCAGAATCATGCAACCAACAAAAAGTACACACACACGCCAAAAAAAAAAACATATGTCACTGTTATTCGGAAAATAAACGTTTTAGATTCTGTTCAAATGATGTAAGCGAGGAACAACCAATTATAGACTCTGGCAGTATATTGTTATTTATCGAGAACTTTCCATCAATTCCGAAATGATTGATCAGCTATCCTTCCACAAGGTCAACATATCACATTTCATTTTAAGCATGGCGCGGAGACTGTTCCACTATTTTGTTTGCCTTGTTGTAGGTCACTTCATCAAATAAGTCTTGAAATCCCTATACGAGTTCACACAAAGGATACTCCGCAATGAAAACATTTTGGAATTGTGCAAACGTGCGTGAGTCACCACATAACAGCATTCACTCTTCGCGCTTCCCTACCCCACAGGACTAATCACTGAGGCTGTGTAAAGCCAAAAAAGGGCCAGGCCGAGCCAAGCCGGAGCCCCCACAGAGGTGGATCGAAGTCCACCGAACCCGGAATGCCTCCGCGAGCACCCGACGCAGCCCGCTCTTCCTCCTCGCTCTCCTTGCGAGGGTTTTTCATCCCGCGGCCTGTGAGTCACGCTTCCCCACAGAGCACGCTGGAGGTGGGGGGGCGTCCACCAAAACAAGCCCGCAAAAGAGAGTGGCGGCAGCAGCAGCAGCATCAGTCTTGAAGCAGGCGTCCTTCCCCGCAGAGAAGGAAGAAGTCGGGAAAGATAGGAAAAGACTGCATCCTCCGCTCCCGCTTCACACAGCATCACGCGCGTTCTAGTTGGTTTTGCGGACTAGTGCTGCTCATGTGTCAACGAAGCTGCTACTGCAACTGTGTACGTCATGGGTGTGGTGGTCTGTGAAACAGTGCGACCGGTGACAAGAAAGTCGTTGGTAATTGTGAAGTTGGTGCTGCTTCTGGTCCGTGGCCTTCATGACACCTGCCATGCTTTGGGTGAGTCAAGTTGACGTCATCTAACAGTAATATTCAGAGGCGAAGCTAGCAACGCGTCATTTGCAAGACTCAATTTATGAAGCATTCATTCAATCATACCTTTGTTTTCAAAGGCCTGCTAGCGCACGCATTATGTGCAAAAACGCTACAGGGGCCCATGACACTCTGTTTCACAAAGTGCTTTGTTTACCTACTCCTAGCTGAAGAACAACTGCCGCTCACTATTCGAATTCAGCCATGTATACGACAGAACTCTTCAGTATTTAACTGACAACTTATGGTTGCATTGTAGTTTTGTGAATAATATGTAAAGATTTCAATCACGGTAATCTCACACATCTAATAATAGAATAGTTTTATATCATATACAATCTAAGCTAAGACCTCTTAGGAAGGACGACTTTCTTGTATTCGCCGATATATTTCGGGCATTCGAGAGAAGCATCACTGTGTTGTATATGTAACAACTCATAACTTGAAAACAGTACGATACTGGCAATATATTAATATATGAGTACATTGGTGTAGCCAGGGGGCGACATACCGGGCCCGTGCTTTCCCCCTTCCCCATGAAGTTTTTTTTTTTTTTGTCATCGCATACGGAACATGACATCACACCCGACCGCATCTTCCAGCCTTCCCCCCTTCCCCTCTTTTCAGATCAAAGTGGTGCCTATTTCTGTCTACGCCCCTGAATGACAAGCGGTGTAGCCGCGAACCAAAATTCGCAGCTCAGCGATCTAAACCGGGACGCCATTTTTATCGATCCATGGTCTCCGCGGCCGAAACGTCCCTGTGATATTATACCTTGCCTCAGAGCTTCTCTGCAAGTGCTTGCGAAAACGATAACGCGGTAAACTACGCCAGCGCACGCATGATAACTCATGTCACGCACCGCTGATTAAAAATTGCATTAAAAAAACGATTCCAAGCAAGCACACCCTTTTTCGTGCATCAAAATGCAAGTATTTTTCTCTTCGCTGCTACATGAATGTGCCTATAACGCAAAGTCGTAACATTGTTAGCTTTATGTTCTGTTTTATTTATTTAAATCGCAAGTGGAAAGAGGTTATCCCTTTGGTGGTTTGATGAATTGCCAGACGGCTAAAATAAAAATGGAAGTAGACCCATCACGCTCTTAGCGACGGGTGCTAAAGTGCCCGTAACTTATAATCGTACGAAAAGTGATACATTATTTAGTTTGTTGATTCACACCAAGAAACCACCTGGCTTTCTCTCCAATACTTCCACGCCCCTCCCACCCCCCGTGAATAATTTCGAAGGTCCGCTACAAAAACAGCAGTAAGTTGTTGTTGTTGTTTTTTTTTTTTGGGGGGGGGGGGAGATTCAAAGGAAATTAACAAGGAATACACAATGAAAATACGAAAAAAATTGTCAGGTTTTGTAGCTGGCATTGCCTCATGAGCTGCGGTGACATGCCAAACATGGCACAGGCAGTCGCTGTGCAATGCCAACACACGGAATACTACGACTATGAAATGCGTGTTGTCCTCTGACTTTAATTTGTTCTTTAAAAGCAAGCGAATTGAGTAGTGTAACATGAAGTCGGACAGAATTTCTCATTGCTACGAAATCAAACCATTAAAAAAAAGCCCAACGAACGTTTTTCTTTTCTTTTTTTTTCTCTAGATGCGCATACGGTTTGAAAGCTACTGCTGAGGTACATTTATAGAGCACAGTATATCTCGCGCGCACAAAGTTCGCCTGAACCAAACTAAACTTAATGACTCACTTCGCAAGCGCCCCCTCTATCGCCCAGCAGAACATCAAGTCATAAATTGGCGCAGAGCCATATTCCTTTTTAAGCGAAAATGCACCCGATCACCCTTTTACGGAGGCTCGGTAACCAAGAACATTACGATACTTAATTCACGCAGTCGATAACACTCGTGGCATAAGTAAAAGCAAATAATGTTCAGATTTATCACATTCTTCGCTTAACATTCTTCTTGGTACGCATCGTCACCACACCCTTTTACTCTCTTTAATTCCGTATGCCAGCTGGGTTTATGTACAGCCTTATTCCAACTGTCATCTGCGTCTTAACACAGACCCTGGGTTTTGTTAATTGTGTAACATCTAAGCAAACTTACGTAAGACAGTATTAATCTCCATAGGACTATTACATTGATACACGTACTTTTGTCCATGTTTTTATGCTCGAAATCCCTCTTGCGGAACCTTTCAGTCGCTTTCAAGCACATCAAGACCCTTATATGGCGCAAAATGTGATTTGAGTCCACGTCCGGCCTGTATTTCCTGTTTTGTTAACGCTCTGACTGCATTTATCGGCCGCCTCCTCACCCCACTATCGCAGAGGCACCCGAGATGCACAAGATGTACGTGGACTCCAACCTGAAACTGGGTGACGGTGTGGACCTAATGTGCTCGCTAAAGAGAGGCTCAGCACCGGTGCACTTTAGCTGGTATCACAACGGCCGCGAAATACGCCCCGAGGACAAGCTCGGGGATGTGGTCAGCCTACAGGGGAAGTCCATTCTCGTGGTGCGCGAGATCACGCGAGATCACATAGGCAATTACACCTGCTCCGTCCGCAACCCGGCTGGCTCGGACAGCTACACCGTCAAGTTATACGTGGACGGTAAGTGCAACAGGCCAACCGAACACAACTTGCCTACTTTGCAAATGTCTATGAGGGTGGTTTCATAATGTCAGAAAATAAATATAAAAAGGCGGCAGATCACGGTGGGAGAGGTAGTAGAAAGGAATGTAAAAGAGAGAAACGGAATGTACACGAGAGGACAAAGCTTATACTAACGTGCGCGAAAAAATATTGGGACAAATTTTCAAAATGCATTTGTCATTTAATTTGATCGCAGTATTTCAAGCCACTCTGATGCTGTATATTGGCACAAATAAATGAATAAATAAGTCAGTCAATCAACAATATCATTATTGAAGCCACTAACTACTGACAAAGTGCCTTTACGATCAAAAAGGCTTGTGACTTAGAGCCCAGGTAATATCTTCATAAGCACGTCTGTAGCGTTACCGCAGCGTTAATGCGTAGTTAAAACGGTATGGTGGAAAGCACGATAAATGTCATTTTGTGAAGTAAGCGCACGTAAGTTTATTCCATTTCAGTGCTGGGAGTGTCAAAATAAGAGGCTCGGGCATTTTTTTACTGTTTTTTTTTTTAATTTTCAGTGAAACCAATCTGGACCCAAGAGCCAACAGATGCGTCAGCTTCAACTGGATCTAATGTTGTCATTCACTGCAACGCTTTCGGTTATCCCGTTCCAAGGGTCGAATGGAGCAAGGAGAGGGGTAAAAAAAAAGAAGTGTGCTCTTACATTCAGCATTCGGACATATGCCTTTTCCTGCTGGTTACATTGTAAAGTCATTCGAAATCTTCATCTACACACAAGCAAACTGTATTATTCCAAGTTTCAAAAACGGAATAACGACATAAATAATATATCTCGCAACAAGTGCTTACTCAAAGTAGGCTTCAACCCCCGCCTCTCCAAATTTTTTCACTTTTACTGGCGTATACACACACACACACACACACACACACACACACACACACACACACACACACACACATACAAACGCATGCACGAACATGCATAAAGTATGGTTGAGCATCCCCCCGAAAAAAATTTCTGGATACGTCCCTGTACAGTAAGTAAAAAAACGGAGGCACTCCATGGACGGTAAAAGCACTTACAACAAAGTTTGCAGCAGAAAGCAGGTAATTTTTTTTTTCATCAACATTAGTGACAGCACACATTTCATGAGAGGATATTAATAAACCCGCAAGATTGTGAAAAAACGAGCCACCGAGGTGTAGGCTGTGCAAATTCGAGAAGCTATACTTGACATGCAGGAAAATAAGAAGACAAAGAACATTATAACAAGCCTGTATCATAAAACAAATGTCACTCCGCCAATTAAGCGTTAAGACGGCCCAGTTCCCCATTCTTGCGCCCACCTTTTCTCCCACAGATGACAGAGACTTCGAGCTTGTCCGCATGGGTGACAGATTCAACATGGCGCCAAACGGTAGTCTGCAGATCCGCTCTGTGAAGGCTGAAGATGCTGGCCACTACAGGTGTGACGTTAGTAACGGACTCGGCAGTGGTCTTTCCAAGATCATTAGCCTCGCCATAAGCAGTAAGTCCTACATGCTTCAATTCGGCTTGATTAGACAAAGTGGCACGATGATCAATTAAGTTACTTGTGATAGAGTCTAGTTTATGTAGTTTTCCACAAGGGGGCGCAAAAGTGTTGTAGCTTGGCCGAGGTGGTCATCAATGCACTTAGCTTGTATTAGCGTGGTACATATAACAAGCTGCACAGCTGTTTTGTTATCGGCCGGTTTCAGAATCTGCTGACATGTGAAATAAAAGAAGCCGAAGCTGATGCTGATGCTGATGACCTGTGATGGCTGGCGCTTACCCACAAAGGGGGATGGGCCAAGAACGGGGCGGCAGGATACTTAAATGAAACTAAACTAAAAATGAAGCCAATCTGAAAAAGTAGCGTAAAATAATATTACCAGAAAAACAAAAATGTGTGCTGAGCAAGCGGTCAAACCATCTTTTGTTTTTGAAAGACATTACTATGAATTATAAACTAAAGATCTGAAAAGGTAGTGGTTCACTAGCATGGTAATCTTTTAGTTGCGTTGATGTAGTTAAACACAGCGGAGCATACATCCCTGTGGCAGTAACCAAATGAAGCTCCGCCAAGTGATAAAATTACTGGTAAATTTACTTGTATTCCTAGCTTTTGTAATGGGGCTACTAAAAATCTTTTTCTCTGATAAGAATAACGATGACAGAATAAAAAGAAATGTTCAATTGTTTCAATTTCGTTGCACCAAATGCATAGCGGTGACGCCTTGAGCTGAGCTTTATTAAGGTAATAATTTAGTTGTGGAACTGCACAGCGCAATCTGGTATAAGTGACCTCTAACTGGCGGGATAAACACCACTGTTTATTCCAGCAATAGCTCAAATGCTCGAAATCTTTGAAGTTATCCAAATTACCTTTTCCCCAGTGTAGGCAAGCATTTCGGAACCTTAGCGCAGTTACGTAAGCCGTATCTGGCAAAACTGGAATGGTGGGCCCACCCAGGGATACTGCTGCTAAAGAGTCCGCCATTTCGTTCAAATATAATCCGCGGTGGCCTGGTACCCATAGCAAATGCAGTTTTTTTACGTTTTTCGGTACTAAATGCCGAAACGTATTCATCAGCTCTGAATTTACTGCCGCAGAAAGTGCATTACAAACTGATAACGAATCTGTAATGATCACTGCTAATGATTCGCTTGAGGGTAATTTGCGTAGGGCAAGAACAATGGCCAATAATTCTGCCATGAATACCGGGGTATAATCTGGGAGTCGAATCGAAAAGGACCAGTCCAAAGAAGGAGAGAAGATGCCAACCCCAGCCTTTTCTTTTGAGACAGATGCATCAGTCGCTATGATATTGCTTATCTCTAGGTGGGCTAGATAATCTGCTAACTGGTCATTTAAATACCTATACGCCAATTGTTTCGCGTTATGAGGAAATATATCATCGAATTGTATGCTAAGCATTGACTTTAGATTGTGTATTGGACGAATATGTCTAATTTTTACATTCAGTTGCTTTAGTAGCGCTTGTGCAAATACTATTTGCGGGGTGTGTAGTCGCGACCAATGGGTTTCGAAAAATAAAGTCGGTTCTTGAATGAAAGCATAAAATGAGAGTCTTTGGTGTGAACTGTATATCTTTAAGAATGCTTGCACAGTAAGAATTTTAAACCTATTTAGCAGAGAAGGTAGGCGAGCTTCCATATACAACACGTTGTTTGCAACAAACTTTGGTAGACCCAGACACAAACGCAATGCTTCTCTTTCCAGCAGTATTAGGGGTCTCACTTTATAGGCTGCGCTGCCAGAAAATAATACGCATCCGAATTCCATGATGGGCCGCACATAAAGTTTATATATCATTATTAGCACATCTCTTCTTAAACCCGCTTTACGGTTTGCAAGCTTCCGTAGCCGCCCCATGGCCCGTGTTGCCTTGGAGTACACATCATCAATGTGACTTCTCCAATTTAATGTGTCATTATATATGATGCCCAAATATTTAAGGGAATTCGCCTGCGGAATGAGCTCATTACTGTACATTAACGAGATGTTGATAGGCTGCAGAAAAAAGAATGCAAGGAGCACACTTTTCTTTACGTTCAGGGTCATATGAATATTTTTAAGCCATCCTTCTATCATATTGAGATAATTTTGTAGACTCTGGTATAATGATTGAAGGTCGGTATTACTTGCGAAGAAAGCAATATCGTCCGCGTACACATATAAATGAATATCCTTAGCTGATGGAATGGAGCTTAAGAAAATGTTAAATAAAACTGGTGACAGGACAGCCCCCTGTGGTACGCCACGTGTCTGCTTATATCTATTCGATGAGTACCCATCTTTAAAGCAGTAATATTCTCTCCCTCTTAAAAACTCCGACACCCACGCAGTCATGTAGTTGGGAAAGTGGTGATATTCCATCTGTTTTAATAAAATTGAATGCTCAACCCTATCGTACGCTTTAGCCAAATCTAAAGTAACTAAAGCACAGTATTGGCGCCGACGCCGAGCCAGTTGTATTCGGCTCTCTAAATCAACATGCGCACACCATATTGAGCAACCGGATCTAAAACCAATTTGACTGGGCTTTAATATTGCGTTATTATTAATATATTTCATTATCCGGGCATTCAAAACTCTTTCAATTAGCTTAACCAGATTTGACGTGATTGATATCGGCCTTACATTGTCCAAGGCGAATCCTTTTTCCTGCTTTTTAAGAAGTGGAATAACTTTAGACAGCTTCCATTCCGCAGGTATCCAAGCTTTTGTCAAAGAAAAATTCACCAGATTAAGTACTTCAGTTGGACAAATCTCGAATATTACTTTTATCATTGAATTTGTTATCCCGTCTGGTCCAGGTGCCGAAGGAGATAAGTGCCTTATTATCTCTGCCAGCTCATCTAAAGTAACCTCCTCGAAATCCTCGCCTGCCATTGGGTTCACAATGTGCAGTGGTAGAGTTGACATAAATCTATCTTGGAGCCCTTTCGCAATATTTTCTACTAAATCAGAGAGCTCACGGGGGGAAAGAACAGAAGAGTCAATATTTTCAGCGGGTGGTAACATCTTTTGAGATCTTAAAAATCTGAAGAGCGCTTTTTTGTTTTTAGCCCTAGAAAGATACTCATGTCGTTTCATATTATAACCATCTTTTGCTGTACTTACTGTGCGTTTGAAGTCTGCTGCTGCGAATTTATAATCAGCCGAAGCTATAGCTCATATGGGAAGCTTCTGCGTGAGCTGGTCATCAAATGCTTTGGGGGAAAAGGAAAAGGCGTATCTTGGAACGAGATCACGTGCAATACGAGTTGTGTTTTTTTTTTGTTTTCATTGTTTTTTGCGCATGCATAGGATGGGTGTGGATGGCATGAAAAAAAACCGTTAGGGGGTGAAGTCTGCAGCACTGCAAACTTTCTAGCGCTCATCGGTGATCACCTTGACAGCCCCTTCAATGAGAGGCTCAGAGCAGGGTTGTAGGCAGACAATTCTGACATGAACCAGGCAGACATGAACCATTGCCATGACACTTATAATAAACACGTGCCGATTGGTACATACCGAACTCATATGCTGTAAGTACATTGTTCATACGCAGGTTTCCAAATTAACACCCATAGTGAACTAGAAAATAGCTCTATGTATTTATCAGAAACAAATCTCAAGGGCTATAATATTGCGTGCGGCATGCGCCAGAATCGATTTCAAAACCAAAACGATCAGTCAGACCATTGTCTCGTCATAACGAGAGTTCACCATTCCTAAAATTCTCTGGCAAATTAAAAAGATTGCTGTTTCCCCTTTTGTGCAAAATAAAGACTGGAAACTCCCAAAAAACGGCAGATTCTCTTCACAGAACATCACTGGCGCACACGTTTCCACCAGAAGACCTAGCTACAGAACGGGTATTAGCAAGATCGCAATTTCTACTTGAAGCTCCAGAAAGCAGGCTTACTGGGAGGTATTATTTAAAAGGTTTCAGCACTATGCGACGTGATTTTCATAATATAAATACCTGTATTATTGTTATTTGGCTGATAGCATAACCCTGGTCAAATGTTTTTTTATATATATTGTGCGGTTACTTTAGTTTCCTCCGCACTGCTATTACGTTGTAACTCAAAGTACCAAATCTGTACTGAAGTTGATTAGTTCAGTTTCGTGTTTCCTATATTTTTGTTTCAGCGCCACCGATTATTCTGGAACGAATAGAGGAGACAACTGTTCGGAGAAGTCACAGCGTTCGTTTGAAATGTGAAGCAACGGGCGACCGTCCACTGACAGTTCACTGGTTTAAGGACCAGAGGCCATACCAGGCAACCGTGCGGGAAGGGTAAGGTCGCGTCTAACAATCACCCCGATATAGCCACCCGATCGCAGAGTGCAGAACATGCGACGTGTGATTTCTTATATTGAAGAACATATACCTACTCTTTACCTACTGCTTGACCAAAGAAATTTGTTTGGTAGACATTGTTCTATTTGCAGGTTCGACATCATCGAAAGAAGTCTTCCCGGTGGCGTGATTTCCGAGCTCCTCATCCAGAACAGTTCGACTTCCGACACAGGCGCTTACGTGTGCAAAGTCTCCAATAAGTTCGGCAACGTCACATCTCTCACAAAGCTTTACGTTCTAGGTATGCATTACCACATGCACAGGGACTCATTTTGGGACAGTAAGACTTTAAAAAGGAGAAAAGTTCGGAGCTATGTGATTTTTTTTTATGAGCACAGCGACCGAACCAGTTTCAAGTACACAACTCGGTGATATCCGTGTCTTCTTCTTTGTCTCTCTTGTGGTATCTTGTGCTGAATGGGTGTGTTCAAAGATAATTCATGTGGACCTTGAGTGGCTGTAGGCGGTATACATACGTATATTGCTTACAGCTACTCAGGTTCTGCAGGATGGAATAATGTTACCACTCACTCACTCACTCACTCACTCACTCACTCCACGGGGGGATCCGTAGTGCAGTGCGCTACAAGATCTGGCCTTGTAAGTTTGCTAACGTCTGTTTGCTTGGCGAAACACTCGGCTACAAGGCCACATATTCTTTTGTAGACAAGGCGCAATCGAAACGATGTTTGTAAATTAAACAAACAGGGCAACTGGGCTTTCATGGTGTTGGGTTGTCGAGTGGTAACACCGCACAGATGGCGATTAGACCTGCGTCAACTCGCTTCTTGCATCCCTATGCCAAGTTTTGCGGATTGGCTGTCATTTTTGTTCTCGATATCGTGATACTGTCCGTATTCGCTCGTCAGCCCTGTCGCTACTTGTCGCGATACGTCATCAGTCGTAGACCCACTCTTCAACGGCTTACGAATGCCAAGATGACGTGCTTGCTTCGGCGTACAACCTTAATTGTTTGTGTTGCTTGAGTATATTCAACGGAAAGCATTGATAGTTTCTATTGATAGATTTCTGGTTAATACATTTCTGGTATTTCTGAACATAAGTATTTGATTTTTTTTTATTCCAGAGCCACCGTCACCGCCAGTCGGTATCAAAGTATTGGACGTCAGAAGCCGCACAGTCCGACTGATGTGGCAAGCGCCTTACTCTGAGGTGTCCACATTTCACGTACGCTTCTGGAAAGAGAACTGTGAGTTGAACATGCACGACCACCAATAAGAAGGAATGTGGTAATTTCGCTAGCACTATTAGAGCTGTTCTAACGGTTGTCATTGAGTTAGTGCAATAAAAGCCTAGAAAACATGCATATAAGAGTAAGAAGCAGTAGCATATCTAAATTTTTAATATGACTCAAACAATCCGACTATAACTATATACAGCGATACATCTGGTAGAGGTGTATACTTCGCGGACGTATTGGCAAATAATTTTTTTTTTTTGAACACGCAGCTCAAAGTAGGAAGCTGACACTGATCACAGTGTCAGGATCAGAGACCTCCGTCTACCTGAGCGACCTGCTTCCCGGCACATCCTACGGTGGATACCTGCTGTCCGAGAACAGGGTCGGAATGAGCGCCCCATCTGCGTCCCTTCATTTCACTACGAGCGAGGAAGGTGAGGGTAAATGTGAAAACGTTAAGCGCCGTGGATGCTTCTTTAACGGGCGGCACATCTACTTTGGTGACATCTCCCTTGTTGTTGGTTACCTCAATCACTTTCTTGCCTCATTGCCGATACTGTAGATGCCGTACAGGACGTCAAGTAGAGACAGAAGACGAGCAATATATCATCAATGCTTTAACTGTCTGAATTGTGGCGTATTATAACTGTCTGAATTGTGGCGTAATAGGCACCTAGCAACTATACTTCCAGTAAACAGTATCGGGCCGAACAATAATGATTGAAGGCATTGAACACGGAGCCCGAGTATACATCATCGCGTTCTACTCTCGAAGGCAAAACGCCATGCAAGTTTTTGGTTAGTTTGAATACGCTTCTTATTCAGTGAATATAAGAAACTGTGGTTCCAAACACCACAACAGAACACGTAGTACATAACGCGAGTGTAAACGTTAAACAATTTCGAGAGATCCCACGTATCTGGGAGTCGACGTTATGCGAAGCGCGTGGAGGGAAGGTGACCATGTTGAAAATTTTTATTGAGCGACACGTCATGAATTGTCGCTAAGTAATAAGGCTAAGTACAAATGTATCACGCACAGACATATATTGAAGAGTTTCAGATGTTTATACAACCATTTGTTTGCACTTGCACAACGATGCCAACTGGAACATGCGTATTAGCAACACCAGAAGCTAATATGAAGCGCTGATAATCGCGAGGGTGCTGGCCCTGGACACTTCTACATAAATCAACTTCAGCGCATGACAACTAACCACAATTTGCGTTAACCCGACGTGACGGCTGCATCAAAAAAGTGCAAATTTAATGTTTATAACATTGGCTAGGCAGCACTGCAACCACTATTGACATTTCACAAAGATTAGCGTCTATTTGAAAAGTAATTTTTAGACCTGACGTAGCTCTGCGGTAAAATGCTTCATTGCCTCGCAGATTGCTTGGGTTCGATTCCAGCTGGGACCCTGAAATTTAGTCTTTGCATTCGTCGGGTCCACGCTACCGCTAATGCATATTTCTTAACGCTCGCGCGTTAAAATTGCCCATGTATGTTCTCGTCATTTCTGGGTATATACCAAGTTTCAGAGAGAGATAGAGAGAGAGAGAGAGAAGGAAAAGTAGGGAGGTTAACTAGACTATGCCTCCAGTTTGCTACCCTACACATGGGGAGGGGGAGAGGAGAGTAAAAGAAGTTTCAATCCCCTGTGGCACTTACCACATACCGGCGCCATATACCCACCTGTGGGTATGTGTCACTGTCTGGCGAGAAGTATTTGACGACGTACGCGGCGGCATTGTGACATTATTCAGGTCTTGACCAGCGCGTCATATTCGTCGAACTATCTTACGCTCCCATGCTAATTTTGGTTCACGACAAGTTAAAGGGGTGGTCGTGAAAGCACCCAAACGTAAACGGCTAGATAGATAGATAGATAGATAGATAGATAGATAGATAGATAGATAGATAGATAGATAGATAGATAGATAGATAGATAGATAGATAGATAGATAGATAGATAGATAGATAGATAGATAGATAGATAGATAGATAGATAGATAGATAGATAGATAGATAGATAGATAGATAGATAGATAGATAGATAGATAGATAGATAGATAGATAGATAGATAGATAGATAGATAGATAGATAGATAGATAGATAGATAGATAGATAGATAGATAGATAGATAGATAGATAGATAGATAGATAGATAGATAGATAGATAGATAGATAGATAGATAGATAGATAGATAGATAGATAGATACGCTCAAAGTCGCCTATGTTCGCTAAGAAATGCTTCGCATTTAAAAACATCTGCAGCCAAAAATCTAGCGTATATATCACATGCGCATTTAATTGCCTAAAGTTCGTGTGTGTGTGTGTGTGTGTGTGTGTGTGTGTGTGTGTGTGTGTGTGTGTGTGTGTGTGTGTGTGTGTGTGTGTGTGTGTGTGTGTGTGTGTGTGTGTGTGTGTGTGTGTGTGTGTGTGTGTGTGTGTGTGTGTGTGTGTGTGTGCGTGCGCGCGCATGCGTGCGTGCGTGCGTGCGTGCGTGCTTTTTCACCGAGCTTAGGCAAGCATTGCATTTTTCCTTATATTGACGCAGCTCCAACAGCACCTCCACTGGACATCCGGGTCGTCGGGTTAGGCAGCACGCACGTCAAGATCGAGTGGAAGGTGAACCCAACATTTTCAATTTACACATCACATACGAGTGCCTATGCACTTTGTGTGTTACCCTTGCCGCGATAACAAGTATTGCCTTCACGGTACTTCACGCATCTTACACTAAGTGCACAATGCACCTTAGGGCGAGCCTGTAGGTTACACAAGTACTCAACTTTGTTCTTTCTTTCCTTCTAAAGTCGGTTGATTATTATTCTTATGCAAGGATGAGTTTTTCATCCGCATTGAAGGGATTGTAAAAAGAACCATATAATTACAAGTGCGTAGGCAAAAACGTTTTTTTTTTGGGGGGGGGGGGGGCACTTTGATTCCGTGGGGGAGGGGGGCACCCCCTTTATATGGGGATTTTTTTCCATGCATGCTATGGCGAAAAAATTCGGCAGGGTGGGGGGCATGGTGTGAAGACTCCTGGCTACGCCACTTGTTAAGTGTGAAAATTTTATTCTCCCAGAACTCTATTGGTATCACTTTAGTCACCATGTGTTCATCATAAAGAAAGGGGCGATGCAAGTTTTGTTTTCATTGCGATTTACATTTTTTGCGCAAAGTGTCATGTCTTCCTCCCATGTCTTTTATGGTATTTCGACCACATTGCCTTAATAGTGAATGAAAATTTCAATGTAAAGTCTAGGACTCGCTGTGAACAGAATTCTAATATTTTTTTTTATTTTGACGAAAGTGTATGCTGGTCTTAAAGAAGCCGTCAGAACTTGAGACGTCTCCGCGAGTCAGTGTTGGAAACTCCTATATGACGCTTTTTTTTTTTGCACATTTATCGCACCTTTTTGTGACGAGAGTGGTGATTTTCATAATGATTAATACGAAAGAGCTAATTTGTTACTATGCGCCCTTAGAGCTAGTTTGCTAATCTATGTGAACGACCAAGTTGGCGCTTATTTGAGCAAGCCTTTTCGCCTTTCTTTTGCCAAGGTGCCACCCAAAGAGCACCAGAATGGAAAGATACAGGGCTACTACGTTGGACACCGTGTGTACGACTCCCCTATGCTACCCTACACGTACCAGACCGTGACGGGCGCTGGCGCAACCCAAGCTGTTTTGCGTACATTGCGACCAAGCACGCGCTACTCTGCCATAGTGCAGACTTTCAATTCTGCTGGACCGAGTCCGTCGTCTCATCAGCTTGACTTCACCACGCTCGAGGAAGGTACATATTTCGCCTTTACTTAAACCATATTCACACCAACAAAGCTTCTTTTTGTGTAGTGCAGAACTTCAGATAGTCAAGAATATATGCTTGGTTTACTAAATATGGGACGGCATGTTAATATCATATGAAAAAGGCCGGAAATACTCAAGTTTTATATTTCCTTTATTGGCTCACATCAGACGAAAAAAGAATGCCTGGCCCGTCGCCATTAATTGAACTGCAAGAAAGAGCATCAATGAAAGGTGCAAATTTTTGCCGGCTCGTTTTCTTTTTTAGACACAACATTATTGACAACCAACAGACAGACAAGCCAAGGAAAGTATAATGACGTTATTTGTCGTATTTATGATATAAATGGGAAGAAATGAAAGTGACTAAATGTCATTTGCCACTGGCAGGTAAGGCACCTGCTACCTTCGAATGCGGCAGCCCAAACCAGCAACATTGGAGTCCTGGCTCGTTGCTATAATATGGTGTATAGAATGGGGCATTGTGCGAAAGGGCCGCTATCGAATGGTAGGCCCAGCACGCGTAATTTGAATTTGCATTGGAAAACGTTCTGTAGTTTTTGAGTAAAAACGTCACATTACACGATTGAAACTAAAAGTATCTGCAAGATTAAGACGCATCCAACACATTTCTATGAATTAATAATATAAATGAAGCTGCTCCTGCGTCGTATGATCTTGCACAATTCATATTGGAGAACGGGGGCTCAGATAGTGTGCTTGCTTACTGTTTTAACAGCCGAAAAGATAAAAAAAAACACTTCGCTGTTCATTCCATGCATATGTTCGCCTGCCTTGCTGTGAGACTAATCTGAGTGTTTCCGACGAAACGAACGAGCGGGTCAGGGAGGATAACGTGAACATCATCAGGTGAGTTTCACGACCACCCGTCACCAGCATGAGCCAGAAGAGTAAGTAGTCGCGATGTTAAAACAAAAACACTTAATGACAGATACTGCTCCACTTCTTTATACATTTTACGGCGAGCGCGGCAACTACAACTACTAATTTCGGAGGCTTTGTATCTCAGCTTCTCATAATTTACTTCAGGGGAGGCCGACAGGTGGCGCCAAAGTAGTAGGTTGTGCTCTGGCAGCACTGTCCATCATCGCAAAAAGAGCCACGCTTTGGCTTCAGACAACACATTGTCCCATTCCAGTACACCACAGCCATAAGTCATCGCCGTAGTTACGAGCAGCGCTGGCCAACGCTGGCCAAGTGCCCAGAAATATCCGATGAAATGCACGGAATGATGGCTGCTGCCTCAGCTCTACTGGTAGAGCTTTGAACGCATTATTTGAAGGTTGCTGGTTCAGTCCCTACCACTTCCAAGTTGTCTTTACGTGCACACACTTACATCATAATTACTACAAATACCTTCCTTATAGCTTTCTTGCCTTTATTGTCTGCTAGACGTCCTTAAGGAAGTCCACTAGTGGCTCTGAATACCTTGTGCACAATACAAATGTTATTTCCAAAATACTAAAAGTTCGTGCGTGAGGCCACTATTACTGCCATTGATCCAGTACAGTGTTGAAGACGATAGTCTTTCTTGGGGACCTTCAAAGAAAAAATTTTGGTCTGTCTGTCTGTACATTTGTCTGCTTGTCTACTCTTAACGGCATCGGGTACTTGAAACTGCCGACCCCATTCGCAGCGCCCGCCTATGTTGCTCAAGGTTGAACGTTCATGCTTGTGCAATTGTCAATTAAAAAGCAAATATTGCACATGTCTGGGGCACCATAACAACACGTATATATTCTGTATCTGAGCCTTTTACTAGAAAAGGCATACATAAGTAATTTTAAGGGCCGTAGCGCTTATCACGGTGCGCTGACCATGCAACACTTGCACGGAAAGACGAGTGTTTCCAACGCTTTGCTAAAACGAGACGGTGGGGGCACCTACCCGTCGCCTTGCGTTCTACACCTTATCACCTTTGAGACGGGCGCGCACACCCGTCTAAGAGCCACACGCTTTGTTTTCTAAAAAAACTGCGAGATGGCGCTTATGTCTCACGTGTGACGTGACTTGATGCGCTCGTTCACCTCCGCTGCACGCTCGATGCACTCTAACGCAGCGCCTCCAGAATACCATTCACCAATTTTCTTGCGCAGAACATCAAATAAATATCTTGTTCACTTTCTTCACACGCAAGACTATCGTCTTCCGACGACATTTGCAGATTACATGCATTTAAGGGGCCAATTTTTTTTTGTACGCACGTCATTGATGTGTGTTGCTCCATTTGATCTTGTTGTGTACATGTGTACACTTGTCCTGTACATATCTAGTAGAAGTTACGAGACTGTTTCTACATCTTACGTGCATCTCTATTTCCTTAGAGAACTGTTACCTCGTAGTGTGATAATATGATTGACTAAGCACATTTCTTCACTCGCGTACGGTAGAGCAAATATTCACGATTTATAGGCGTCTTCTTTGTATTATGTGCAAAATTCTTACTTTCATACTGCTTTTTTTTTGTCATGCGAAGAGGATAAACCAGCGCCATTGGAGGAAAGACCACCTATGAGCATTTTCAATTAGACGAAAGCGCTGACATTTTACTACAGGAGCGAAAAACACAATGACACGAAAAAACGCTTTTCAGCTGTTTTTCGTAACCACTGCAGTTCATTCAAATTACCGTATATAAAAAAGACGACGTAGTTATGAACCTTAAAAATTAATATGCGCGTACAATTTATATATTCCTTACCTATATATTATTCATAAAACAGCGTACGCGTATGGTACCATGAGGAGAAATGCTACCGTTATTATTTCCCTCAGCGTGAGGTAGACGGTCTTTCTTCCCCTTGAGAATGCCGGATTATTGACTCAAGTGCATTTTGTACATCAATATGCGTGACTAATGCCTAACGTTCTTCTCCACTGCATCTTTAAACACCAGATCTCCCAGTCCCACCTGCCTTCAGCGTCAGCAGCGTCACGTGCTGTTCTGCAACATTCACCATAAACGAGAGGAAACGAAGAAGCGTAACACGTAAGCTATACGTTCTTTTTTCTTGATTCTGGTGACGGGAGAAATTCACTGTTATTACGCTTTTGGCAAAAATATGGACTCATTGTTTTGTTTTTCATATACACGCATAAAGAAAAGCCTTTTTGAAGAAAATTTTTTAAAGTATTGCGGCAACTTCTAGTCACGTTGACTGTAGAAACTGTGGCACTGAAAGCTAACATAGTCATAACACTATACTGTCACGCAATCAAGCTAATTGCTCTTCAAACTTCAATATAATATTCTTCAGTGCCTTTGAACTGAGGTGTGCATGAGTTCTGATAGCGTCTTCATCATTCGCGCTAGAATCTCGCGCAAATACAGAAAAATGCAAACAGCTATCCGCACTAGGGAATGCACGTGATGTGGCCAACGGTGTACTCCGGTCAATGCCCATGGCGTGTGTCGGGGTGGGAGGAGCCTCTTGTGTGACACTGCATGCATATAAGCCTCAAACCATCAATTCTTCCTTTGGTACATACCCCGCTGAGGCCGTTCTCGCGCGAGCCGACTTGGAGATCCAGAAGGGTCTCTTAGATCAGGCTGAGCATCCAGCAACGGCCGCTGAAGTCCTGGACTAAAGCCACACCCTTCCCACTCGCTTTCTTCTCATTTCTGGAATAAAGCCTTCCAATCAATCAATCTGACTCAGTTGCCCGACAAAATTATGGGTGGCGGTTTTCCCTCCATGGCTTCACCGAGTCACAGATGCTTCGCCCAACATCACAGACAGCTGATAGCGACAGTTATGTGCGTTTCTTCGCTGCTAATGAGGAGCTCACCGGAAAAGTAGAGCAACTTGCAGCTGAAGTCAACTGCTTTCGAACAAAACCAGCCACGTCCTTTATTCCGAACTCGCCGCCTCAGCTCTCATCGCTCTGGCCAGTTTTACTATTCAATATACTGACGATTTGACGGCTGGTATTGGCGAGTCGGTGCTTTTCTGGCGATAGTATGCAAAAGATAAACTTGGCTGGAAGTGGTCTCCCGTTTCCTACTAAGACAGTTGACTGTACTGAAGATTAACGACCTCTACCGAATCCAAAACTCGCAACTCCTGGTCGATTTTCATCCTTCCCACCTGGGTGCGGCGAGCATCAACGTTTTTGTGGTAGTAGACATTTATTAGTCACATATTTACCAAGAGGTTGTCAGGTCATAATGGGTCAGCTCGTTTATTACAAGGTGGATTCCTTAGTCAGGGACCCCGTTGGACGTGGGCACTTTCCTGGCACGCCGGGCTACGGCTTGCTGGGCCAGAACGTCTTGGCAGCCGAGCAGAGCTGCCTCTCAGTCTTCTCGGGTCATGGGTCATGTAGGGATTTATGGTTAAAGAAGGATTGAGCTGGCGTGCCCAAACCATGCGGTTGGTGTCAGTCAACTCCACACAGTACTGGCAGTCGCCGAAAAGGAAGACTCAAAATGCTTAAGCACTGCCGGGCGCAGAAGCGTATTGAAGAATAGGCGAAGAAGAATTCTCTCGTCCACCTTTCTGAATCCTCTGCAGGGCGCAGGAAATCCGTGGTGGGATTCTTAGTAATGGGCAATGATTTCTTCAAGAGCCAGAACAGGAGCACTCTCTTAAACCTTTACTTTTCACTTCCACACAATGAACTACTGGAGAGCATAAAGGTGTGCATAACGCAACATAACGATGAGTTGGTTTTCGGTCAAGGTGCGTATTAACGATGGAGTTCATTTTGGAGCTGCTCATGATATATCTACAGATTACGGTAATTAGTCTTGGCAAAGACCTTTATGTGCAGAGGGATAGTGCGTGTATTGAGTCGGCTGTAGCGCACATTCTCAGCGGCATCTCCCGCAGTCGCGTTGATAGAAAAGTGTCAGAACATTTAGCAGGGACTGCAGAGCACATATTTCATTATGTCGACGACTATCTAGAACTCGTACACAAGGATAATTACAACCGGAATGGCAACAATGTATTCCAAGTTTTTAGAGAGAATTCCTATAGGCTGAAGTTCCTGTGGGCTGAAGACGGAACAAGCTGCCGTTTAGTGGGATGACTTGTGCATGACTGCCCACGTTTTTTAAGGATATGCTAGACACAATAAACGATATACAGGCATGTGCAATCATCCGCGATAAAGCTCTCCCCCTTTTAAGTGAAGAGCACTTTAGAGGGCTCGGCTGTCGATTGCTGTCTTGTACTGTAGTATGCTGTCGTCGTCGCCTGGCGTAACGCTCAATGTGTAGCATAGCGAGTGCGCCTACGTGCCAAAGAAAGGTTTTCTTCCTCTTGTTCTTCGAGCGTCTTGATGATGATCACTTATAATTATCACCTAAAAATAAATCAATACTAGTTCGCTTCGCAGAACATAGGCAAAAACATGTATACAAATAGAAAAAAAAGAAGCAAGCGTGAAACAAGAAGGAGAAATGAAAAAATAATGAAGATAAAATAAAGAGAGCAAGAAAGCGAGTGAAATAGATAAAGATAAAAAAAACTTAACGAAAATATAGAGAGAAAAATGCCAAGGAGTACAAAACGAAAAAAATTAGGAGGGAAAAAAGAAAATAAAAAAGGAAGAAGAGGAAGAAGAAAAGCAGCCGCTTCATACTTAATTAGGCTACCTTAATTTTTCTCTTTCCTTTCTTCCATGCTCTTCTCTGCATACAAATAAGTTGCACTTGTGGTCGCCTCTCTATTCGCAGAGTACGTGCTCGACTATCGGGAACGGGGCGGCTACTGGCGCTCCGTCTACTTCCCCTCGCACACGCACACGCTCTCTCTGGACAGTTTGAGCAGAATGACGCCGTACGAGGTGGTCCTGTCCGCGTACAACATGTACGGCCGCGGTGATCCGTCAGATCCGGTGCTCTTCGAGACAACGGGAGAGCGTGAGTTTCACTTTTGCCCACTTTGCTGCAAGCGACTACACACTGAGCCAGACGCAATCGTACGTCCGAAACGACGTATAGTTGAATGGTGACAACAGCAGATTTCCGGATTATTGAAAAACAGCCAAAGTGTCGTTTTGTTCATACTATTTACTTGAAAAAAATCTGTACCCAACCCAGAAAAGTGTCTCTTAAACAGTAGAAAAAAAAGTGGAGGTAATAAGCATCATTTGGGGGAAAAAAAAAACTTTATGAGCTGACGGAGCAATTTAAACCAATACCGCAACGTATAGCAACCAAACTTGCTGTTATACTTCACAACTTTTATACGTTCTATCTAACATCAGCGGATGCAGGAGCATGCACCTTGTAGTATGGAGCTCAACATCTTTGAAGCTACATTTTTATGCCAATTTTGAACAGTGCTTTAAGTATTTGTTTGGCCATAATACTTAACATTGGAGTGTTTTTGTTCTATTTTGTTAACGAATAATAACAATGTGTTCACCGGTGATACTGCAGAGCCCTTGCAACAAAGAACGGGTGAAGGCCCCAAGTACCTTCTCAGCGCTCGAGTCATTGGCCCTGTGATTGCATCACTCTTAATTATCTTCACATCAATAGTTGTGGCTTGGATCTTCTACAAGAAGATCACGTCCCCAGAAAAAGGTACGTGGCGATGAAAGTGAAGAGATGAAAGCAGCCAACACTACAGATTGCCAGAGCCATAATTTATTCTATGTTTCTTTGAAACTAGTGCACACAGTATAGCGCTACTATTAACCGAGAAAAGGAGAAAATGGGTCTTTTTTGTTTTATTCAGTACCAGTCAGCGTTCTCAGCAGGCAGGCAGATAGGCTTGCGTTCGCGTAACATGCACAGTCCGCATTGTTCAAGATTGCCACTTAGGTAGCGACATTGTCACATTAATACGTTTGATAGACAGAAATGATTCATATTTAAAACGTCTTTCATGAAAAACCGAAAGTACTTGCGCAGTGTTATTGATCATTTCTACATCCGTAAGCTCATGCTCCATGCTCAATGACTAGGGATAAAATATGTTATGCTGCTCACAAACACTTTCAGACCCTCCCATCATCTACCAAAGTGCGACCCTTCCCAAGCGGATGTGGCCAGAGCAAGAGTACGCGACCATCGCCAGGACTACCATTCGAAGGAGAATGGAAGAGGCCTACGACGTCCCCTGGGACATGGAAGACGTCATTGAACATCCTCCCAAGGTTGGCTTCACATTTTGATTGCCCATTCACAATCCTGTCTGGGACTTACGATGAGTCAGACAAATTTGATCCTATTCAATGTACTGCTGCCAAGAGTCACCCATGGCCTTCACAAACGCCGCAACACTGTTTTCCCTTACCGCACGGCCAACCAGCACAGATGGGCACTGAACAAAATCATACATAGTACCAGTCCTGAACTGTACTTGCCACTGTTCTGCACTATTCTTAAATTTCATGTTTTTATAAGTGTTCGTCTTTTACGCTGGTTCACTTTCCATTGTATCGTAAATAGACAACTGAATTGTAAATCGAGAGGATACTCAAGTTTTAAGTAAAACAGGTGAGCCGATGGGCATAGAATTCAAGAAATATTCAATAATATTTTAGTTCAATGCTGAATCAGAGGTTTTTTTATAAAGTTGTCATAGTCAAATCAATTTTCGTGAAGGCGGCAGAAACTTCCGACCACAAAAACAGGTTCCACAAGTGTGCCACTCACTCCTGCTGCTCTAACCAGCGTATCAGGGTAGTCGAATAGTTCATCGCGTCACAAAACGCCTTATATGCAGGAAAAGTGCTCGTAACCCGTGTCACACGAACAGCTTGAACCGCGGTTCTGCTTAACCGTAGTTGACAGCAATAACTGCAGGGTTAACGCAAACGCAGCTTGCCGTTCCTACACGTGCTCACTTAGACCAGTTGAGCAAGTTGATGACATTACGTGCACCTACATCATGTAGTCAGCAATCCTTGGCAAGTCGTAATATGAGACAGTGCTTCTACACCTCCGCTGCAGTGTATTGATTCGTTTCATTTTCGAATACGTGTTCAGGGTTCACCGCTCTGGGATGGCGAGACACCAACAATGCGAAAAGCCGTTCGGCCCAAGAAACGTGTAGCAATACTTTCACTGATCCCACCAAAGTCACGTTTTGTGAAAATCTTGAAACAACGGCTCATGTACAGCACGAAACATGTCCTGTCAGCGTCCCGATTTGTGGGAGCAAATGGTCAAGCTCGGTTTGCGATAACTACTGTTAGGCGACTAACTGCTGCCACGACTGCCCTGCAGCTACCCCTAACCGTGATTGGCCGTAACCCTAATGGTTAGCGCTGTCCGTGTGACAGAGATAATATGTCTGCTGGAAATGAAGCAAATGATGCTACGGTGATGCCAAAGACATGCCTATAGGAACACAATAATATCAACGCGGGGCTTTAGTAGTAAGCCTCGTCAGAGCACCGTATGCAAGGTAGCCCCATGTTTTCACGCAATAGTATTGTCACGACGTCAAAACAGAGGTCTTGCCGCAGAGATTGAGACATCAGAAGCAGGTCGATATTTTAATTAAAACGTGCAAGCGAGTTCTTCTTTTTCGTCCATTTCGTAAACCTTGGTGCCACAAGCACAACTGTCATCGTCTTTCTTGGGCAAGCACGTGACATCTGCCTCCCCCCGAAAGAGGCATCGTCTCTGTGCGCACCTTGTGTGCTGTACCAGGCGTATGAAGTGGTCGTACCAAAACGGTAACCGGGAGCTAATTAACTCGATAAATACGGTTTCATACGCACGACGTGCACGACTTCGGGTGAATGCTTTTGGCGCTTAGAACGACAATCAGTGTCGGGAACAACTTCGTAGTTCACGTCGTTCAAGCGTCGCATGACGCTGTATGGGCCAAAGTACCATCTTAGCAGTTTTTCAGACAGTCCACGTCGACGTATCGGAACCCAGACCCAAACTTTGTCACCTGGGGTGTAGCTAATAAACTTGTATCGGGTGTCGTAGCGTTGTGCATCTTGCTGCTGCTGATGACAGATGCGCACGCGTGCGAGCTGCCTGGCTTCTTCGGCGCGCTGAGTGAATTCTTCGGCGTCTACATGGATGTCGTCACACTCATGAGGCAACATGGCGTCCAACGTTGTCGTGACTTCGCAACCATAGATCAGACTGAACGGTGTCATTCCAGTGGTTTCTTGTCGAGCGGTGTTATAGGGAAAGGTCACGTACGGCAATATCTGATCCCAGTTTTTATGTTCCGTGTCAACGTACATGATGATCATGTCTGTGAGGGTCCTATTGAGGCGCTCCGTCAGTCCGTTTGTCTGCAGATGGTATGCAGTTGTTCTCCGGTGAGCTGTACCGCTGAGTCTGACAACCGACTCCACGTGACAATATGGGCACAATCATTTAGAAGTTAAAGTAACGTCAACAAAAAAGCTTTAAGAACGAAGAAAATATCGCCATGTCCAACCATTTGTACTCTCAACCGCATTTCAGGTTGTGGAAGACTGCTATACGCTGCTGAAGAAGAAGGTGCCGGGCGAGCTGCAAAGGGTTCCTGCAGGCCACTTCCTGCTCGATGGCCCGTCCTCTTCGATGCCAGACGAGCCGCCCGTCGAGGAACCGGAAAAATGAACTTGCAACGCTTCGTGACATTGTGCTTGCCCATAACACCGACACCCAACCACCATCACTTAGTTTTCTACGAATATTTCATAAGCATCAATGCGGCATTAGTCGCCTCCGATTTTAGCCATTTCTATCCTCGGCTACGTAGGTGTGAGTCAGTCGTGAGAACTATCCGTGCTAACATGAATTAGTGCAAAGTATGACGAGCATCATGTGATCCATATTTCTTAATTAAAAGCAGTAGTCACCATAACGACAGAGCAATAGCACACAATTAGGAGTTAATTGGCGATCTCATCCTGTTTTCTTGAATTTAATGTTTGCTTTTGAATGTGCGATTACAGTGATACCTAGTTGAAAAGCTGTTTGCGTGGATTTGGCATTTTTCTACCTCTTGCGTTTTACTGTGGTATTTTTCTATTCACTTAAAAGCAAGATATCTAGAAATAGGAGAATACAGTGATCAAAACTGGTAGAAGAAGACAAAACTGAAAATTTGAGCATTTCGTTTATACTTAGCGTGATGGCTGCAGGTGGAACAAAAACTTCACGCAATAATCCCAAGACACCGGAGTTCAACTTTTCGTGACCTTTTTTGATTATTTTGGAAGTTACCATTATTCTTACTGCCAAACTGTTCAAAACAACAATATTGTTGTATGAAAAGAGTTGTTAACGTTGGAAATTTTGTGTAACGCGTATTATGTGTTACCAACGCATTGAGCGAGCTCGTTTCATGGCTCGAAATGGGCACAAACATTTTTATTACCACTTTGACCCCATTGCACGTGCAGTACATACGGTGAATACGGTTTACCAATTAACTACCGAAATTGACGGTTTAATTGTCACACAATGCAGAAGTGATTAGCTTCGAAATCGAAACAATCATCTGATTTATTTCTGATCGCGAACTACGACAGATCTTAGACCATGCTTGCTGCCGAAATTGGTGGAGAACCTACCAGATCAGATCTCATGCCGCAAGACCTGATACATTTCCATTGACGCCTGACGAACAAGAACCTTTCACCGCTATCGTCTGACAGAATGTCGATAGCATTAAGTTATTTCTAGTGTAATGATTCTGTACTACTCATTCAAAGGCAGGTAGCACACCCCAGCTCCGAGCCTTGTCAGAAAGGTCTACCTGTTATAGTACCTGTTTCAGACAGGTGTGATCGGAACTGCATACATCAAACGCGTTTTATTATGAACGAAGGCTGGGGACGTGCAAAGAATACCTTTGAAAGCTGCCGTATAGTCAGTATTCTCAATGTAGTATTCGCCAGTGTCTGGCACATAACTCAGACATCTGAAGAAAAAAAAACGCATGTATGTTGTAGCGTTGGTCTAGTGCTCCCACCCTTGAAGATTCTTTCATATATACTCCATGCATTTCGCGTTCCCGCATACAAAAATAAAATAAAATAAATTTCAGATCCCCCGTTTTCCACTCAATAATCAACATTCACTAATCACTCGCTTCTCAAACACGCCGTCATTTTGTAGGCTCGTTATGAAGCTGCAACGATTGATGGGAGCCACACACACTCTTAGTGCACCTCATAACCCACGAAATTTATCGCACCGTGTAAGGACGATGAGAGCGCAAATTAGGCTACATATTTAGCGTGATCTCAGCTGAGACGTTTATGCAAATGAACCTTTGCCGAACTCGAGTAATGCAGAAACTGTCAGGGCTTCCGAAGAACAAAGGTCGTCTTCTCATCTCACGCTGCCGTATTAAAACGGACACGAATTTTTTCACAGCTTTGCAAGATTCACCGCTTTTTATAATGCTTTTTCAGGCTGTAGAGTTAGACTTTTATACCATGTGCGAACTTATTGTATATTCAAGTAATATTTAAACATTTAGGTAGATAGCTTTTACAATGACCAAACTGTATTAGTAATGTTTTGCAAGCTTATGGAATAGGAGTGTTCTTTCAAGCTTTTGTGCATGTTTCCCATCGTAAGGTCTCTAACGAATGTTTATATACAATAACACTTTTATCTTCCCCGACTAAAATAAAGACAATGATTTCCACTAAGTTAGCCATGTGCATGGTAGCCAAAGTCCTATAGGTAGCCAAAGCGCTTCTTTTCAACTCTCATAAGCCGATCTTAAATATTTAAGAAAGCTTAAAGGCATCAGCTAATGACCTTATTTACTTTTCTAACAACATTTGACATGCACAGTAAACACATTCAGCAATATCAGTCACGATGTGTACAAGTGGAGACGTAACTTAATTGGCACGTCAGGCACCGCATGTTTCATCAAATGGCTTGAAACTTAGTGTGCACATTTGTGCAGGCCTACTGAGTGGGCAGCTGGTGATTATTTAACTTAATTTATTTTATAATACTTCATCTGCAGTATTTGTGCAGAAGATCACTTTGCTGGATGCACTACCATATTCGACGATTGTTCGATGTGACGCATTCCAACACCAACGTGAAAAGTAATTTTTTTTTCGCTCGAAGCAAATGTAAACTAAAAGCAAACTGTGCATGAGTTTGGGGCCTTATAGCAGATTCTTTTTATGCAAGTACTAAGTCTGACTGGTGGCAGAGCAATTAGATAATATTTACATACTCATTAACTTTAATTACCATATGTCACATGGAAGAACGTTTATCTTCATTTTGTTACTTGGAATGTAATACTGATTGTCTGGAATTATGCCGCGCGAATTTGACGCGTTTCCGACAGCGCATCATAATTTGTGACTGAAGGGGTTAGAGGCACTTTAGTAGCTAGCACAAAACTAACTTATTTTTGAAATACTTTTTTTTTTGTTTTCTGAAGAAATGAAAAAAAATTTAATGGTTCTTAAAAAAAAGACTCTTTTAAAGCTATTTTGCTGGTACTTTGCGTGCAAAATATAAATCTAATTGGAGACATCATTATTTTATTGAAGCTTTTTAATGTCACGACTTTAAAAATATGATTGCCAAGTGGTCAAGAAAATTTTTGTACGGATAATAAACTCGCACCATGTTTTCAAATTCACTGTTACCGGAGCACCTTAAAGCTCCAATTATTATTTTATAACCACGTGAACATATATAAGCACCAGGGGAAGAAAGGGAAGTGGGCTAGGAAATTTATTTTAAAATATCACACACGCACTTGCATGGACCAGACAAAGACAAATAGGAAAAAAATAAAGGGGGGGAACGAAGAAGAAAGCACAGCCCAGTACGTCACATTGCATGTGCACTAGAAGATTCATACACTTAGTGCAGCATCACTCAGTTTGTATTCTCTGGGCGTTAAATAACTCAAATGGTGCCTAATAATGCAGTGAAAATACTTAGTGATTGTGATTTTACAGCGTTTTATATTTCCCGTTCCACGTTGATCATATTACAGCGCTTTGCGATACCAGTGAAAAGAAATTGTTAACGCTTTTGTTTTTATTTTGCTTCATCATTTCTCGCAAATACGTTTTCTTTCATGAAATGCTTTTAAGTAACCATTCGAATGGACCACCTTTGTCAAGATTATAAGAATATTACAAATACATGCGATAAGCTGAAGAGAAACATTTTAGACACAAATAAAATTTGCTATACATAGGGCATATCTCAGTTAGGTACTACTAAGTGGCATACTTGATTGTATGTAACACCTACCGTAAAGGTAGCAAGACACATTACATCTACAAACCCGCTCCGTTCTATTTTTTATTTGGTCCCTCACCAGAACCTCTGAAAAACTCTCCAAAGCAAACATGATATTGCATAATTTTTATAAATATTGAAGTCACTGATTGGAAAGGGCCACCCAACATCTAACACCCAATATCACACCATATAAGGCACCACTTTTTGAAGCAGGGTGTCAAATCTCGAAAATCAATATGGCTCGCTACTAAGTATATAAATAATCCCTTGCTGTTAACTAATCGTAATATTTCAGTTTTAGAACTTTATTTGAAATGTACTATATACTGAGAATTGCTCTCACCATTGAAGTTATATCTGACGCAAGAGTCGTTCGATTACTCAAAGGCGTGATCCATTGCGAAATAGTATGTTGCATTTATGTGCGTGTAAATGTCAATAAAGAAAAGATGTGGTATTGTACGTCTACTGTTTGTTGTTTGCAATCTCATAAACATAGTAACATATTGTTACAAGTAATTCGGGGGTTTTGTTTGTTTGAGTGAACTATCAGTGTTAATAGTATTCAGAGCAATATAAGTATATATATATATATATATATATATATATATATATATATATATATATATATATATATATATATATATATATATATATATATATATATATATATATATATATATATATATATTTATATATATATATATATATATATATATATATGTATATATATATATATATATTGCGATGCATAGGGAGCAGCAGTAGATGTCGCCGAAGCCCAACCACACACAAAGTCACCCAACAAAATAAATACCTTCGTGTTTAAAGAAATTTTTTGTAGTAATCTTAATGAAGGGCTCGATAAATTTTCACACCATGGGATTTTATAACGAGCACCTATATTTTGTCTCCATCAAAAAATAGGTTTTTACTGGTTCAATATGGGGAACACATACGCCTCAATGCCTCGAAAATTACAAACTACTCATACGGAAAGAAAGAAACCTTTGATGACGAAGTTCATTTTGAAAAATACCCGCATTTATTCGTTCGAAAAGGTCTCATCAGTGTTTCCGCGTAGGGCAAAACGCAATAAAAATATTTTATTTCACTTTCAACTATGTGCGCCCTCGGCGAATGTATGATCTCTCCTTTTTCGACCCTTCCTCTGTATGGAGCGTGTTTGCCACAACGAGTAGGCGCAGCGCAATGGCGGTGCCGTAACGGTACTTGGCTGCTGACCCGAAGGTCACTCTTTACATTCCGACCACGGCAGTCCTTTCTATGAAGGCGAAATTGCAAAACACCCGTGCACTGTGCGAAGCCAGTGGACGTGAAGAAACAGCAGATCGACAACATTTTCCGGAGCCTTCGACTACGGCGTCCTTCAGGATAATGTCGTGGTTGTGGAAAAGAAAACTCCAAATAATAATACTTAAATCTAACAGACTATAAATCAAGTCCTTCTTGGTTCAGTCAAGAGGAGAAGTTTGGTTAGTCTTGAAGAGTAGTTGTTTGTTATCGTTTCCAAGCGCAAAGCGTCATTTATGTCAGAAATCAAATTTCAACACCTTTATGAAATGCCAGTGGAAGAAACAATGGCCCAATAAATTTTTGTTTGCAGCACCTTGTAAGCAGTTTATTTATTTCGAGAATGAAGAGGGAATTGACAACGTATAAGTGCATCGACGAAAAGAGCACAGGTTCTGACATGTAAGACATTTCGTCATTGTACAATTTTTATTTGTGTCGGTGCTCTTACTGATCGCCAATTACTCGTCCTTCCTCCTTGAAATGTGGGACCAACTATTTATAGCCCAATAGTTTACGCTTGCACTGTTTGTGTACAATTTAACTACGCTTTTCAATCTACACACCGCAGCCTGAACATCACTAGAAATACCCAGTGCGATGAACACAGCAAAAGTTACGAGATAATTCACCTACGATAAACGCGCAATCAACATTTCTAGAGTTTCTAAAGGTGGAGAAACTAAAACACCGGCTATAGGTCGACCTATTGGGCTACAAAAGCGCATCTTGATCTCCCGTTTCAAAGGTAGCGCATACAAAGGCGACCAGCAGTAACATCACCGTCAAGTCAAGGCGGCAACGTGGGCTAGTTGGTTTCGTTCACTTTCATTCATGTTTGTAGCGCAAAACGGAAAGGAACGGAGACACCCAGAAGTAGCACATAAACAGGACGGGCACTAGGCAATGAACTGATTCTTCATTAAGAAGGCCAAAAACCGTCGGACATTAACTGACGACCTGGATCACGACACGACCGCTTCCCCAACTGCGCGTCAAACTACTGCGCCACCACAACAGCAGGACGATGGCGTCTAAAACAAATACAAATTTACGGTGACGGGCCTCCTCATTTTAACCATTATGCTACGGTGACGGGCCCCTCACCGTAGCCATTGCTTTACGATGACGGGGCCATTGCTATAGCTGCATCGCTATTATGATTGGCCCCATCACTGTAGTCACGATTACACTACGCTGACGGGCCCCGTCACCATAGTCACTGCCTTCTGAAGGCATCCGGCTGACTGCCCGCATTGGTGATAATTGTCGATGAATTCCGCCCGTTTGATTTAGCTCTCTTGAAAGATAAGGCGATGAGCAACAGTGCGAAGTGTGATATAATAACCATAATCATGATATGTTGTCTAGTTGTGATTCTCCGGGACAAGAACAAAAGTAGGCATGACAGCATTTTTTTTTCCTCATGTGACGCACAAGGTAACGTACGTTTCAATATTATTAGCATATGCAGTCAGCCTAAATACTTCTAACGAATGCAAAACATTGATGTTACGAATACAGTTTGAAAATGCTCCTTTAAACTGCAAAAAAAGGGAAGATCCGACGTACAGTGTGAATCGATGATATGCGAAGCGCGAATGAGGAATTGATATGTCACTTTAAAATCAGCACAATGTTACGAGGCGGACGTAAATTATGCCGTACATGACTTCCATATGATTATCATGTTTGGATGTGTCATTTAGCTTTGACGTCTATTCACGTCACGTAATACCAAATTTGGTATATGTAGACCTAGCCAAACGAACGCGAGCGTGCTATGAGCGTAGGTTGTAGTCATGTTGTACATGACACGCATACGATGATTATCATGTTTGTACGAGTCATTTGACTTCGTCGTCTACTCAAGTCATGTAATAACAAACTTGTTATATGTGAAGCTAACGGAACGGCCGCCAGCGCACTATGAGCATGGTATGTTGTCATGTTCATACATGACACGCGTGTTGGGATTATCATGTTTTCACCAGTCATATATTTCGTCATTCATTGACGTCACGTAACACTCAATTCGGTATATGTGAAGCTAGCGAAACTACCGCGAGGAACTATGAGCGTAGCACGTAGTCATGATTTACATGACACGCATGTCATAATTATTATGTTTAGACGTGTCATTTACCTTCGTCGTCAGTTCGCGTCACGTAATACCAATTTAGGTATATGTGAAGCAAGCAAAACGGCCGCCAGTGCTCCATGATCGTGACATGTCATGTTCTCACATGACACGCATGGCATGATTATGTTTTCACCAATCATATACCTTCGTCATCCATTAACGTCCCATAATACTAAATTTGGTGTACGTGAACCTAGCGAAACGGCCGCCAGCGCACCATGACCGTGGTATGTTGTCATATTCTTACATGACATGCATGTCAAAAACTATCATGTTTTCACCAGTCATATACCTTCGAAATCCATTGGCGTCACATAATACCAAATTTGGTATACGTGAGGCTAGCGAAACGATCGCGAGCGCACCATGAGCGTGGCTTGTAGTCATGACTTACATGACATGCATGCCACGATTTTCTCGTTAGGGTCTGTCACTTATGTTTGCCATGCAGTCATGTCATACCATACCAGCTTTGCAATATATCATGTGAACGAAAGCACCACCAGAGCAGCAAGACCTTGAAATGTAAATCATGATATTCATGACATACATATCGTGATTTTCGTGTTATGACTATTTCACTATGGTTGTCCTACCGTCATGTTATTTCATACCAATTCTGCAATCGATACCATTATCGAAACGGCCAAGAGAGCTATAAGTCGTAGGAGGCTAGATAGATATAGGTACACACGCTCAATGTCGCCGAAGTTCGCTAAGAAATGTTTCGCATTTAAAAAAAACGTGGCTCCACATGAATATATTGTAATTTAAGGGCTGTGAACCCGGCTGTTGAGATCAAATTAAATTTCGTGTCGGCTTACACTTTGTGCAAATGCCAGCGAAACATCGTGCGGTCTATAAAGCTACAGAGGACGCCGTTCTTGACGGTTCGTCGTCATTGACCGCTATTCCGGAAGTGCAATAACGAGACCGTATATGTTGTTTCCTGTGCAAGAGTTCACTGACGTACACGGCCAGATATCACGGCTCCTTAAATCTCGACCTTGGCTCAATTTCGTCACTCTGCTGATAGGCGTGAAGTGTCGAAACGCAAGTCGCTAAAAAGACAGTCGTGGCCACAGCGGCCGTCATACTATATCCTGTTCTACCAGAGCGTAGAGCCAGGCGCTTCGTGAGGCTTGCAAAACGTGCATAAAACGTCTGCCTTCGTTATATCGCGAGTGCAAGTCTTGCAAGTTCTTACGTCTAAGGTTCTTACCGGAGACCATTTTACTGGTTTGTGGCAATACACAACGGCGAGCAATGGTGGAACAGCGTCGAATCAAATGCGTCATTCTGCTAATCGCGAGTGGCTTCACTATCGGCGCAGAAAACAACCTGATCGACTCCTTCTACCAAAGCGAGCACGAGTCAGCACCTCGGTTTTCGAACCCTGCAAAGATGGAGAACGCAATCAAAGTGCAGCCGACAGGCGGCAGCGTTAGACTAAGCTGCCGAGCGACGGGCGTGCCAGAGCCCCAGGTGGCGTGGTTCAAGAACGGCCAGCGGCTAAAGTTCGCCCCCTCCAACCGCGAAAACGCTCAGAGGTTCGCACTGACGCTCACGAACCTCGTCCGTAACGACAGCGGCGAATACACGTGCGTCGTCTCCAACCGACTCGGCTCCGTACAGTGGACGTACACGGTGGAAGTTCACGAGCGCTTCATACCAACGCCGAAGATAGTGTGCCCGTTCAACAACGTCACCGTGGCAGAAGGAGGCAGCCTGAGCATCACTTGCGACGTCTACAGCCACCTGACGGCATTCGTGCGCTGGATCAAGCACTACCACATCAATGGGAGCTACTTCGACCGTAATGGAGCGCCGTACGCCAAGTTGGTCAAAGACGCGGCTCTCGCCGATGTCACGGACCCCCACACGCTTACGCTGCATAATGTCACGCTCGCCGACTCCGGTTTTTTCTCCATACTGGCCAGCTCGCCATCGGGGGCTTCACACAAGACGATAGAGGTCCTCGTCGTGCCAAAGCCTTTTCCGGGATTGTGAGTTTTGAAGACGCCCCCTCGTCATCTCAATTTGTCCTTTGAAAATAAAAGTAAGAACGAGCCTTCATCCAATGAAGTGAATTAATTATAAATCGTACTGCTTTGTTTTCCATCAATGAAATTGCTGTGCAGCCTCATATGTTCCACCTTGCTCTCTCAGGAAATAACTGTCGAACGGTTCATTCCGCGTTCACATCAAGCGAGGGACTAAGTTGAATAGGGATCGAAATACCCCCACTGCCGCAACGTGGTCCAACAGATTTATAAAAGCCGAAATGATTCTCGGTGCGTTGTAGAGACTACCACTCGGCGCTGTATACGTAAAGTTGGAGTCCTTTATAAGAGGCTTGCTACGGGCAGCAATTCTTGTATTTTATATGAGATGTCTCTTATAAGCAGGGAACCTCGCATGCATTGTCTTATCAACCCATATTTTACTGAGAGCACACTGGTGTCTCTTATACCCATCTGTCTCTTATATCAGTGCCTCTTATAAAGGGATTTGACTTTATACCGCAGCCACCATCGATGTTTCGTATTCCTTTTATGACGAGAGCTATGGTGCAAACTAGAGACGAAGGCTGAATCGGCGAGAATCGACGAGCGCCACTGTCCCAAGTAATACTCCTAAGTAATGTTCCAAGTTAACCTCCCTTTTTTTTACTTTATCTTTTTTTTCTCTCTCTTGTTAGTTCTCACTATCATTGTATCTAACAAAAAAACAAGCCCTTGAATTTAAACTTATTTCCTTCATCATGTGTTGCAATTGGTTACTTCGCGTAAACTGTGGTAACGAGCCAAAAGCGGATGAAAAGTTCTGTGCGGGTAAAGCTCGATCTTGATCATAAATGACCGCGTGGAACCGCCGTCACACTTGGCTATGTGCCAATCAGTGCGAACAGTAGCAAAACAGTGCATAAAAGTATCGTCGTTCTCACATTCCAACGTACCCATATAGAAATTGACAAGACGCTATTGACGGATATTCAATGAAAATAGGAAGCAGCTCCATTAAACGCGCATCTCAAGGTGCATTAGGGATAGCGAACCTTTTTAACCAGATACAAATGCTAAAAGTGGTGCGAATATTGATTGAAACCACCTCATCCCTCCCACCACAATAACACGAGGAAACCAACCTTCATGGGAAACACTACACGCATATGTATAATTCACTGTTTTTAGGCTTTTTGTGTTACTAGTCTGCTCATACTGACCAATACTTGTAAGACATCATCGGCTCTCATCGGCAGCGCTGAGGCAGCTCTCTCTCATTCTTCTTCACGATATGTACGCTGATAACATGCATATTTATACCGATGGATCAACTACTGTCCAGTTTTCGTCCTGAGGAGTGGTATAGTCCCAGCGAAGGCTACCACCATCAGTTTCAAGACAGACCACCCAAGGACTTCCCCGGGTGCAGAAGTTGCTGCTCTTCGCGCTGCACTTCAGGTAGTCAGCCGCGAACAGCCTCAACAATGATCAATCTTCAGCGATTTGAAGGTCGCTCTGCAATCTTTGCTGTCAGCTCTGCGGCACAAACCATGCGAGCAGTTAGTCTTCGAGGTTAGGTATCTCCTAAATACTTCGTTCGAGAAAAGACATCACGTGACGTTTCAGTGGCTGCTAGCTAACCCACTGCGGCGTGGTAGGTGATGAAAATGCTGACATTGCTACTCGATCAGCTCTTCGAAGGGACACGGTCGAGACAATGTCCATATAGAGGACCAATGCTGCTATCCAACTTCGAGTGGTCGCACTAATCGCTTTCTCCAATAGGAATACAGCAAGTAGACTGCGCAACCAACACCACCACTGCCCGAACACTTTACGTCTTTAGACACTTACTGGACTACACCGAAATGACACCACTCTGTTTTGCCGTTTATGGCTGAGAGTGGCTTTAACGGAATCATCCTCCTTTCGGATCGGAATGGCTGACGACCATTTTTACGACAACTGTGGTTACAAGGAAACATTAGCGCACATCTTCTGCGACTGTTCTCAATACGATATACAGGGAACATATCTAGCAGCCACTAACTAGCACAGATCAGAGACCTATGACGGCAGAAACAATTCTGGAATGTCGACCCGAAAGAACATCGCGGGTGAAGGCGACGAAGGCGGTGCTCAACTTCTTGAAAACAACTGACTTGCCGCAGCAATTATAAACTTACTGTTCCATGGTGACTGTGAAGTGCGACTTTATGTACGTGATCTGTCTACTCTCTCTTTTTATCCATCTTTAAAACTTTCCGACCCATTTCGCCTGTGTATCGGGTTGCATAACAGTCCTCTTAGACTGGTTATATTTCCTTTCCTTCCTGTTCCTTCCTGCCTTCCATTCTTCGTCCAAACAAGAAGCAGATTTAGGTTATAGGTACATACTAGTCAACCAAGAAGAATTTTATATTACACCATGAAACGCTTCATGAATTGTTCGGTATACCTGTTTTCCTTCATTGTGCAGCTTCCATAAAATGAAAAAGAAAACTGAGGCGATAGAAATAAACGGTTCAAGCGTAGAAAACAGCAAATTACTCACTTAAGCAAATATACAGGCAAATAAACAAAATACCAAGAGCACTTATTGGTAATAATATACCTCAATCTAATGTGACCACGTGATCACAGTACAACACACAATATACGGCAAACGCACCAATAAAGAACGTGGTACATGCAGCCAAGTCGCATACTGGGCGAGGTCGAAACGAAATAATGGAAGTGAAGCATACTGCAGCGCAAGCGATGCAGCCTTGGAGACGTCGTGGTGTGTGCAGCGCTAGGTCGCAACAACACGACGGTCCCTTCGACCGTCGAGCCGTGATCGGTGTTAGCCGCCCGTAGGTATCGAACCGCGTTCGATCTACTGCGCCGCTGCAACAGGAGGAACGGCCAGTCCAACTCATTCGCCGCGTGCCTAAGGAAGTGCGAGCCCGGAAGCGGATATGGGCTGCGGGAGCGCGTTCAGGCGGGAAGCTCCCGCTATCGCGCAAGCACAGGAACCAATCAAGGAAAACGGCGACAGCGCGATAACGGTGAGTTTAATAACGTATTTGAGCACTCAGACTTTCGCGACGGGTCGCCAGAGAGTTTGACGTCTTCTATCCTGCTCGTTATGTTTATAATCAACTGTTCTATTTTGTTCGTTACCATAGTCAACAAAGTGCCCACATGGCAACCGATGCCGTACAACTGTTCACGTAGTGGAATAATTTGACATTGGACACAACAAGGGACGAAAACCAGTGTTACCTTCGTGGGGCTAGCAGGCTTTCTTTTTCCTGTGTCGAATTGCGCTAGTTAAACAGCTATGCATACATAACCAACAATCCCAACTTCATACTCTTGTCCATGTAGTACCTCGCACGTTCTTTGTAACGTTTGCCCTCTACCCGTAGCCGTCCACGGCGTTTTCCTTGAAGGTCACAGCGCCTCCCCCCCTCCCTCCGGTCGTCGAGTTTGAAAGAAATCAAACTTCGCAGTGGATGTAAGAAAATGAAATCATGCGGAGACTGCATGAATCTCAGCGAGCTATACGGGCTTGTTGGTGGGTCATATACTTGTACGAGATGAGCGCACAAAAGGAGAGCGCTACAAACAGTTTATTTCCTCCTGTGCGCACGACATTCACGTGAACACATTTAAAAAAAAACTTGTTATGCACCAAGATTATCTGTCTCTGATGCAATCCACCTCGGTATTAATAATAACACTGTTGTTTCTGGAAAATGCACATTGTCGTCCGCGAAACAGGTATATCAGTCTGAAAGTGAAAGAAATAAACCATTGTTAGTAGTGCCTGTGTGTTCGTCCCTTCTTGTGCGCTCATCTCGTACAAATATATAGTCACAACGACCTGTTAATGATCCGCGGCATCTCGTGGGTGAAAATGGGAACTAAAGAGGTCTTGGAACAATGCAACATGAGAGGCATTCAGCAGAAGTTACGGTAAAAAAAAAACTGGCAGTACAAGTACGTCTTGATAAATGTATGGATCAGACTTGGCTGCTTCCCTCAACTGATTGCGAAAAAGGGGGGCTCTGCCCTGAAAATATTGCGCACACTTATGCCTCTACCCCACTATCTACCTCTTCTCTGATTAAAACTAATATTTTCTGCTGCCGTTTTTTTTTTTTTTTGCCTCAAATGAAAGGCCAAGTCCTTAAGAGCCTATATACTGGGCACTGTGCCTCCGTAAGTAACGCGAAGGCAGCCGTTTTGAATGTTTTGGTGATGTTGAAGCGGCCATTTTAGAAAGAAGTTTTGGTGCCTGACGCCATCCCTGCTAGCCAAACTGCTGCATGAAGTCACCAGAATTCGCACTGCAGATTGACGTCAGGTTAGTGTCGATGTCAGTTGATGCGCAACGAAGATATTCTTTTCATATCAAAATAATATATCTAACAAGCATTTGCTTAGCCTCTCACTTTCTCAGAGCTGTATCTATATCCAGGAGACTTGTATGGCAATGTAAAAACATCTCCGAAAAATGGTGTCAGCATCCCTTTAGTTAAAACATCCACCAGGGGAAAACTGGAAAGCTTGTTCAGCATTTCGCGACCTTTATTTCTTTCTACAGAAAAGTAGAATAGGACATTAAACCAGTGAACCACGTGCCTAAGAGGGAACGTGGTTACCTGGATGTCCCCAAGATAGTTCTTAATTATATCAAGGAATATGCCAATTATTTTTATTCACAATTCAGGAAAGTTGTGTAGGCTTTTTTTAGCATGCGTGATTCGCCGTAGTCGATAAATTCTACTCCAACGCTTAAATTCTGGCTTTGAAGCAAAACGCACCTGGCCCTTTCCATATACGCCTGCCCAACTTCACAGAGTTGTCGTTCAGTGAAATGTTTTTCCCTAAATTTTTGTTTAAGGTGGTGAGCCCGAAGCAGTATGAGGGACATAGACAAGCTGTCTGCCTTGCCCTTTTTTTTTTGTTCGTTTAATGCAACGCTGGCGCTAGAGCACTTAAAAAAACAATGCAAGAACAAATAGCCCGAACTATATCCCTTCGATTTCAGACAGCCATGTTTTTGTTTTCTGTTTTTTTTTGCATCTGCAATGTTAATTTGGCTGTATAGGACCTTAGGGGATACGTTTTTTCAAGGTTTTTTCAAGTGAAGAGATCTTTTTTTTTTTTAATTTGAGGTGCTCGCGGATGGAAACAGGACACTCGGAGCAACGTCTATAGTTGACTCGGAGCGTGACGCCACTCGTGGAACCAAGGTGTTGCATTGGGGTATAGTGGTGGGGGGGGGGGGGGGGGTGGAGAGAAAGAACATACACGAAGCAGGATTACTCCTTCCAGTCGCTAAAGAGTCGGCATTTAGTTCACAAAGTACACACTGCCAGCGTGGCGCTGCTAGGCTCGCGACATTGTTTCTTGTTGCACGAAGGCAGGCTTGCGGCTCACTTTCTTTTGTGTCGGGACTGAAACCACGAAGTAAACTTTCTGTGCTTCTATGCAGAAGTTTGTCGTGTACATGAACACATGCAAGACGTGATCTTCTAGCTGAATCCTGTGTCGTACTTGCACAGTACGCGAACCGCATCGCCTAAGTGCGAAAAAGGAGACGGTCGTCTGCTGGTGCGGCAACATAAGTGGTGCGCAGCTGCGAGCCAGTTCGGTCGACACGCCAATGTACGCGAGTCTCGCGGCACGAAGCTGGCAATGTGCATTTTGTCAACTAAATGCCGACTCCTTAGCGCCCGGAAGGAGTAATCATGCTGTGTAGGTGTTCTTCACCTCACTTAATTGCACAATGTAACACCTTCAATCACGAGCGTCGGCAATCGATACCGGTGGCCCTGCGCTCCGAGTGTCCTGTTTCAATCCCTGAGTGCTGTATACCTGCCTTGTCAGGGTCCGGCTCCAGGCCATCTGCACTGGCGTTCATGCACGCGAACCTGAGCAGCGCGACGAACAAACACCCTCAACATGCCCTAGACAGTGGATGTGTGAATGTGGTCGAAGCCACACGGGTGACCACGATTTTGCACTTCCACTGCGCTCGACGGAACAACCGATCATGGCGCGGTTGAAAAATAGATGCAAGCATACATGCATATAGATGATGAAGTATCAGGTTCTGTGTGCATCCAAACAGGTGTCACTAAATTTGTTGAAGTGCTGGTGACTCACCGACAACGAGCGAGATGAACCAACTTGGCACTGTGAATGTCGCTGCGAATACCAGCAGGCGTTTTCTGCTGAAGTCTCATTTCGGCGCCAGGAGGGCGTTTGCGACGTTGTCACGTGAAGATCCCTTGCTTTTTTGCAAGTATAGGGTATCTCAGTGCCAGTGTTCCTCCATACATGGTGTCACAAGCGGCAGCGACGCCAATATAAGGACGAGCCAAACTGGCAACACGCACACAACGCCACAGCAAGCACACATGTCCACCTTCACCGGTCCGACACAATATGGCGGCGGCGCTCTCAATGGGTGTCGCCATTCTCCCGGCAAGAAAAGGCACTGGCATTAAGAAACACTAGGCCAGACTGCATCACCATGATACGATTGTACCACGATGGCTTCGACGACGAAAGGCGATATCAGCCCAAGATAAAAGGCAGCGAGTTCTTGCGCTTCATGGGTTGCTTATGAACCAGTGCTCATGCATCAGCCGAATTTCAGTCAGCATCTGATGGTTGGATCACATGACCGCCTGCAAGTTCTCTGCAAAAAACAAAATAAAACGATTTTGCATCATGAAACAGGATGCGGTACGACCTGGCTGCAGATAATTTCTTCACTTCATCTCACGATGCAAAATAAGTCACTCGCTTGGTATTTATTCAGCCGTTCAGAAAGGTTGTGCTTATACAAACCCACGATTGAGCTAAACAGCGAGTATTCCCCCGAAACAGCGTGAGCGTCTAGCTGTCTAAGCTGGAAATACCAATAGTATCGAATGCATTGAATAAGAACGGCTATTTGGGCTAGTTGGTTGGAATTCATGGTAATAAGGGCTGCAGCGCGAGCACGAAGTTGCTAGAAGAAAAGTGAAACGAAAGGCGAGGCAAGGAAAGCAACGAGGACAACACGAGAGAAGAAATTATGAGTCTGTTATCTCTCGTGTCCAACCGGGCATGTTTATGATTGGCAGGTGACGCTAGCATAACTTAGTATGCATGCGTAAGTTCTGCATCCGCCTCCTTTTCCACCAATGGGCGTCCTTTCAGTTGATAGTACCAAAACAACGCACAAAAAAAAAAGAGAGCTATCCTTTTCTCAGTTCCCGTTTTTTTTTTTCTGTTTTGCGTTAAACTGGTATGAATCGTGACCAACTTGCCCAGCTTTCTCCGTTGACGAACGGAATCGGCGTTATCTCGCTCTCTTCGTGCGTTTGTACAACCACCCTCTGCCTGCTCTATTTAAAGTGCACAATTTGCACTGTAAGAACAGTTGGGGTCATGCAAGGGGGCAAGGGACGCTAAGAGGCACTTATGTGAGGAGAAATTCGTTAAAGGGTGGGTGCTGCAGAAACGACGTTTCGAAAAGCGGACTTGTATTTTTGAAGGCTGCAACTGATTTTGTTCGCGCTGGTGTGTGACTGCTTTGTATGATATTCAGACAAAGGAGGAGAAGAGGGAAACTTGGGGAAAAAAAAAGGGGGGGGGGGGGGGGGGTACGAGTCACTGAATAATGGTTCTCGGAAGAAATCACGACATAACAACCACAAGCTGCAGAATATCCTATGAGGACTTGACACTTATATGTTACCGTTGTGTATGTGTCATAACAATAGGACTTAAGAGCCCCTTTTGACACATTTATACCGGCTGACTGAAATGTATTAAACTTGTGAATAACGTATGACCCTGCACATTTTCCGACTGCTTTCGGTAATTGTTTCGCCTTGTCCGCGCAATGACCATTTAATCTCGCATTAGCAGGAAGGAAGAAGGAGGAAGAAAGTTTAAGCGGCAAGACAGGGAGGTTAGCCAGTTCTTAGACCGGCTGGCTACCCTGTGCTGGGGAAATGGGTGAGGGGAATAAGAGATGTTAAAAAGAAATGTTGCGAAGAGAGAGAGAGAGAAATTACAAAAAAAATGCGACTGAGGAAAGGCAACATCAAATAGTGAGACTTAAGTCTGTCTCTGAGGCTAGTTGTCCGCAAAAAGAGCAGCAAAGCTTTCAAAGCCTTCTGGGCTGAGGATGGGCTAAGCCAATGGCCCAGAATCCTTTGTTCCGACAAAGGCCGATCGTCCAGTCTATCCAGAACTGCAGTGAGTTCTTGTCTTTGCGCGTTGAAATGGGTGCACTCACACAGAAGATGCGCGATGGTTTCTTCGCAGCTGTAAGTGCATGTAGAAGAGCTGGCCATTCTAATGATATAAGAGTATGCGTTCGTGAAGGCCACTTCACGGCAGCCACAATAGCAGGCTGTCCTGTTTTGCTAATGTACCGTTTGCGACAACATGTTAATGAAATGCCTATTATCATTCTTGGTGCATCTCGAAGTGCGTATAATATTTCAGCTTTGCAGCTGTAGTTGCCACCATAGAGCTAAGAGCAATGCGATACACTTAGACATATACACAGCACCCGCGGTAACCATTTCATGCCGTAGTCAGACATTATGAAGCCCACTTTGCATGACGATAGATGCGCTGAGCGACAACCACTGCACACAGTGTGCAGGATCTGGAGCTGACGCTCTCACCATTGGCAGCGACTTCGGGCTTTCAAAGTGGGACGAAGTAGCCTGCGATTCAGACAACGTCATTCTGCTCACCGATTCCTCAAGGGTGAGTGTTGCACACCCTCCACTTTGCATTTACATAAAGTATATGCAGGTAAAGCTCGTTCAAACGAAACAAGATTTTACAAAGTTCTTCATCTAGCGAATAAAGTTTCAGTACTCGGAGGCTACCTATAGAGTTTAGTGTTGTGATCAACTCAAATTAGCGAACTATTTTAGCCACCAGACCTGACATAACTAAGTATTTCCTGAATTAACTGAGTCAAAAAACTGTGATTTCCTTTTATTTTTTTTTAAAGCAGCAGCGCACATAAGGATACAAAACACGTACACATAAAAGACGCAAGCACAAGCACTTCTAATTTTAACCACGACCTTCCTTTTTCCTTTTTTTTTTTCCTTGAGCGCGCGCTTTACGGTTGTCGCGTTGAAACATCCGAGCGCCCTAGTTCCAACCCCTGCTTTACTTTCACCAGCCTGCTTTACCGTATTCATATGCACGCAACACCGGGCGCTGCATTCGATAACGTTCTTGCGTATACCTGACGGAGCTATAGCGGCGGCGACGGTCGCTTTATCTATTGACGTCAGACTTTAGAAGTGTGGCAGCTTGGGCTAGTTGGTATGGCATGACGATAGTTATAGCGCAAGAACAAAACGACGACACAGAGACAAGATGTGCACAAAAGACACGAGCGCTAGTTATAGCATTCGTGTCTTTCGAGTCCTTCTTGTCTCTGTCGTCGTTTTGTTCTCGCGCTATAACTATCGTCAGACCCTGGAGTTTTGCGGACACGAAGCGCCACCTTTCGACGCAGTTTCGGGTAGTGCAATGCCCGACTCTTATGCACAGTTTGCTGCACAACCAGGTGCCACTACAACGTACGAAACAACGATTGAGCTATATATTAGGTGTTTTTGCACATTGGACACCTAGAAAACAAGCTACGAAGTTCTTTACGCTAGCCGGACGCGTCACCGAACTCCCGTGAAGAGAGAGAAACAACTTTGTTTCTGAACCGCAGTGAAGTGCTTGCTGGTCTACTCGCCAGAACAACGGCCAAAACAAGAGCAGACGCAAGAGCTCCGCGCTCTACGAAAAAAGACCCCAGTCGACACTACTGTTGTGTTGTGAATTGCTACAGACGTAAATGACTTCAGTTTACTGTTTTCCGCAGCTTTCGAGAAGCAGACACTGCATGGATACGGGCCGTTGCGAACGTGTTGGGTAAGCGAACTACTCGCGCTCTCCACAGCTGTTCGCACGAGAAAGTATGATATTGTTGGTTTCCTGTTATTCTTTTGGGTACCTTTGATGGAGAACCATGGTAACTTTGATTTAAAGCTTAACGGAGCTTCTGATCGCGTGCGCGCCGTGCAGCAGTAGACAGGTGACGCGCGCGATAAACATCGCACACGCCGCGACCGCCAATAATCTTAAGTTGCACAGCATTACGCCGGAGAACTTTCAAGACTCTAAGTTCCGGCTTTAACTAGGAAACTCGAACACGTACGTCATACAGGTAAATCGCAAAATGATCGTGACCACAATCAGGATTTTTTTTTTTTTTGTCGTTGGTCTTCGCAATTGCCGGAGGTATCTGAGCTATCTCGGAGTCCTCGGTTTTGCCTTTCGTTGTAAATCGAAAAAGTGGATACGCCCATTTGCAGTACATACAAACGGATGACAATTGTCAACAAAACATTGTAGCGTGCGAAATAAAACAGTTCAACGCACAGGAAGCGAGAGATCGATGGAGAATCCAACTGCAAAGGCGAAAATTGCCAGGGCTAGTCGTGCCGGATAAAGCGAGCTTCGCGCCACTAATCGTAAGACAGATTGCCCATGGGAGATGATTTTGGGAAATGATTTAGACTCTAACCAAAAGTTTTTGAAGAAACCCGACGAGATTGCTCATGTATGCACTTCACTGCTTTGGCATCATGCGGAGGCCCACGTTTAACGCATTTAGACGCTAGAGAACGAACATCGGAGTGCTTGCCTCGAACTCAATGTTATGAGATGCTCGCTTGCATTTAAGTGCCAGTTGGAGTACACCGAAATAATTGAAACACATTTCGCATTGTACCCACAGTTCGTTTTGATGAGCTACCCACTTTTCTGGAGTGAGGTCATTTTGAAGGAAGAAGTTTGCCAGGTCTCGATTTTCAGGAAACCGCTACTAAAGACCAACGAAAGAGGAGGGCCTATGCACGTTCGCTTGCGGACGGCTCGCTTTGCACTACCCATTTATGGCTGGCGCGTCGATGGGGGCGCTGGTGGCGGCGTTTCAGATCAGATAGCACTGATCATCTCCACGGATCTTTCTCGCTCTACCTGCTCGCCCAATCACTGTACTGGCTCTCCCCGCACTCGCACATTGAAGGCTTGCTGTCACAGTTTCACGTGACCGTTTCAAGGTATATGTAAACTGGTAGCGTAACTTCCATAGAAGCCCATAGGTGCAGTAGTTGGCGGCTCGTTGCCACAGCCGCCATCTACGAGAGGAGGGGACAACTAACAGCAAAAAAATATATATATATATGACACCACAATTAGAAGCGCTAGGACGTCACGCGTTTGCCCTACTTGAAAAATTGAAAATTGAAATTTTCCTTAATTGCCGGCCTGCTACGTACGTGTCTTTATTAAAATGTGATTTTATTGCGACTCCATTGTGTTTCGCTAATTGCATGCGAAAGAAAAGAAACAAAAATAAAAAAAGATTGAGGAAGCAAAGTTGTTTTATTAGCCAAATGACGTACTTGCAATAAGCACAAGAAACTTCACAGAGGCATTTGTGAGACAACTGTTCACGAGCACAATAGAATAACAGTTCAAAAACTCACGTTGCCCTATTGTTGAAAGCTTTGACAGCCGTAGCGTACAGTGCTCAACTCGGCTGTCTATAACGACGAAGCGTCGTGCGCGACACAGCACGGACGACATCTGCAGTCGCAAATACGCCACATCTGAGCATGCGCGGCGCCAGTGATGTGCCTGCCTCGCAATACTGATCCCTGTTTATCGCCGTGGATGCAACAACTGCTTTGGCTGTCGAAAGCGCTAGCGATTTCGTGAAAAAATAAAAAAAAAACAAGAAAGAACGACGAAGCAAAACCGTTGTCGCTGTGATATAATATCACGAAGTGAGAATATTTCTTTTTTGTTGTTCTTTTATTTCGATTTTGTAATGTTGACAGCGCTTCGACGGCCAAAACAGCCATCGCGGCCGCGGAGATAAAGAAGGGTGGAAACTGCAGGGCAGGCAAATTATTGGCGCCGCGCATGCTCTGATGGGGCGTATTTGCGACAGCAGATGTCGTCCGTGCTGTTCCGCGCGCGACGCTCCGTCGTTACAGACAGCCGAGTTGAGTACTGTACAGCGTCTTGGTGCTTACTCTGTCGCGCTTGCAGTCACTAAAGGCGAGGGCACGCCGGCTTTGCTCCAGCGAAAGCAGTCGGCAGTCACAGGAGCGGCTATCTACGTATTCTGTGAGCTAGTTGAGCTATGAAATGCGCATAAAAAATAAGTAAACTTTGTAGGTACGCACAAAACCACCACGGAAAACTGAGCGATGCCTCGTTGACCTGGTAATGCGCCGAACCAAAGAACACGCCGACACAAGCTCCGATAACATATTGCCTGGATGCGCCCCCAAATCCGTTGGGTCATGTTACCAGGCTGCATGTTTGTGCCCGCTAGCGCTGTTCCTGAAACTAAAAAAAAAGGCGCTCAACCACATACCAAAAACCAAAACTTTATTAAAGTACTCTACAGTTTTATTGTAACAAATAAAATTAAAACTGTTCAAAATGAACGTTTAATTTTTTTTTCGCTATATGTCACCCCCCGCCCCCCCACCTTACCTAGCCGCGCTTCAATAGTCATGCGGTTGTTGATGTCTGTCGCAATGGCTTTGATACCACTTTTCGTTACGACTTTCGCGGCCTATTTAGTGTGACCTTGACCGTTTGGCGTATATCACTCGTATAGACATGGTAACCCCTATTGGACGTGCCATGTCCAAGCCGCCCTCGAGCTGCCCTCGCAGACTTTTCAGTCGCGGAGCTCCGGGTAGTCGGAAAAAGCAATGCCGTCATATCTCTTGCGTCTCGCTACGTTACATTTTTAGCATTGGAAGGACCGGAATACCCTTTCCTCAATTTGACCAAAAACCCCGACTTAACCAAATAATCCAACAACAATAATTGTTGTGGTTTATCGAAACAAACCCACGACATGATTACGAGAGACACCATAGTGGAAGGCTCTGATAATTTTGACCACCTTGGGTTCTTTACGGTGTGTTCAGACCAGAGTTACCTGATGCTACCGAGCTAATAACCATCTCAAAAGACGCCCAACAAAAGCGGCACGACTTTCGCGAGGAAACCCAAAGGAACCGGAAAAAAAAACTCTTGCGTTCTTGAAAACATTTTTCATTATAATGAAAAAATGTCATTCAAATGCGAGGGATAGTTGCAAAAAAAATTTTTTTCCACAGTGAGAAGGGGCGAAAACATGAGCGATAGCACACAGATAATTACTATTCAAAGTGTCTCCAGGGCAATATCCGTTCGACTGAATACATGTTTGGCAGTTCACGATTACTGCCCATTGTAGATTCCCTCGAGATAAGTTTGACTTCATCACTAAACTACACACAGTCAAAGATGAAGGTGCTACAAGTGAACTACAAACGCGCTATCAGTAACGTGATTAGCAAGTATATTTGCTGGAAAAATTGAAATACGCTCCCAAAACACGACAAACGACTGGAAAATTCTACAAGCGACTCTGGGGAAAAAATCACAGGATATCCACAGAGTGCATGATGATGAGTGGGGCGAAGCATCCGTCAGTTCGTCCACGTTTCCGTCAGTTCTTGCTTCCGTCCATCCGTACGTCCGTCTGCGCAACCGTCCGTGCGTTTGTCCATGCGTCCGTCCATCCATGTGCCCGTCCGCCCATGCATCTGTCCGTGCGTTCGTTCATCCGTGCCTCCATCCGTCCGTACATCAGTCTGCCCATTCGCCGTAAGCGTGCGTCTGTCCATGTAGGGAACACTCCAAGCACCGCCATCTCGCACCTTCTCATCATATATAAGTACCGCCATCCAGCGGACATTCCAAGGACTAAACGAGAGGTGGCATGGCCGGACTAGAGGAGCGGCACGCGCGCACTTTCTTACGGCCTGCGCTTCTTGTCTAGTTCCCACCTTTCACCGCCTCTAGGTCATGGCACTGCGGGCCAACCCTCGTTAAACCTTGCCAAAACCAGGCAGAGAGTTTAACACCTATAGAGAGTTTAACGTGGCAACCCTTTCTGGTCCCATAGTGCTGAAAGTGCGTCCTTCTGATACTAGTTTTTTTTTTAGTAAGCATCCCATTCAGGGCAAATCTTATTTGAGATTAAGCCACCGATACTCGTCTCTGTAGGCTATTTCATCATGAACAACTATCTTTTCACTTATGATTAATGTGCGCGGCTTTCCTCTTCAATTCAAAAGTGCGCGCGCGTGCCGCTCCTCTAGTCCGGCCGTGGTGGTGGCTACGTACTACTACTACAACGACTACTACTACTAGTACTACTACTACTACTGCTACTACTACTACTACTACATACATCGCGGACGCACGACCCACGGCTGCTTCGCCCCTAAAAGCCCACATGCACTTATTATAAGCGGCACTTGCAACTCTGCTTCCGACAACGGAGAGAACTGCGGGCGGCCGAGTCCCAGCCTCCAGGACAGTAAGAACGCAATTGGTCCGTCCGCTCACGCCATCCAAACGTGCCGTCCGAAACGGGAGGGATGAAGCCCGGGCCGAAGCCAGTTTCCACCGCAAACGATGTCGCACGCTTGTTCGAAGAGCTGCCGACCTATTCGGCAGCCGAAAAAAAGAATAAATAAACTGGTCTTGTCGCCCTACCCATCCGAGCGCGCGGCCAGCCGCCGTGGATCACTCTAAGAAAAAGTCGAGTGCTTGGGGAGTATTTTTGGCACGCCACAATAATCGTCACCTACTTCGTACATCCCACGCGATATCACCACCGTTCCGATAGGTCGCGGTCACGAACGGCGCGCGCGTTTTGTCAAACGGTTGGTTCCTGAAAATGTTTTCAGCATTGTTGCCACTCCCGACCCCAACCAGAAGTGGACGGTCAGGTAAAGGTGAGATCGCGGGCTAAAAAAGCGGCGGTTTGGTCCGTCGTCTGAATCCACCAACAATGTGCACCTAAATCAAAGCACACGGGCATCAAACATTTTCGATTCCATCGAAAAGGAGGCCGCCGTGGCCGGGATTCGTTGCCGCGACCATCGGATCAGCAGTCGAATACCATAACCACTAGAACGTTGTACCGGGTCAACGAAATAATTCGAGAGCGGTCATCACTACGTTAAATCGAGTTTCAAATAAGTGAAAGCACAAACTCAGCAGAAGCAAAATGGCATGGTAACAAAACTTTTAAACCATCAAAAATAAACGTTGAATAGACTTTGTCCCTTCTGCGTTACAGAAAACATGTATTCCAGAATTTTCTTCCCGCTGAAAGAACATGTTTTTGGCAATAACGGGAGAAATAAACTCGTGCATAAAAGTTTTAGACGCTCATCACTAAGCACTTGATAAAATGCCTCTTAAGATGTACGCACTAACATACTGTAACGTAGTGGCCTATACGCTCTTTGCCGTTAGGTAATACTGAGAACGTGTCCTCGAGCCTCGCTAAAAAGCAAATATACGTTTAAGGTACGATATACTTACTGTATCGCGTCGTCAGGTGAAATCTAAGTATACGTGCACGCACAGTCCAGCAATGTCATAAAGATAATGACATGCTTGTTCATGGCAATGTAGCTATACATCTACGCATTTCATGTAAACATGCACGACATTTGTACCCGTTCATTTACTTCACAAAAGTTTCACTCCGGCATGTTATCAGTCACGTCCCCTCCTCCCTCCTCTCTCCTCATTTATAAATAGGGAGGTTCGGAGGTTGACACAAATTGATTGATTGATATGTGGGGTTTAGCGTCCCAAAACCACCATATGATTATGAGAGATGCCGTAGTGTAGGGCTCCGGAAATTTCGACTACCTGGGGTTCTTTAACGTGCACCCAAATCTGAGCACACAGGTTGACACAAAGAACGTCGTTTACTAGCTTGCTGCCCCTTCTCACTTAACACGAACGTAGCTCAGCATAAGTTGGGTGCTGTTTCCTTGGCAACGCGTATTGAACGCGAATGGCGTTGACACATTCTCATCCGTCCCCAGGTCTGTCACTATTTGCAGTATCCCGAGGAAACCACGTTTATCTACTCGTACTTTGAAAGTATAGGGAGCAAGTACGACAAGACGCTGTTCTTCGGACTACAGTATATACTGAAGAAGTGGATGGTTGGTCCGGTGATCACCGTAAAGAAGATAAACGATGCCAAGGAATTCTTCAGGATGCACTTCAACCAGGAACTCTTCAACGAGTCTGGATGGATGCACATCGTCGAGGTATACATCCTGGGTACATTTCGTTTTGCAGATTGAAATCAAAATATCGTCCGGCGGCAGTTTCGCAGTAATTGACAAGAACTAATAATGTAACTATACGACTGCTTGAAAGAGCGTAATTGGGACAACATTATAGTTATTACTTCAGCCGTTTATCACTCCCGGATAAATTAAATTAAATTTTATTTCTTTGGCAGCAAAAAATTGCTAAAGCGGACATACAGAGTTCTGCTCGCTATAATAGTGCAGCATGAGCGGAGATACAGCAAACGAATGCAGCACATAAAACATACGATCGCAATGGTTTTACAAATCAATGTGTACCTAATGTAAGAAAATACGCACATGTATAGACATAGTAATGCTAATTTTTATTTGTAAAGCAACACCAACCAACGCATTAATTAAAAGTAAAAACTTCTTTTGCGGCCACATTCAGGCAAGACCCGGTAATGTGAACCACTGCAGTATGCAGGTGCGTTGCCGAGTGTTTATTTCAATGAACTACGGCACGTCACTTAGAATAAACGTGACCACCCTTCGACTTGAATAGAAGAAGGCTTTATAAACTCTGATGCTCTCTGGTTTACCACAGTCACCCCAAAAGAAGGGTCGAGGCACCCCCGTCACGTCAGTTTTTTCTCTTTATCAAGTGAAACAAGTTTTTACGTTTAATGAATAAGTTCGTTGTGTGTCACTTCTTCAGTTATATTTGTATTTAAACAAGACAGAACTCTCTCACATGTTTCCCTTCAATGTTTTGCGAAATATTATGGAACATTATTTTATACAAAACGCCAAGGCATAAAATGCTACCAAAACATCAAACTCAGTGCATGTTACTTTTCTGTTGGCAGGAGAGTTTAATAAAGGGTCTAGCACAGAAAATATAGTCTTCAGTTTATCTTCACTAAACTTATTCAGCAATGACGGCATGGCTTAGCAATATTTGTTGATTATCGCAATTGTTTTGCTACATTGAGAAAACAAATTGTTCGTTTCTCGCTTGTTTTAAATGCGTGTTTTCCTCTAATTAATCTGCACAGGGAAGTAACTACATTGTCGTTGTTTTTACATATATCACTTACATGATAAATTTCCAAAATCTAGAACAGCCCTACCTTTGAATAAGAGGAAGATATATATATATATATATATATATATATATATATATATATATATATATATATATATATATATATATATATATATATATATATATATATATATATATATATATATATATATATATTACTTTCTTCAAATATTACAGCAAAAGAAATTAGGGCAGGCTCATACAATAAATGCACCAAAATATTTCGAAATCTGCTCGTTGACTTCTTAGGCATTTTGCAAGCCAATATACTACTAACGAACTTACTTTGCATTATTTTCATTAAAATTTCTTTACTGCGCCGTGTACAAATCACAAATACATAGGATAATGACGACTACTCAGAAAAAGTACATGTTGTAACTTCTTTTTTCCTGAAAAAAAATGGCCCACAAAAAGATCTTAGACAAGAACGAGAGAGTGCGCACACAGCACTGCGCTTTCAGTACACGCTTATCAACTAACCTAACTTGTCATATTGACGGCATGTTTCATTCCGATCGGACTGATTTCCGTCGAACTCTCGATTTCATTTGGACTTGCCATTTTATTTCAATTTGAAGTAATGCAACCTTATCATGGACGATCTATTTAAGACATCTGGTCCTACATTGCCGGGGCAACCTACATGCTTTACACATATGCTTTCTGTTGGTAACAACGCATATTATCTTGCTGCCGTTTTTATGACAGTAGCAACACGATGGCCACCTGCCCCTCTCAATTAAGGCCGTGCCTGAAGGCAGTCTGGTACCCACACGCAACGTCCTCTTTACCGTGGAAAACACGGACACTGCAGTACCGTGGCTCACCGGATGGTTTCAGGTGAGCCTTGTGTGGACTTTTTGCCATTTTTTACGCGCCATTTTTCAAACTTCGCGTGCTATCTTTCTGAGCCAAAAAAGAGAACAGACAATAAGTATGTTGCTGAAAATAGCTCAGTTTGATGCCATTTGAACATGCCCACATATGCTTGACCTTTCAATGATTACATGAGAATTTGTTGAGTTAGAAACCTAAATAAGACTAATTGGCTAAACTTAATTAGCAAAACATTAGTTGTGGGTACTACAGTGTACTGGGAAAATGTGCAAAGGGTGTACTTCGCTTAACGAAGGTCCTTTTTTTTTAATCTTGCTACGTGATATTTGGGACACGCTGTATATGTACACATCCAAACTGAAAAAAAGTGCGGACAGGAAGAAGCTTGAAACTACTGGGCTACGACAGTGGTGCATATGCGCATACCTTTGCACGTTCGTCTGCACAGCGCTTGCTGGCCTTCCATTACAGCACAGTTTCCCGAAATAAAAAAAAAACATGAAGTACACGTGAGTGGCATTTCAGAACCTGTATGTCATAATTCATCAATGTGAATTCCGTCGTTAGAGCACACACCGACCACCTTCTTCGGGAGTTACTAAAGTAAATTTCCATTATCGTCACGTTAGTTCCTCCAGCTATAGCATATCCAAAAACTTAATTTGACCGGAAACGCACGAAACACTCACGCACACCCCCCCCCCCCCCTCCACCAAGGCATGAAACACGTGTTTGGTGCCTGTGCGTGTGTGTGATGTGTTTGCACTCTAACGTGGCCGAAGACAGGAGACTTCGTGTTGGTATTTACCTGTTTATTTGGGCGAACCTGTGCCCGGTAAACGGAAAGTCAAATTACAGCAGCAGTCTCGCACAGATAGCAGTCTCGGACTGATAGCGGCGGACGGAGCGTCGGCCTTCGATCAACAACTGACAAGCGGCGAAGCACGTCGGCATTTATACTCTTGCCGTCGAATGTTGTGGCGTTATCGCTGGCGGTGGCGTAGGTTCCAGAACAATCTGTACCGTTCGCACAGTGGGCGTGATCTTATCGAAATGATCTACTACAGTCCGGAACCTTCTAGAAAACTGCAGGCGCGGTTTGCGCTGAGAATCGTGTGGTGTTTTGGGACGATAACAAAAACTTGGGAAATGGAACGTGGCATTGCCCCCCTCTGAAAAAAAAAGGCATCGTCCCGATGCTTTAACTAAAGATGAAAGTACAATAACAATGCAAGACAGTACAATGAATAAATTACGATACAACAATAATACAAAAAAAACACTAGTTCAGTTTGTTAACGCGCATGAAACGGCTTGAGGCGCGCGACATGGACGACTTCAGGTCGCGATCGGCGTCGTTGAGAGTTCGTGATGCCGTCGGGGACAACCTCGTAATCAAGTGGGCCGAGACGTCGAACCACCCTGTACGGTCCGAAGTACCGTCGCAGAAGCTTTTCACTTAGTCCACGTCGGCGTATCGGCGTCCACACCCAAACACGTTCACCGGGCTGGTATTCCACGAAGCGTCGTCGAAGGTTGTAACGGTGGCTGTCGGTCGTCTGTTGATTCTTGATACGGAGACGCGCAAGTTGTCGGGCTTCTTCGGCGCGTTGAAGGTACTCGCTCACATCGAGGTTTTCTTCGTCGGTGACGTTGGGTAACATGGCATCGAGCGTCGTTGCCGGGCTCCTTCCGTAGACCAATTTGTATGGAGATATCTGCGTCGTCTCCTGCACCACCGTGTTGTATGCGAAGGTCACATACGGAAGAATGGCGTCCCACGTCTTGTGTTCGACATCGACGTACATTGACAGCATGTCGGCGATCGTCTTGTTAAGCCGCTCGGTGAGGCCGTTGGTCTGTGGGTGGTACGCTGTCGTCCGGCGGTGGTTTGTTTGGCTGTATGCAAAGATCGCTTGAGTTAAGTCGGCAGTGAATGCCGTTCTTCTGTCGGTGATAAGGACCTCCGGGGCGCCATGACGTAGGACAATATTTTCGACGAGGAATTTAGCTACCTCGGATGCACTGCCTTTTGGCAGGGCTTTTGTCTCGGCGTAGCGGGTGAGGTAGTCGGTAGCTACCACGATCCACTTGTTTCCGAAAGCCGACGTCGGGAACGGCCCCAGTAGGTCCATACCAATCTGCTGGAAAGGTCGACAAGGTGGATCAATTGGCTGCAGAAGTCCCGCTGGCCTTGTCGGTGGTGTCTTGCGTCGCTGACAGTCCCGGCATGTTCTCACATAACGAGTGACGTCGGTGGTAAGACGTGGCCAGCAGTACCTTTCTTGTATCCTCGCGAGCGTGCGAGAAACACCGAGGTGCCCTGCCGTCGGATCGTCGTGAAGGGCCTCCAGGAGTTCTGGTCGCAGAGCTGAAGGCACCACAAGGAGGTACTTGGCTCGAAGCGGTGAAAAGTTTTTCTTTTGTAGAAGACCGTTTCGTAGAAAGAACGACGCAAGTGCGCGCTTGAATACCTTCGGGACTTCGGCGGTCCTGCCTTCGAGGTATTCTATTAGGGCCTTAAGTTCCGGGTCGGCCCTCTGTCGTTCAGCGAAGTCGTCGGTAGTTATCGTTCCTAAGAAGTAGTCGTCATCCGGGTCGTCGGGTAGCGGTTGGTCGACAGGCGCACGAGAGAGACAGTCGGCGTCGGAGTGTTTTTTGCCGGACTTGTAAATGACAGTAATGTCATATTCTTGAAGTCTCAGGCTCCATCGTGCGAGGCGACCTGAGGGGTCCTTCAAGGTGGCTAGCCAACACAATGCGTGGTGGTCGCTCACAACTTTGAAGGGCCTGCCGTATAGGTAGGGGCGAAATTTCGACGTAGCCCAGATGATGGCGAGGCACTCCTTTTCTGTTGTGGAATAATTTGCTTCTGCTTTGGATAGCGATCGGCTGGCGTAACTAATAACCCTTTCAAGTCCGTCAGCCCTCTGCACAAGAACGGCGCCAAGACCTACGCTGCTTGCGTCAGTATGTATTTCTGTCTCGGCGAATTCGGCGAAATTGGCAAGTAACGGAGGCGTCTGGAGGCGATGTTTAAGCTCCTGGAAAGCGTGTTCCTGCGGCGTTTCCCACTTAAACTCCACGTCGGCCTTGGTAAGGTTAGTGAGAGGATCGGCGATGCGGGCGAAGTTTTTCACGAACCGCCTATAATAGGCACACAGGCCCAGAAATCGGCGCACGGCTTTCTTGTCAGTGGGCGGCGGGAAGTCGGCGATGGCGGCTGTTTTCCGTGGGTCGGGACGAACTCCAGACTTGCTGATAACGTGCCCCAGAAACAAGAGCTCCTCATACGCAAATCTGCACTTTTCTGGCTTCAGTGTGAGTCCGGAAGTCTTGATAGCTTGAAGTACAGCTTCAAGGCGCCGAAGATGCTCGTCGAAACTCGAGGAAAACACGACGACGTCGTCCAAGTACACAAGGCAAGTCTGCCACTTCAATCCTGCCAGTACTGTATCCATAACGCGTTGAAACGTTGCAGGCGCTGAGCAAAGGCCGAAGGGCATCACCTTAAACTCGAAGAGGCCGTCCGGTGTTATAAACGCCGTCTTCTCTCGGTCTCTTTCGTCGACTTCGATTTGCCAATAGCCAGTCTTGAGGTCCATTGATGAAAAGTACTTGGCGTTATGGAGCCGATCAAGTGCGTCGTCTATTCGTGGGAGGGGATACACGTCCTTTCTTGTGATTTTGTTCAGGCGGCGATAATCGACGCAGAAACGTAGGGTCCCATCCTTTTTCTTCACTAACACCACGGGGGATGCCCACGGACTCTTGGACGGCTGGATAATGTCATCCCGCAGCATTTCATCAACTTGTCTCTTCATGGCCTCACGTTCTCGCGTCGAAACCCTGTACGGAATCTGACGGAGTGGTCTGGCATTTTCTTCGGTTATGATGCGATGTTTCGTGATTGGGGTCTGTCGAATTTTTGATGACGACGAAAAGCAATCTTCGTATTGCAGGAGCAGGGCCTTGAGCTGTTCTTGCTTATCGTTCGGAAGTCTGGGATTGACGTCGAAAGCTATGGGAGGTGCTTGGTTCCTCTGAGCAGGTTCCGCAGAATCAGCGAGGGCGAAAGCACTGGTGGCTTCGACAATTTCTTCGATGTATGCGACCGTTGTTCCTTTGTTCACATGCTTCTACTCATTGCTGAAATTCGTGAGCATAACCGTTGCTTTGCCTCCCCGCAGCTCTGCAATTCCTCTTGCGACGCAAATATTTCGGGTGACCAACAGATGCTGACTGCCTTCAACGACGCCTTCCAAGTCAGGTGATTTAGGAGCGCCGACTGAAATAATGACGCTTGAGCGAGGCGGAATGGTGACTTGTTCTTCCAGCACACTCAAGGCATGGTGTTCTGACGGCGTGCGCGGCGGTAGTGCTTCTTCTGTGGATAACGTTATCGACTTTGTTTTTAGGTTGATGACAGCACCATGGAGGCATAAGAAGTCCATGCCAAGGATGACATCTCTTGAGCAACGCTGTAGGACTACGAAGTCTGTAGGATAAATACGGCCGTCAATGGTGACTCTCGCTGTGCAGATTCCTGCAGGCGTTACGAGATGGCCTCCGGCTGTGCGGATTTCAGGGCCTTTCCAAGCTGTCCTAACTTTCCTTAACTTCGCGGCGAACGACCCACTGATGACAGAATAGTCGGCTCCAGTATCGACGAGAGCGGTCACACTGTGGCCGTCGATAAGAACGTCGAGGTCGCTAGTTCGCCGTCTCGCATTACAGTTAGGGCGTGGCGTCGGGTCACGGCTGCGTCGGCTTGTTCCGCTGCTTCCATGTTGCGTCGTCAGGCCGCCTTCAGTAAGTGAGCTTTCGCCGTCAGGGCTTTGCCTGTTTGGCGTTGTCTTCGGAAAGCTCCGTCGCGGCGTCGTCGTCGTCGGAGGATTTTCGGTAGTTCGTCGCACAGCAACCGCACCTCCACCGGTTGCTGCCCTTAGTTTCCCGGATACGGGCTAGGAGACCGGCCCCGCGTTGGGCCAGAGTACTGCCGGTGGTGCGGTGACGTGTGGCGGCTGGGCGACGGCGAACGCGAAGGGCTTCGTGGTGTCCACCGAGTTCCTGTCAGGTAGTCGGCGATGTCACGTGGTCGTTCTCCTGGCTGTGGACGCGGTGCATTGACGGCGAAGCCACGCAGTCTCATCTGTCGGTACTGGCAACGGCGGTATGTGTGTCCGGCCTCGCCACAGTGGTAGCAGAGCGGGCTATGGTCAGGGGTGCGCCAGACGTCAGTCTTCCTCGGTGCACTGCACTGGGCCGCTGGCGAACGGTATGACGTCGGTGGGGGTGGTGGCGGCGGTGGCGTCTGTCGACGGAAGTGCGATGGGGCGGCGTTTTGGCGTGGACGGGGAGGAGCGTTGTGGCGCAGTGCAGCGGCGTAGCTCATAGCTTCCGGCTCGGGCAGCGGTGCGTGGGGAATTTGAAGCGATTGCCGAACTTCTTCTCGCACAATGTCGGCAATTGAATCCACTTGAGGCTGTGCCGAAGGCAACAGCTTGCGCAGCTCTTCCCGCACGATCGCTCGGATCGTTTCACGCAGGTCTCCGGAGTTACTGGCTTGAGCAGCAGCGCAGTCTGCAGTCAGGCGACGATTATACTGTCTGGTGCGCATGTCCAGGGTCTTTTCGATAGTGGTCGCTTCGGCTACAAATTCTTGGACGGTTATCGGTGGGTTTCTCATCAGTCCCGCGAAGAGCTCCTGTTTGACCCCTCGCATGAGGAAACGAACTTTTTTTCTCCTCAGGCATGTCCGGGTCAGCGTGACGGAATAGTCGGGTCATTTCTTTTGTGAAAATGGCGACATTTTCATTTGGTAACTGAACCCGAGTCTCTAATAAAGCAGCGGCCCTCTCTTTGCGAGCGACGCTCGCGAACGTTTGCAGGAACGCGCCGCAGAAAACATCCCACGTTCGGAGCGTGGACTCCCGATTTTCAAGCCAAGTCCTTGCGGTGTCTTCCAAATAGAAAAACACACGACGCAGCTTTTCGTCATGGTCCCAGTGGTTGAGGGCGGCCACACGGTCATATGTTTCCAGCCAGGACTCCGGGTCTTCGAACGATGACCCATGGAAAATTGGTGGTTCCCTGGGTTGATGCATGACCATCGTGGGCTGGGACGCTGCGGTTGTCATTGTCGCTGCAGTCGCGGTCATGGCCTTTGTCTTCCGCGCCTTGTCTGGTAGAAGCCCGCACTCCGGTGGTAGCCCTTGCTGTCGGCGGCTTGTTCGCTGCTCCTGGTTGGCGTCGGTGTCTTCTCCGCGACGTGGGCTGGGTTCACGGCTTGACGGGGGCGTCCGGTACATGAACGAAGCAGCACCTCCACCAGATGTCACGGGGTCGTGACGTGGCCGAAGACAGGAGACTTCGTGTTGGTATTTAACTGTTTATTTGGGCGAACCTGTGCCCGGTAAACGGAAAGTCAAATTACAGCAGCAGTCTCGCACAGATAGCAGTCTCGGACTGATAGCGGCGGACGGAGCGTCGGCCTTCAATCAACAACTGACAAGCGGCGAAGCACGTCGGCATTTATACTCTTGCCGTCGAATGTTGTAGCGTTATCGCTGGCGGTGGCGTAGGTTCCAGAACAATCTGTACCGTTCGCACAGTGGGCGTAATCTTATCGAAATGATCTACTACAGTCCGGAACCTTCTAGAAAACTGCAGGCGCGGTTTGCGCTGAGAATCGTGTGGTGTTTTGGGACGATAACAAAAACTTGGGAAATGGAACGTGGCACTATTATAGCATATTCGCGTAATACATACAGCAAGGGTTGCATTTGGAGGAGTGTCACGGACGGCCATTTTTGGCGACACCGCGTCACAGCAATTAACGGGCGCCGTACTCCCCGACTGACCGTGAGAACGGCGGCGCATGAAAGGGAGCCGAGAAGTGCAGAATGAGGTGCTCTTCTTAGAACGTCGCCGCCGACGTTTGATCCTTTTGTAACTGCGGCGGCGGCTGCAAGGTCGTAGAAGGCCGCAGTATACCCCGAACAAGGATTAGACTACGAGACGCACCGGCTGAGAGCCAAACGTTTGACCGTTCCCACGGGGAAAAGCGTGGGAAACGCTCTGGTGGGCAAGCCGTATGACAACAACCCGACAAATTGTCACTCTCGCTAGTTGAGGGCCCTCTCCCAATTAAAAAGGGGTGAGGTCAAAATATTTTTGGGGCGGAGTTTCCATCAATTAAACGCGCATGATTGGACCCATGTAGAGGTCTCTTGTTTCCAAGGAAGAGAGCGAGGAGACACGAGGGGGATTTAAGCGCAGGATTTTGCCCTGCTAGGCAGACTAGTCGCTGACCAACATGGTGTAGAAACAGATCAACAAGCATCTCTTCTAGAAGTTTTTAGTGTGGCTCTGTATCGGCTGGCCACCTAAACTTAGCCGTTCGTCTAGTTGTGACGCGATATTAACGTCTGCAACGTAGACATCGGGACTTCGCCTCGAGTTAGCTCAACCTGCTCGAAGTCACCTGCAAGCACTAGCCTCCCGGAGCCACCAGCGTTGCAACACCGCCGACATCGCAGTCGTGCCAGAACTCTCTTCGACTTCTCGCATCCGATCGTCGGGGACGCAACGCTGCCGGTCATCACACGTATACCTTCACCTGTTTATATCTTCGAACTTTCTACTCCGTAGTTCTATTGTGGTTAGTTTGTGTAGCTTGTAATAGTTCTCTCTCGTAAGCTGGTTTATTGTTTTGGTTTTATATATTTTTAGTTGTATCAAGTGTTGATGTATTTTGTTAGTTGTATTGAAGTGTTGTATTATATCCCGTGTGCTGCAATATCACTAGAGTAAAGTTTGTTTTGTTTACTCACGTCTCTGATCTCTTCACTGTCTCTGCTTGCGTACGGAACGGACCAACCTGCTGTCATTCCCGTCGCCGACTTCACGCTGGCGACGCTAGAGTGGCAGCTTGTAACAAGGAGTAACACGAGACGTATGCAAAGGTTCTCCCCTTTGCACAGACCCTACTGCAGCAGACGTGGTACCCGACTACAGTGGCCACTAATGCATGGCACTACAAGGAGCTTCTGGCCAGGTACCTGCAGGAAACCTGCGGGTCCACGGCTTCTATACCGTACCAACTCCATGATTTCGGCTGCGGCGGCGCTTCTTCTGTCGAAGTAAGCATGATGACCTCTTCTTTTCAAGACGCTTGATTATTGTATCTTGAAGTCAGTACAAAAGCTTCCCTGAATTTTATTTATTGATTTGGCATACCAAAACTTGACACGGGCAAGCAAAACACCACAGCTGAAGGTTCAGGATTCATTTTGATAGTCTGGTTCATATATCTGCCCAAAGCGGACACCTTCGCTTTCTATTTTTGTCAAAGTGCTGCCGCTTCAAATAAAAAATACATCGAGCTCATCAGCACAACATCACAGGCACTGAAAAGTTTTAGCGCTGAATTTTAGGCACGAAAGAATTTGTCCGCATCATATCAGTACCATGTGTTTTTGCAATGTATGTTTTTCTGAAATTCCGGTTCATGGGCCAGCTTTTTTAGAGCTCAATGAAATTCCAAGTTTCGCATGTCTAAGTATTGTTACAAACTACTGACAAAGGCCATAGTGTTGCAGTGTTGTAAATACCACTATTTGTTTCCACGTAAACGTGCATGCTAAAACACTTAGGCGTCCCTCAACAATTTTTTCTTGTCACACTTGGATGATATAGTCTGCTGCCATCGGAGGCGCGGCCCATTTAGTCAACTTTCTGAGCAGCGACAACATAGCCGGGATTCGCCTCGTCAGCCAATACTACGGCTTCCCAATGGCGGGGTACTCTTATCCTTCGACAGAGCACAGGTGAGTAACCGCACAGTGGCGACATCAAACACAGCAGGTAAAAAGGCAAACCATCCTCTTAGAACAAACTCACCTTTTAACTACGCAGCCATTTAAACTTGAGTTTGGTCCACATGTCATTCACCTAGAGCTATTAGGGCGGGTATGGGCCACAGGAATTGCGCAAGCCCCATACGAAGTACAGCAGCAGCGAAGGAAACATCAGAGGGAGAGAGTGGAGCGAAGGAAGCCTGGGGTGGGAGAGAGCAAAGCCTAGTGAAATAAAGAGTGCCGAGGCAAGAAGTGGGAAGGAAGAGGGAGATAGGCGTTACGTAAAAACTCTGATTGGCAAAGTATAGACGAAGAAGCAAATGAGGAGATCACATAAATAAAAATAACTAAAATTTCTCGGCGAGACGGGAATTTTTTCTTCATTTCTATTTTTAAGTCCCTGCTGCAAAATGCCGACATCTCCGAACAACATAGATAGGTAACAATTTAATGAAGCCTACACAGACGATTGCGATCCAAAAGTATAGTGTAAGTGCGCCACACGGTGGTATTCGCATAATACACATTGCAATACAGAACAACAAAACCAAATAAACTACATAAATAAACTGATTAAAGCATCTAGCCGAACTTGATACCTGCCTCAAATGTGCGGGACGCACAGGTAATGATGTGCGTTGTTCGCACGTTCGTCGTGCGACACGCACAGGTAACTACACTAGTCCTTGCAACAAGTGCGTGTCGTTCAAAAAATTACTTTTAATACATATTGAATCCCGACATTACGCCAGCTTTTTATACATATGAATTGGCTGCAGGAGCGGAACATGATTGTAGAACATAGGTCACTCGCAAGCATAAGCATGTGCAGGGTTACCATCGAGAGGGAGGGTGCGGAGTGTTGCGAAGGCTCGTAACAACGCGCCCTCCCCAATGGGGCAAACTTTGCACTACCCCCCCCCCCCCCCCCCCCCCCGCCCTTAGGTTACTCGGGGGCGCGGTCGCCTACTCCCCGCCTTACCCACGCCTACGCTTAAAATTAAGCCATTCGTACACGAACCGCAAATAGATAGCCCACGTGTCGAGGGTACGAAAAGGCGAAACTATAGATCAACTACGCTGCGCGGAAAACAAAAGCACGAGGCAAACGTATCTTTATATATGTCTTCACGCACATTGCCCAGTGGTTTCTTTTTTCGTTGAACAAGAACGTTTGTCATAAAGATACTTCTTCATAGAAACAAAATGGCATGGCCTGCATACGCAGCACCATGACCCCTTGGGGTCAAGCAGGAGAGACGGCAGCATGCCGCCAGGTCATGCACGCGTTCCCCAGCGGGCCGGCCTCCGTGGCCAGCGACGCCTACCACGCGGCGAACTGCTGCGAACACGTCTGGGGCCAGGACCTGCGCCACCTGGTCGAAGCCCGCGCAGAGCTCCACGGCGGCATGCTCATCGTCAGGCTGCAGTCCGGCGACCCACCGGAGATCATCGTCGAGGCAAGGGAGAGCGTGCTAGGCTGAAGCGAGTACTTCGTTCGTTTTAGTGGGATTTTCGCAGCCGTTATAACTGTCAAGCACGAAATGACCAAACTTGAATATCGCTGAGTGCTCGACATTTCCGTGCTGACCACACTTGTAGACAAAAGAACCGTCGCATGAAAGCTTCCCTTTAAAATCGTCATCTACAGTTTCTGCTCAGTTTTCGTTCATCACACGAGTAACAGGAGGCAGCACAAATAGAAACTGAAGCACAAGTTGAAGTTGCGTCTAATTAACTTAACTACCAGCACAAGTTCTAGTTGCGTAAGCAGTGTTCGGATAGACTGCATTGTTTAGCAAACATTTCACATTATAGCCCGTGTCCTAGTATAGAACTTAGTAGCCTTACTCCTTTCAAGGTGAACTACCAAGGCTAGTAGACAGTTGTACTGTCCTGCTTTCTTCCTTCGACAATTGTGTGGTACGGTTACTAGTATAGCACCAACTCTATACGGCGTGATGAAGTACAAATAATGTTTGTCGGTATGACGTCATAAGTTTTGGTGCTGTAGTTGCCACTATAACAAGCTTTTGTTCCACTCATTTTCATTTTTTTCATGCCTTGCATACAGGAAAAAAATTAGAGTTGCCATATTTTCTACTTGCAGTAATAGGGCATTGTCACCCATATACCCACGTAAGACGAAGTGTATTCTTATCAGAAAAAAAAATCTAGCCAATAAATAACGAACACTTAAAACGAAGGAGAGTTTTTTTTTATTTATTGGCTAGATTTTTTATGGTGCAATGCACCAACTAGCCCAACAACGAGTGTTATTAGTGTGTTCCTATTAATCATAACACGTTCCCTGGTAGTAACGCAATATTACGCGAGAAAAAAGGGAAGGAACGCTTGCATATTGAAACAAATCTGCCTTTTCTCAGAAACGATTAGCGCTCGTTCGCGACCTTCTCAAACGCGGCCAGAAGACATGAACAGGCGTTACACGCAATTGAGCAAGCATTCATCAGATTTTAAGCGGTTCCCACAACAGTTTTTCGTCTGAGTTCAGCAGCGATGGAGTGTGTGTGGTGCTGAATAGTTGGATGAACGCAACAAGACTTACCGAAATTCGCGCACGGTAACGATGTTATTTGTCTGGAGAACCGGCGAAAAGCGGGCTAGCTGACACATAGCTTTAAATTTTAGAAAAGCTCACGGGAACAAATCCCGGCTGCAGCGGCTGCATTTTTGATGGAGGCGATAATGTTTCAGGTCTGTGTGCTTATGTGCACATTAAAGAATCACAGGTGGTCGAAATTTTCTCAGCCCTCCACTACGGTGTGTCCCATAATCATATGGTGGTTTTGGGACGTTAAATCTCCGATATTATCATTAAAATTGGAAAAAAAAAAACGCAAAGACGGGACGCAGGAAGGTGACATGAAGACGGGTGCCTTTAAGGGCACCTTGGCAAAATGACGGCAGGTGCACCGTTCTGTAACCATTCTAAAAATTTCACAATTAGAAACACAATTTCTTTTGTACACAAGTATAAAATGTGCTTTTGTAACTTTAAGCACGTAATAGTGTGGCCTATCTGGGACCATATGAATATTACATGCGACTTCTCGTGTCAAGTCAATGAAAATGCTCGGCCACAGTTAGAGCATACTACTATCATTCCTTACACGTGATGAAGCTATATGAAGTGTCACTTCCGATCCCGAAAATAGCCGCTGCGTATTGATCTAGCCGGAAGACAATGTGGTTTCTCTGTTGAAATAAAATTTTGGCAGTTTTGCGCTGCCATGCACTCGCACAGCGACATCGGTGCATTCCACAATTTGAGGACAAGCGACCAAAAATACACGCTCAATTTTTTGTCGCAGGGAACCTTTTATGGACTCAATGTTGTACATTGATGCCCGCAGCTCTCGTGGATAGCTCACTCCCCAAACATATCTCAACCATATGTCTCACTCTTCCTGTTCTTTTCTCTGTATAGGTCTTGGAGATACTTGGGAGGTACTATTCGGTGACGGTGAACTCGCTGGGTTTTCGCGAGCTGCCACCCTATGTGCGCCTGATGCATGGCGACGGCATGACGTTGGAGATGGCAGAAGCCGTGCTGGCTAATGCCAAAGCAAACCAGTGGAGCGCCCAAAATGTGCTTCTGGCCAGCGACGGCACACTCATGCGCGAACCACGAGGACCAGCGCAGCGCTTTGCCTTCCAGTGCAGTGCAGCCACCGTGCGTGGAGAAGAGGTGATCCTCGGCGGCTTCACTGAGCATGCGAATGAGGCAGTGCGAGTCCTTCGCATTGTAGAAAGTACAGGGCTTACAGAGAAATTCCTCATAAGGCATTTGCCAACAGCATGACATCAAATTATATATGGCGCCATACTGATCTAACAACGGAGAAAAAGAATATTAGAAGAGAGTACCCTTTACCCACAGCCGCTACCTCCTCGTGCGCATGGTGAAATTTCCATCATAAACGTGTTTCTCTTCATTTGTTTTTCATCGTGTTATTGAAGAGAAAAAAAGAAATAAAGCTTCGCAGGAAGTGGCCCTAAAATCCAGAAGCCAAGCGCCCCCGACTTTGTACGAATCGCATCCTTCTCATGCTCCATATTCATGATAGAACTACCAACATGCTCATGCTTCTCTTTTTTTTTTTTGCGGAGATTGTCATGTGAGGGATCCACCTATTTTTCTTCTCTTTATTCACTCATTGCAGATAGCATTGCAGACATTCTAGTTGGATTAGTAACGTGATTCTCCAGCCCTCAAGTGCGATGGGGCGGAGTGGCACATAGGAACATTCCCCACTCTTTTTTTGTATTAGATTCGTATTCAAAGCTTGAATACTCAAACAGGATTACTTTTTTATTCACTTTTATTGCCTGAATACTACGTGCATCTAGCTGGATATATTTATAATGAACACTGATACAGTTAATTATTGGTTACAGTGAACTAAATACCAACTTCATTTCGTCACGCTTCTTTTTAGTGACACTTGTTCTTTTTATAACAAAACCGAGAACGAAAAAGCTACCGCGGCAACAGCTGTATCGAAGAAATATTTGATTCTAGTGTGACTCGAATTGCAAAGGTAGCATTAAAAGTAAACTATCAAAAGGATTTACAACAAGTTTCAATTTCCAAAAGTTACGAAAATCTTGGTCATGGAGAGCAAAAAATGATAAAAGTAACAGTAATAAATAAAAAAGTCACAACTTTGCCGCAAAGGCGAAGCAATGAACACGTTAGCAGCAAATTGGAAGGTCACGCGCAGAATGGCAAGCAGATCGAATCGTGCCCCGCGTTCCACACGCACAAATCATGCACAAATATACTCACAGGTACATATGAACGGGAATAAGTGTCTGAGCTGTTACTTCGCTGTGTCTGAAAAGCGCGTCCTTTTCGCAAACGGAGACTGTGCAACGAGTGCAGTGACCGTTGTGCCCCCAGTAACTACAACAGAATCGTTCCGGTGAAAGCACAAGGCGTACACTTGGCCCCAGCGCGGGATAAGCGAGCGCACGCGAGAGCGTCCCATCTCCGCAGAGCAAAGTACGCGTGGGAGATGAGAACGCGCGCCGCCGCGTCGTGACGGTCCGACGACGCGCGCTCATTGCGTCATCTCGCTGGTAATGCTGAAAACATGATACCCTCCCCCTCCCAGATGCCCGTCACCAGCGGGAAAAGGTAGATATAAATAGCTTGCCGTTGGAGCGTTGAGGCACGTGCTCCTCCATGGCTCAGTGATAAACGCCTCGCGCTCACGTCTCAGAGGACCCAAAATTGCTTCCGCGCGCCCTAGTCTTTTTCATGAATTTTTTAATTTTTGCGTTTTCACACACACACACACACACACACACACACACACACACACACACACACATATATATATATATATATATATATATATATATATATATATATATATATGCTCACGGCTGGTTCATGTATAGGACTGGTTATTTTTTCACCCACTTTTCTTTCTTATTTACATTCCATTGGTTCTAATAAGTTCCCCTGTACATTCCTTGGCATTACTGTCTGTTAGATCTCATTAATATTGTGTCAAAACACGGAAAAACGAGCCCTTAGGTATACACTTCCTTCCCAGTGTGCGTGCGTGTGTGTGTGTGTGTGTGCGCGCGTGCGTGTGTGTGTGTGTGTGACGCTATGATGACTGGGTGATGTGGCCTGGCTCATACCCCATGTTTATTCTAAAAGCACTTCTTCCTCATCTGCTTCTACCAACCGTCGCTACCTTCTTACGTCACGATTACCCCTCCCCCCAAAAGAATGCGCGAGCTACAATCTAGAAAGCATGAACAAATGGAGTCTTATAATAAAAAATAACGCTAGAAAATGCAGTAGTTCCATGCCACACGGCGGTTCAATGCACTTGCACAAAATGTTCACAGGAAAGGCAGTCCGGTGATATCTACGAGACCTCAGGTGGGCGAGGTTGGCTGTTGCGTTCTGGAGAGCATAACCATGCCTTCAGCGTTAAAAATGATGATGGCACAACCTGGTTAGTATTGAGGAACGAACAAGGTTGGGACTCCTTGTAGCGTTGGCAGGTCAGATGTCTCATGCGTTGGAATCTGAGTCGTGGCTGCGACAGACGCTTTGTTTCTAAAATGCGTGCTTGTTGACGGATTGTGACGGCGTGATGCCTGCGGGCTGGCGGTATGCAAGAAGTGCTTCTGCATCCTTCTTGGCATTTTCCGTGGTGTTGCGGTCTGTGTAACTGCAGGCGCAGGGAGCGTCTCTGGCGACTTTCCTCTGTGCGGGAAAATTTGACGTCTTGGAATACTTTTTGGGTTAGAGATCTTATTTTCCGCTGTTCTTCAATTGGTGAGTGTGCTTCCGTTGAATTTCGTGTTCGTCGATGCCTTCGTTGCAGCCTATTTTGTTGTCGCATGAGGTTGCGCGCTTGGCTATGCTTGCTTTGCTGATGCTGCTCAGGAGATGGCTGTAGTGGCAAGCCTCCCGGAATGGGACATTCATTTACTTTGAGGTTTGACGCGTCCTGTAGACAGCTGATGCATGGTGAACAGGTTTCTTGCTTATCAGGCATGGTTGGTGGTGCGACATCATCGCTAGCCTGCTCTTCAGAGGCTTCTGTGACGTGGTTGATTACGGACGCTTCTGAAAGACAACTGTGTACGAGGTTTGATGTATGATTTGCTTCTGAATTGGTTCGATTCTTGGATTGGTGACCACTGCATGAGGGTACCACATGTGACGTCGCATCACCAGGTTGAAAATGCAAATTTTGGCAAGTCTGCGGTGCCGTGGAAATGAACTCTCGCGACAAAAAACATTCAGAGTTGACAGATAGTTCATCAGGGGCTTCTTCTTCGCGGCTCACTATGAGTGGTTCTTGGGCCTGGTAGCATGCGACGTTCGATGCGTCTGAGCTTTCTGTGTTTGGAGTTTCTGGTGGCTGCGCACTGGACGGCAACACCGCAACAGGGGTAGTTCGGTAAGGTTTGAGTTGTGAATGGCCCTCTTTCTGTGCAACTAACGATGCGAGCTGTTCTGGCGCATGAATCTGGGTGGTAAGTCTAGGGCTTGGCGTAGCATCGTCCGAGCTCCGCAGCTCTATCCCGACCATTGTGAGCGTGCTAGATGTGAGATGGACATTGTGAGTCACGAAAGAGGCAAGCGATGGAAAACCAGGAGGCGGGCCAAGTCTGCGAGATGGGGAGTAAGCTGCTCCAATGCGTGAAGACTGATTTTCACTCTTTGAGTCATCTTGGCGTTGTTTGGTATTTTCCCCCAGGGGTCAGCTGGTCTACCATGAACAAGGCGTCCTTATGACACGAATAGTGACCGTTAGGAGCCTTTGAAGAGCTGCGTCGTAGAAAACCAGGTGGTGGACCATGTATGCGAGACGAAGCATGAAAGGCATCAGTAGGGTGAGCGACGTCTCGTGTCGTATGTTGGTGCCACGACTTTGGAAATGCCGACTTTCGTGCACAAGGGAGCTGCGCTTGACGGTTGGGTTTTTCCCAATATATGCATGGCCTTCTGTAAGTAAACGCATGTGCCACTTCGTCTTGAGGCACTTGTCGATTCGCGCTGGACTTTCGAATGCTTGAGGACTGCTTAGGAAATTGACGATAGTGTGCAGTTGTCTCTAGATCGTTGGCAATGACTAAGTCTTGGTCATAGTCATTAAAAGGGGTAATCATCTCCTCTTTGATTTTTGCCATGACTCGTCGTTCTCGAATATATGGGTTAGGTAAAATTTCAATGCTTCACTGGTGACGTAGTCGCTGAAGTTCGTAACCATCTCCCGTTCCGACCAAGATGCAGCGGTAACGTGGAGCTCGAACACGTCGAACCAGTCTTGTACGGGACCATCGTCCGCTGATCCGGTGTACTTAGGAATGTCAAGGTCGTCTGATGCTGCTGTCATGATGCTTGGTGGTCTTGGTGGTCCGCGTTCTTCTGTGGTCCGCGTTCGGTCACTGCGTCTCGCTGAGGTCTTCGATGATGATGGCCGGGCGATGAAGTGGTCGCGAGGTCTTCATCCTGTCGACTTGTGTGATGCTATGATGACTGGGTGACGTAACCTGGCTCATACCCCATGTTTATTCTAAAAGCAATTCTTCCTCATCTGCTTCTACCAACCGTCGCTACCTTCTTACGTCACACACACACACACACATATATATATATATATATATATATATATATATATATATATATATATATATATATATATATATATATATATATTGCCGCGCGCTTGATCTGCCAGCGCAAAAGAGGCAGACGAAGTGGCAGTTCCCCTCGTGCCATTGTTCTGTTTTTGGCTGTGCTGAGCCGACCGCTCTTCGGACTTTTGTGAGGACGCCTTAAAAACGTCTCCTGTCTCTTTAACGTGACATTTTAATGGTGGAGGTGCTGGGTAACCTCACCTATGCAACAGACTCCTTCTAGCAGCCGGAACGTGACCCAAAACCCAGAGCTTACGCCGGTACACCGTTTCAGTCGGAGGATTCGAGGACTGTCCCCCGAGTTTGTGCCTCACAGTACAAGTACGTCGACTGGTATGGAGAATACTGTTGCTGTCACCGCTTCCCCTACCGCTGGAGCCGCCGCTGCTCCAACCGCTGCACCCGCAGCTGCACCCACTCATTACACGCTACAAAAACCACGTGTTCCGAGTCCCTTTCGTGGTGGCCTCTATGAAGATGTGGAAGATTGGCTGGCTGAGTACGAGTACGTAGCGGATTTCAACGGGTGGGACGAAGTAGCGAAGCTCAAGAATGTGTACTTTAGTCTTCTGGATGGTGCTCGCACATGGTTCCAGAACCGCAAGGGCCTCCTAACGTCGTGGCATGAGTTCTGTCACAGGCTCCGCGAAACGTACTCGAGTCTCGATCGTCGAGAGCGCGCTGAAAGGGCCCTCCAGTCCCGCATGCAGATGCCTAATGAAGGTGTGGCTACATACGTGGAGGATATGGTTCATCTGTTCACTCGCGCCGATCCAACCATGCCGGAAGACAAGAAGCTGCGACACTTGATGCGAGGTGTGAAAGAGCAGCTCTTCGCTGGACTCATTCGTAGTCCGCCTAGAACGGTCGCGGAGTTCCTCACTGAAGCCGTCGCCATGGAAAAGGCGCTGCAGCAGCGGAACCAGTACGATCGGCAAGTGAATGCTACCTATACCACCGGGCTAGGCTCGTTCCCGACCGACGTGGGAGCGCTTCGCGAGCTGATACGTTCGGTTGTTCGCGACGAGCTACAACAGCTGCAACAGCTGAACCAGGCGCAGCAGCAGCCTTCCACGAATTGCATCGCCACCATCATACGTGACGAAGTTCAGCATGCGCTCGGCACACCTCGCCGCGAGACACCAACGCAGGTTGCTGCACCACTTCAGGCGTTCGCAACTTCAAGTGAACCTCTAGGGGTGACCTACGCAGACGTATTGAGACGCACCGTTCCGTCGTCCACGACACCATCCCCAGTGAGTGGTTTCCAGCGCACCCCTTATACCGACACGTTCGAACACAACGCACCTGCACCAGTCCCACTACCAGCCGCAACCCCGTACGCCACACTGCAGTCCGCACAGGTGGTCCCTTATTTTGCAGACACTCGACCCGTCATGCGTAAATCCGACATATGGCGCATGCCCGACCGACGACCGCTTTGCTACCACTGCGGTGAAGCGGGTCACCTCTACCGAGACTGCCAGTACCGCCGACTTGGGCTGCAGGGTTTTCCTGCCAATTCACCCCGCCCCCGGTTTGGACAGAGACCACCAGAAATTGAAGATTTTATCGCTCGGCAGAACGTCCCACTCAGGCGTCAGTCGCGCTCACCGTCACCGCGGTCGTCATCTTATTCAGGCAACGGAAATCGAAGGCCGCAAGGACGGTCTCCGAGCCCTCGCCTGGAAAACTAACGCCAGCGACCTTTCGAGGCGAGGCCGCTGATTCTCGACGTGATGAAGACCTCGCCCTCCAATCGACGCGACATCGGACCAACGGAAATTCGACTACGCCGGCGCCTGTATCCCAGCTGAGCGACTTTTCAATGGACATACCTGTGCTGCTCGACGGTCGCAATTTAACTGCCTTAATAGACACTGGTGCTGACTACTCGATTATTAACAGAACAATGGCACGAGGGGAACTGCCACTTCGTCTGCCTCTTTTGCGCTGGCAGATCAAGCGCGCGGCAATATATATATATATATATATATATATATATATATATATATATATATATATATATATATATATATATATATATATATATATATATATATATATATATATATATACCAAAAACAAAAGTGATGCTGGGTCCGGGAAATATTATTCGTATAGGAAAGAAGACGCACGTACGAAGTTATTTTATTTGACGTTTCGGCCGTGGGTCCGGCCTTCATCAGAATCATCAGAATTCTGATGAAGGCCGGACCCACGGCCGAAACGTCATATAAAATAACTTCGTACGAGCGTCTTCTTTCCTATATGAATATATATATATATATATATATATATATATATATATATGAGAACGTGTTTCGTGTTTCCGTGTTTGAAGCCCTAGAGTCTGCCCTTCATCAGGATCCTGATGAAGGCCACACTCTAGGCCGAAACGTCGAAATAAACCACGTTGTGACCGCTCACGGAAGATCTACTTGACTATATATATATATATATATATATATATATATATATATATATATATATATATATATATATATACTGCGACGCCTACGTTGACGCCGGCAGCAAAATCCAGCCGAGAGTGACTATTTAGTGTCTCAGATTTTTCGAGAGCGCGATTGCTTCTTTTTTACAAACAATTTATATATATTGTCTTCTAACGGATATCAGAGACAACGAGCTAAGTTATTGTCCCTATGCTACATTTAGGTGCAAAGCACTTCAATGGCCTGGTCAGTCTTCTGTCGGCATCGCTTGGGGCAACCCTCCATGCGTAGCATACTGAGAGTGCGCTCGCTCCAAGGAGTAGCCTCCCGCTTGTTTTTCGAGAACCTTGACGATGATAGCCGAGCGTCCTCAGCGAAAAAATAACCAGTGCTCCGGGTATAACGCAGGCGATATGACATATAAAAATAGAAAAAGAAAATAGGAAGCAAATGCAAAACAGGGAGAAAAGAGAAAAAATATGAAAAGCAGAAAGCGAGAGAGAAAGAAATAGAACGGATGGAGGAATTAAAAATAAAGAGCTGAAAAAATACATAAAATGTAATAGAAGAGAGGAAGAAAGAAAGGAGGAAAGAAAAAGAAAACTGAAGAGAAAGAACCAAGGCTGCCAAGCTCCGCACTTACTTCAGCTTGGCATCCTTATAAGCAGAAGCTGCCTTTTATTTTTTTTTGTAAAGTTCCAATTGTCTCTGTATTTATCTTGACTATCATCTTGACATCTGCAGTACCATAAATTATTATATGATAGAGAAAACAAGCAAGTGTACGCATGAACAGGGCTTGTTCAATGTTTACTCAAAGGGGTGACCCCAGTATACCTGGGCTTCTTCATGTGTGTGCATGTGTGTCAGGTGTATACGCATGTACTGTTGTACTGTGCATGCAGGAGTGCAATTTGTGTTTGTGGCTTATGCGGTCACTTCTTTTTATCCAGTACATGCCCTTTGAATACAGCCGACCACTTAACCATGGTGCACTACAGAAGTGCAAACAGACACCAATAACCACAAGCGTGATTTTCCTCTATTGTTTTTTGTGTGCCCCCTCACTGTCCTTATTGCTAGATGCATGCCATAAAGCCCATGACAAACCTAAGTGACCTGTAATTTTTATCTTTTAAGAATGCGCTCTCTTGCTTCCCTACAGTATCCATGAATATTTATGCAGTGTCTAATTTCTGGTATTTTGCTAAAGTTTGGTTGAAAAATAGCATCTTTATCTGTGTAACAGAAAGAAGTACACAGGAACCCAATGACTGACACTAAATTGAGTTCCAAGAAAGGGAGACTGACTTTACAGCATTCCGGCAGTGGGTACATCACAGTAGAACACGGCCAGGGAAACCCTGAAGAGGTGAGGAATATCAGCCCAGCAATTTATGTATATATATAGGCCAAAAGCAAATGTAGCATTTTGTTACAGAGCTACTTTTGCTTTCGTCCCTGTATAGTTGTTAATAATAATAATAAAGATATTATATTATGTGGAGGTTTAACACCCCCAAAACCACCATATGATTATGAGAGAATCTGTAGTGCATGGCTCCGGAAATTTCAACCACCTGGGGTTCCTTCACGTGCACCCAAATCTGAGCACACGGTCTTATCTCTGTACAGTTACCCACCCACCAGCATTACCACATATGATCATAGCTGGGCGCGAGGGGAAGGGGGGGCTGCCTTTCTCTCCCACCAAATTTTGATGTAGGGGGTGTCTTATACTGAAAAAAAATAATGAAAGTTTTTTTCAAAGAATCACAGGCTTCAACATGCGTATCCCCTCTGCCCTCCTTCCCCCCCTACAAACACATCTTGCTGGGTAGAGGCCCGTGATCAATAAAAAGCAAAGTATGAATCACCAGCACAATTAATCTCCTATTCCTTTAAACATAAAGAAACTATCACTCCCTTTGTAAATTAAATAGTAGAAAATTAAGATGTCTTTTTAGAAACACATGTGTAAAGGGCTCCCTTATTCGGTGATAGGAAGAAAGAAAGAATATCTGCTGCTCATGTGCACTGAATTTCCTTCTATAAGTCACCAACTTCACATTTCACAACACTTGTTCCATTCATGTTGCTGTTATTTTTGTACTTGTTCCTTTGCAATTATAAACTTTTAATGCTTTTCTACCTGTAAGTTCCCTTGAACAGAGAAAACTTATCATTGATCTCTTGGTGCAATGCTACAAAATATCTTGTATTTACCTTTACTTCAACTCATGTAGTTTGTCCTTGAAATGGTTCTCTGATATGCCTTAGTTGGAACATAAAAAATGCCAATGCAATAGCTTGCAAATGAAATTTGCAGAAAGTGCAGCTGGCATTAGTTCAAATCCATGTTAATGCAGCACACCAATGCAGTGTGAAAATGGCTGGACTATAACAAAGCTATGTGTTTAGAACATATTTCTAATGAAAGTACAGTACTACTGAAGTTGACATTGAATGTCAATGCCTTCTTCTTTATCCACGTTTATGTCCTGTTGTTCTCTATTGTTGACCAAATTCTGTACAGTAATAAGGAAACATCTCATACAATTCCTGAATGTGTTAAAACTATCAAAAAACCTCAGATTGTCTCTCTTCTTTCAGGATTGTCTTATCCATGTATTCAAGGATGGCAATCTCCTTGTGGAGCAGGCATTTGAAGACATCCGAAGACGCTCCCAAGAGCCTTTAGGCCACTTGCTCAGTACATAGAATCACACACACTGTACGGCTCATCCTATATATCTGTGCAGCTCTGAAAATGAGGTATGCACACCAATGATGTCTTCCCAAGTGGCACTGTATGTGTCACGAGTGTGGCGCCATTGAGTCAAATATGGTCTACATGAGTTCAACCCAGTGGCGTACCAACTCTTTCGCGAGTGGGGGGGGGGGCAAACCTCCCTCACCCATCTGTGGAGATTATATATATCAGGAGAAAACTTCATTGACGTGCTCGCACTTTGATATCAATTTGTATACACAGAGGCGACACGATTCGCTTTCTTAGATACCATGAAGTTCAATCACACTATAACAGGCTAATAAATTGCGCCCTTAGCCCAATTTCTGCGTCCAAACCGATTCCTCAGGCTCATCGGCTCGCAATAGTTTCGACAGAGCAGCCGTGACGATATATCCTTTTTGAAGAAAATTATTTTCCAGAAGCAGCAGATGCTTAGACCTGTTTTTAAAGTTTGTTTGTTCCTATCTGTAACTTCATAAACAGTAGTAACAGCAGAATAAAAGCATGAACAAGTGATGTAATAATATAGGGCCCCTGTTCAGCGTTTGCCTCCTCTGCAATACTACAGCACAAGACGCGAAGGCGTAGCATCAACGACCCGCACTGCAAAGAGCCCCGAAGAAAAAACAACACAGAAGAAATTTTGGCAAAGTTTCACAATGTTGTAACACTGCTTCATAACACTTTTATTCTTGCGTAAGAACATAATTGAGTGATTACTGTTGTCATGCAAAACTTCACCTTACTTATTCGTTTTCCCAGCGTGCAGCTAGAGTGATCACTATTAAAAGAGCAGGGGGGGGGGGTGCTCAGCTTCCTTAACTTTTCTCACTGGGGGACTCGTGCCCCACTTGCCCCCCGCTGATTTGCCTATGGTTCAACTTCTTTCGTGCCTTGCTTTCAGAAAGTTTTGAACTTGGATGCAGTCTACACGCAAAGGTTTCTTTTACATTCTTACGAATGGATCATGAAAGCCGAGCAATATTCAATTTCATGTAATTATCAAACAAAAAAGTTACTAGGGTCCAGAGTCAGTGCGGCCCCTTGCCATAAAAATCTAGATTGGACAGTGCTACTGGCATGTTGAAAATATCAGTAGTTGCATCATGTTTGCTAACCATCAGGTACATGTGCAATCTGTTAAAATTGTCTATAGGGAGGTGAGACACTTACAAGCCCTAAAGCTCTCTCAAGGTTTCTTCAAGGGAGATGCAGGTGCGAAATTACCCGATTTTCGCGCACACGGCACTTTGCTCTGTGGCATCGCTGCCTCTTGAAATTTTTCGGGCCTGTAAGCCTAACTCTCTTCCCCCAGAGCCCGATTCGGCAGCACTGCATTCTCGCTAAATATACAACAAATCATTTCTCGACTGCATTAGAGCATGGCGAGGAGGCCTTCAAAGTCACGTGGTATGATAGAAGCACTGCCACCGGTCGCAAGCATTCCGCCGCACAGCCTTGAGCGAGCGCTCTTTCTTCATTCTCCTCCTTTTGCTCAGACATCGACAAACACAACCGCCTGAGTTACTTTTTCTCTGCCATGGATGCCGGAGAGAAACCAGACTTTCATTCACGGAAGGTCATGACGAGGCACCAGTACAACAAAAAAAGCCCCATTCGCAAGCGCTGAGTTCTGGTGGCGGGAGGTTCGTCTGCTGCTAGGCCTAGCGGCGGCAGCGGAGACGCACCTGATATCGATTGTTTGAGTGTCATGCATAACGTCGATGACTACGTCATTGCTTCAAAGCAAAAAACAAAGATGTTTGAAGATAAAAGCAACCGTCGGGACGAACGCGAAAGCATAGTCTGCAAAAAATTAACAAAATGAGCTATAAAAAAAAATGAAAGCAGATTTGAAAAGAAAAGCTCAAACTTTATAACTGGTGAAAGTTCGATTGAGCCTTTACAAATATCTGAAGAATAAGTTTTCAGAGGAGCAGCTCCCCTTCATTGATGAACTGTAACAACAACACTGATTTATAACCAGTTTGGCCTACATCAAATACTAATCCTTTATCGTTGAACATTCACCCTTCACACTGATTTCGTGCATATATTTTAGCAAGTTAAGAACAAGTCTTAAAACAATAATGAATGCCAACGTTTTGCAGGCCATTCTCATCGCTAGCAACGCGAGATGGCATAAAGTTTAAAAAAACACCTCTTGTAAGTTACTACACAAGAATGGCACACAACAGATATTAAAGTGTTTACATCACTTGAAGCAGTTGCATATGCATGACTATTGTTACTTTTAATTTTGTCATATGTAATGCTAGAGATGAAAATTCATCTTTTTCACCAATTTCTCAAAATGTTTCAACTAATAGTACATATTGTCGCGGTACAACGCGAATAAAACACAGATACACCTTGGGACGACGAAAGCAGCGTGTCCTCAACAGCTCAGTCACAAGATTGTCCTTTTTCAGCCTCGAGAGAAGCTAGAGGCCCACTACCTCGTGGCCACTAAATGCCCCATCATCGTTATCGTCCACATGTAGACACGCGTCATTTGCCTCTCTCCCAAAGAGCATCGCCCCGATGCGCAGTCTGTAATGCAGTTTTTTTTCTAAATTAAAGTATCATGCAATCACTCGCTGACGTAGGGTTTCATGCCGACTACGTGAACGAGTTCAGGATGGTGCTGGCGACGCCTTGTACTATACGAACAGTCGGGAACAACTTCGTAAGTGACATCGCTCAGTCGTCGCACAACTAGGTACGGTCCAAAGTATCTTCTTAAGAGTTTTTCGGAAAGTCCTCGTTTTCGTATGGGCGTCCAAACCCATACTTTGTCGCCAGTTTGGTAGACGACTGTTCTGCAGTGAGCATTGTAGCGGCCTGCATCGTAGTCTTGCTGCTGGCTGATCCGTAAACGTGCAAGTTGCCTAGCTTCTTCTGCGCGTTCTGTAAACGTGTCGGCGTCCGGGACGATGTCGTCGCCTTCGTGCGGTAACATTGCATCTAACATGGTTCGTACTTCCCGTCCATGAACGAGGCTGAAAGGTGTCATGCGGGTCGTTTCTCGCTTGGCCGTGTTGTATGCAAACGTTATGTAAGGCAAGATTGTATCCCAATTTTTGTGTTCGACGTCAACGTACATCGAAAGCATGTCTTCAATGGTTTTGTTTAGACGCTCTGTGAGCCCGTTCGTTTGTGGGTGGTATGCGGTGGCTTACGATGCGTTGTTCCACTCAGCATCAAAACATGGTCCAAAAGAGCTGCTGTAAATGCGGTTCCTCTGTCTGTGATTACGACGGTTGGTGCACCATGCCTCAGTACAATATTCTCGATAAAAAATCTTGCCACCTCCGCTGCTGTACCTCTCTGGATAGCCTTTGTCTCGGCATAACGGGTCAAATAATCCGTCGCGACGATAACCCATCGGTTGCCTGCAGTAGAAGTAGGGAGTGGGCCCAAAATGTCCATGCCGATCTGGTGGAATGGAGTCATTGGGAACTGTACGGGTTGCAGGAGGCCAGCTGGTTTAGTTGGCGGTGACTTGCGTCGCTGGCAGTCGAGACAGGTACGAGCGTGGTGCTTCACGGCTGTGGTTAGTCTTGGCCAGTAATACCTTTGCTGTACCCTGGCCAACGTTCTTGTGTAACCCAAGTGGCCAGAGGTAACCTCGTTGTGGCATGCTTTCAGTACTTCGGTGCGAAGGGCTGCTGGGATGACGAGCAGATAGGCAGATACCGTCGACGAAAAATTTCTTTTATAGAGTACTCCGCCATGTAAACAAAATGATGACAACGCTCTTGCGAAAACTCTTGGCGCCTTCCGAGATCTGCCATCCAAGTAGGTAATTAAGCCAAGCAACTCAGCGTCGTCTCGTTGTTGCTGCGCAATGGTGGTCGTGTCGAGGACACCGAGAAATGATGCTTCCTCCTCCTCGGGTAGGGTTGCCGACTCAATGGGTGAACGGGACAAACAGTCGGCGTCCATATGTCGCTTCCCTGACTTATGTACGACTGCCATGTCGAATTCCTGCAGCCTGAGACTCCAACGCGCTAATCGGCTGGTAGGGTCTTAAAGATTAGTTAACCAACACAGTGAGTGGTGGTCGCTAATTACTTTGAAGGGGCGGCCATATAAATACGGACGAAATTTCGTAACCGCCCATACCACGGCGAGACATTCCTTCTCAGTCGTGGAGTAATTAGCCTCAGCACGTGTTAACGTTCTGCTTGCGTAAGCGATTACCCTTTCTGCGCCATCTTGCTGCTGCACAAGCACAGCTCCCAGACCAACATTGCTAGCATCGGTGTGACGCATCGTAGGGGCTGTCACGTCGAAGTGGGCAAGGACTGGGGGTGTTTGTAGTCGCTGGCGAAGATCGTTAAAAGCAGCTTCCTCTTCGTTATTCCACTCAAAGGTGACATCTTCTCTTGTTAGGCGAGTTAGTGGTGATGCTATGCGTGCGAAGTCCGCGATAAATCGTCGATAATACGCGCAGAGGCCGAGAAAGCGTCTGACAGCCTTTTTATCGGTCGGCATAGGGAACTGTTCTACGGCTGCGATTTTTTTCAGGATCGGGACGAATACCAGCATGACTGACAACATGACCAAGAAATCGCAGCTCTTCGTAGCAAAAGTGGCACTTCTCAGGCTTCAACGTCAAGCCCGCGGACTGTATGGCTCGTAAGACCACCTCAAGTCTTTCAAGGTGCTCGTCAAACGTCGCGGAAAACACTATGACGCCGTCCAGATATACTAAGCATGTTTTCCACTTCAACCCAGAAAGCACGGTATCCATGAGTCTTTGAAAGGTAGCAGGGGCTGAGCACAAACCGAATGGCAAGACCTTAAATTCATATAACCCATCTGGTGTCACAAAAGCGGTCTTCTCGCGGTCTCTCGGGTCCACCTCGATTTGCCAATATCCACTCCGCAAGTCCATTGAAGAGAAGTATCGAGCATGTCGAAGTCTGTCGAGAGAGTTGTCTATACGCGGTAGTGGATATACGTCTTTCTTGGTCACCTGATTTAGCTTCCGGTAATCCACACAGAAGCGCAGGCTGCCGTCCTTTTTCTTAACGAGGACTACAGGCGACGCCCAGGGGCTCTGTGAAGGCTGAATGACGTCATCTTCAAGCATTCTGTCTACCTGCTGTTGTATCGCTTCACGTTCTTTGGGAGCCACGCGATAAGGGTTCTGGTGAATAGGTCTCGCCGTTTCCTCGGTAATTATTCGATGCCTGGTTAGAGGCGTGCGGCCAACTCTTGATGTTGTCGAAAAGCAGTCTTGAAATTTGGCCAGTAACTCAAGGAGTCTGCGTCGGTCGTCTTTTGGCAAAGTAATGCTAACGTCCAGAACAGGCGCTGAATCAAGATTTAGCGACTCGTCGACTACCGCCAAGCAGCCTTCGGCATCTATGACATCGTCGAAGTAAGCGACAGCCGTGCCTTTAGGAAGATGCCGGCGCTCAGCACTAAAATTGGTCAGCAGCAAGTCCGTGCGTCCAGCAGCAACTCTGACGATACCTCGTGCGATAGAAATACCGTGGGTGAAGAGCAGCGAGCTTATTCGGTCCGCAACTCCTTCGGCGTCAAACTGAGCAGCGGTGGCCACAGAAACAAGCGTGCATGACCTCGGAGGGAGAACCACATCGTCATCAGTAAGACGCAGTTGGTTTGGTCGCGCCTCTGGGGAATTGGGTAAGCCCGAACTGTTGCAAAACGTAATCAAGCTCTCTGGTATGTTGATGACGGCACCATATTCCCGTAAAAAGTCCATGCCGAGAATCACGTCTCTGCAGCATGCGGCGATAACGACGAACGACGCAGTGAAAGAAGAACCTCCGATGTCAATTCTTGCGGTACATCTTCCCGAGGGCATCAATAACTGGCCTCCTGCTGTTCTTATATGAGGGCCCGTCCACGGCGTCTTCACTTTTCTGAGGCTGTCGGCGAGGTCCTGACTGATAATAGAGAAGTTGGCACCAGTGTCGACTAAAGCTGTCACTTTCTGGCCGTCGAGAAGAACACTAAGGTCAGCAGTCACAATTTCATCGTTTTCACGGCTTATCGGCTGTATGGCGTCGTGCTGTGGGGGCTTCTTGTCGTTATCTTTATGGCCTGCAACCTTGCCCCCGGAGGTCGCCGCTCTCAGTTTCCCCGGCGCGGGCTAGGTGACCTTCTTGTATTAAGGTTCGCATAGGTGCGGTGGTGCGACAAAGGCGAACGCGCGGGGGACGGAGAGCGGGACTGACGTCTCGGACCTGGTGGTACGGCGTCGGCATAGCGGGTGGTGGACGTCGGAGAGCGGCAGCGTAGCTCATAGGACGCTGCTGAGCATCAGGACTAGCCGTAGACAACGCTTGGTGGATTTCATCGCGTACGACTTCAGCGATCGATGCGATGGGATTTTCAGCAACAGGATTCCGCAACTTCTGCAGTTCCTCGCGAACTATCTCCCTAATCAAGTCTCGCAAGCAGCTCTGACCCTCAGACGTCATGGCGATAGCATTGATTGGGACATTGCAGGACATGCGGTCATATTGCCTGCAGCGTTGATGAAGGGCTTGCTCGATAGCCGTAGCCTCCTTAATGAAGTCAACCACGGTAGTCGGAGGGTTGCGCAGTAGCCCGGCAAAAAGCTGCTCCTTGACACCGCGCATGAGGTAACTCAACTTTTTATCTTCCGTCATGTGCGGGTTAGCTCGTTGAAAAAGACGAGTCATGTCCTCGGCAAACATTGCAACGGTTTCGTTGGGTTTTTGAACCCGTAGCTCCAATAACTGCTGCGCACGGTCCCTTCTATCGATATTGGCGAAGGTATCGACAAACTTCTCTCGAAAGTCGGGCCAAGCTGACAGATTGCCTTCTCTATTCTCATACCAAGTACGAGCACCGTCGTCAAGGTAGAAATAGGCGCGTGAAAGCTTTTCCTGTTCCGACCAATGATTTACCTTGGCAACCCGCTCATAGTGGTCAAGCCAGTCGTGAACGTCTTCATGGGCACCGCCACTAAAGCGATCGGGAACGAGGGGTTGAAAGAGGGTCACCTGAGATGGGTGCGTCGAAAAGCTGCCTTGGGGCACCTGTTGCGAGCTTGCGTTGGCCATTGGTTGAGCTGTGCGGTGCCTAGCAGGTTCCGGCGAGTGAGTCAGCTCTGGCGCGAGGCCTCGCAACCGTCGACTGGAGCAATGCACCGGTGTTTCTACTGGTGACAATGCGTTTGGACTCGATGAGCGGCTCCCAGCGGGCGTGTGGAGCATCAGACAGGGTTGCGGCCCAGCGCCTCCACCAGTGTCGCGGTACAACGCGAATAAAACACAGATACACCTTGGGAGGACGAAAGCAGCGTGTCCTCAACAGCTCAGTCACAAGATCGTCTTTTTTCAGCCTCGAGAGAAGCTAGAGGCCCACTACCTCGTGCCCACTAAATGCCCCATCATCGTTATCGTCCACATGTAGACACGCGTCAATATGTTACCATATGCTCTCGAAAAATTACTACCATGTAATTACAAAAGCTATAGTTTTTGTAATCGCATAGCTTTAGTAATTTTGTAATATATCTGCCTAATTATATATGCTATACCTTTTATAATTAGAGATATGCCTGAAATATGCATTTCTTATTACTCCAAGAGATACTGAACAAAAATTGCAAAAACTGATTAAACCTTGAAATTCCACTAGGAAGATGCGACTGCTCCTATAAAAGAAGTTTATTTCTTATATTTTTGAACAGTTCGTTGGATTTTTGATAGATTGTGAGGGCACGGCAGCGGCTAGCGAGGGCAAGCAGTGACGTCGAACTCACCAAGGCATACCAATGATGCACGTGTTCTTGTCCTCCTCTTCCTTTTCTCCACCCATCCTTTCGCTTCACTTTATCCCTTACATAAAAGCTCTGGCGCTGTGCCCCAGCCGGAAGCATTGTTCGCTGCTGTTGCTCTTCGTACCTGTTCTAGGAACCTAATTGGAAGATGAGCGAGTGGAGAGGAGCGGGGGTGATGGCTTGCATTGTTGGTTTGCCAGTTTCGGGCGAGTTTGACGTCACCAAACGTCTAAATCCTCTAGCTCTAGCTCACAGCGCAGCCAGTAGACGCAACAGCTCGTGAAAAACGCATAAAATTTATTATTTCCCGTAGTTCCTGCTTGGAATTAAAGTTGTCTCTATCAATTTCATGATCCAATATATATATTTTAGCTGAGAATATTGGAGGCAAAAATTTTGTTCAGTATTCCTTCAAGAGTAGATGCTACTTGAAAAATGCAAGTTGTTTTCTAAAATTATAATCTTCATTTTTCCTTGGTTTTACAAGTTTAGGTTTTCTACTATCATGACAAAAGAGAAATAAAGGTTGTAATTAAACTCAAAGTAGGTTAAAATCACTTTTAAAAATAACAAGGTGGCTGTTAAAAACTAAAATGAGTGCATTGTCTAGAGTCCCTTGCATATCGTCACCTGGCTGCTTGCCAACACATTTCCGATGAGGAGTTCAGCAAAGCCAGATGCTCAAAATAAACAAGATAACCAACTTTTAGGATGAAATAAATCATTTCAAAAAGCATTTCGTTACATTATTGAGGTTTGATTTTCATGTTTAAAATGCACCTTTCTCAATATGCAACTTTGTGTAATTTCTTGAGTTTCAACAGTATGATTTCGTTAGGGTGAAACTTATCCCACACATACCTTAATATGTGGAGAGTGCAATTATTTTATCTATGACCTCATGTTCCTTATATAATTACTATGAACTTAAAGTAACCATTAGTACAGGCTGAGCACTTCAAGATTTTTCAAAGTACATTTTTTTGTTAATTGAAATGTCTTACACACTTTTTAGTTATTTGCATGTACACTCAATGGGTAGCAATATTAGCCAATAATTGGTCATAACCATAAAAGCTGAGTGCCAGAAAAAGTGTATCCAAATAGAGGTATATTTTACATGTTGTCATGATACATAACGAAAATTATGCAACTTATTATCATACTGATTATATATTTGAAATCAATAAAGACGTATGTAAGCAGAAAAAAAATTCATTGCCCTGGGCTGCAGATTAAAGAAATTTTCTTCAAGTAGCATAACCCATTATGTGCGATGGCAACCATGAGAAAGACAGGACATCATCCTGATCTTGCAAAGTTGTGTTACTTCGCATGTAAAAAAAAAGTTTATTTCAAAGCCTGGACTGCCACCTCAAAAAAAAAAAAAAAAAGCTGCAACAAGCATATCTCATATGGTGTTGATGACTGCTTCAACCTCCTCCTTGGTCAACATGTGGTAGCCCTTCTCCTTTGTGACATTAGCAACCTAAAACATGACAAGAGACACATGTCAACTTTTTCTTACTGAAAATGATGTCTGAGGCAGGTTCTAATTTATATAGTTTCAAAAGTAGTAATGTTGAGGAGCCCCTGAAAAAGGTGTGAAATGTGTCTTATATATTGTCTATCATGACCAATTTTTTTCAGTGCAACCTTTCTCAATTCATCTTGCACCTAGATGATCCAATGCCACCACTGCTAAGCCCCTACAGTTTTGATCTTATAATCAGTGAAAGGATAGAAGAAAAAGTGCAGCATGTCGAGCAATGTTGTGGACTCCCTGCTACACATATGCCGTTATTATAACAGGGTCACAGGATAAAGAAAGGTGCAACTACGAGAAGTTTACTTATATGCTTTTCAAAAAGTGCTGCACAATCACACGACTGCATGAAGTACTAGATTAAAGATAACCTAAATACAGTGATCCGTTGCTTAGTTGTCCTGCCAAACAAAAAATGAACATACGTTTACTACAGCACTACAGATGCACTAACCTTTACATTTCATGAGTTGACCATGTTCGCTATTTTGTCTATTTAAAACACTATTTTTTTTAATTCTTAAAACTAGTTGCAGGGCAGGCTACAGTGGCTTTTTTGAGAGTAACTGCTATGATTTAAAGCAAAAGAACCAAACAACAAAATATTGTTACGAGGCAGAGGGCATGGCTCCGCCGTCGTAGACGAATCGATGAAGAGGAAGCGGCAGCTGAACGCAGTTGTCCACGATAGTCACGATGGCATGCGGCACAGCAACACTTTGGGTCAGAACCACATCTACTAATGGAGACACTATGTAGTCCCCGTCAGGAAGAGCTGATGATATCATTAAGGCCACAAACGTGGTGGCTTGCGGTGACAGCCGAACATAATCAACAGCGCACAAGCGGTGTGACAGTGAGGACGGCACAGCCCCAAGTAGGAGAACGCCGGTTGCACAGTCGATGAGAGCGGCATGAGTGGACAAGAAATTCAATCCAAGAATCAGGTCATTGGGGCTCTGCTCAATAACTGCAAAGAGAACAGATGTGGGGTGATCGGTGATTGAGATGCGTGCCGTGCACATTCCTGTGATGGCAAGACTTCTTCCGTGAGCGACACGAATAATGCCAGGAGCAGCCGGTGTGCGAACTTTCTTCAGGCAACGACGAAGCCGAGCACTCATCACAGAAATATGCACCCCAGTGTCAATAAGTGCAGAAACAGTCAGGTCGTCAACGTTGACGTCGATCAAATTTCGTCCTGTCGGCAGTACAAGGAGAGGATTTGAGGTTGTTATCGAGGGTGCAGCTTCACCTCTAAGATCTGCACCGCTCAGTTTCCCTGATGAGAATTGAGCGGGGAGGTCGGGCGTCGTCGTAGAGGAGAAGGGGACGACGGGCGACGTCCAGGCGGCGAACTAGACTGATGACATCGAGGCGACGGTGACCGGCTATCAGGGGTATCGGAGGCGTTGGAATCGAAGGGTGGAAGGCGGCGGTAGTTGTCGGGGATCGGCGCAAGAGGCTGGAAAAGGCGGTAGCTGTCGCTGCAGCGAACAGTGTTGTACTGTGTTCGGGACGAAGACCAATTGTTGTGGCAATACCGTGCGATGTGCCCTGTGCGGCGGCAGTTAAAGCATATCGGCCGATCATCTGCAGTTCACCATTCAGCCGGATTGCAAGAGCGTGGATAAGACTGTTCCTGGGGCGGTGACCGAGGGCGAGGCGGCGACATTGAACGGAAGCCAATTGGTCGAGACTGAGCAACAGCGCAGACATCGAAGCCCAAATTGCTGAGTTCTTCTCGCACAATCGAATGTACCAAGCAAGCCTGAAATACTTGCGACTCAACGCGGCCGTTGGTTGGAAGAGCAGGTGCAATTGCTTTGATTTCCCGCCGGACGATGCGCGTAATTTCAGACGCCGGTGAAGACTGCTAACGGGAGGTCAGTCCATCTTCGCAGGAGGACGTCGCAGCAGTGTTCAGCAGTCGAGTGAATGATTTTGAAATACGCCTGCTTTTGGCCAATTCAAAACGCCGGCATTCCTTAATAATTTCCTCGACGGTCGCGCAGTTCCGGCACATTAGCAGGTTGAACGCATCGTCCGCTATCTCTTTGATGACGTGGCCAACCTTATCAGACTCCGACATATCGTTGTCCACTTTACGACATAGAGCCAGCACGTCCTGTATATACGAGATATGCAGCTCTGTGGACGTCTGAGCACGTATCGACAACTCCTTCTTTGCAGCCACCTTTCGACCGATGGGCTTCCCAAATAAGTCACGAAGCTTCTCCTTGAATGTGTCCCAACTGCCGATCTCCTCCTTATGGTTCTCGTACCAGACTTTGGCCATGCCTTTCAGGTAAAACAGCACGTTGGCCAGCATGAGAGTCGGGTCATACCGGTTGAGCGCACTGGTACGTTATAAGTAGTCAGCTATCCTGTCGTCAGCATCAACTTCGTCCGTACTGCAGAACGTTCCTGGATGCTTCAGATGCGTCAGCACATATGTGGGTGGGGCCGGTGGAGGCATTGCCATGGATGGTGCAGGGGTTGCTGAGGCCGATGGAGAGGTGGCCGTTGGATCAGTCCTGTGTTCCATCACGGAAACTCCGATTTGACGGCCACTGCAGAGCTCCGTTGTATGGCGATTCGTTACCCAGCAGCTCCACCAATTTGTTACGGGGATCACAAATACACGGAAGAGAGAAACGAGTGTATTTGCAATATTTACAGGTAGGTGTGACACCCCAGGGCTGGTAGCATCTCGCGCTTCGAGTTCGCTTTCTCTTCATCGATTCGTCTACGACGGCGGAGCCATGCGCACTGCCTCATAACAATATACCGTAATTACTCGAATCTAACGCGCACCTTTTTTCCGGTTAGGCGAGTTCATAAATCGCATGCGCGTTAGAATCGAGTACGAACAAAAAAATTACGGTCAATCTATTGCCATCGGCAAATTCAAAATGGCCGCCCCCTACGTGCGTCGGCCATTTCTGCCTGTGTGTTTCCCATGTGCGGCACTTCGTACGTGTGCTGAGGAGTTCGTCATCTAGTAGTGCATTAGCATCGACGGCGTGGAAGGGCCGACTCCAAAAACTCGAGTGCACCACGATGCCGCTTTTAAAAGAAAAGTCATCCCGTGTGCAGAAACGGACGGAAATCGGGCCGCATCGCGGTCGTACGGAGTTCCCGAAACAAGCGTGCGGGACCGGCGGAAACAAAAGCAGAAGATTGTCGACAGCAAAGCTTCACGCAAAGGCTTCAGTGGACCACAGCAGGGTCGGTTTCCGCAAATTAAAGAGCTGCTCGGCGAGTATGTGCTTAAGCAGCAAGCGGCACAGCGGCCCGTGACGACAGAACTGCTCCAAGAGCGGGCTATGCAATTAGTCTTAGAAAAAGGTCTAATGCGGAACCAGTTTAAAGCGAGCAGGTGCTGGCTAAGTAACTTTATGAAGAGGAAAGGCTTTTCCCTCCGAAGGAGAACATGCATATTCGAAAAGTTTTGCGGAGGAGTACGATGAAAAGCTTCACAGTTTTCAGAGGTTTGTCCTAAACTTGCGGCGCAACAACGGCTACCTGCTTGGGCAAATCGGGAATGCCTATCAGACGCCTCTTTACTTCGACATGCCTGGCACCACAACCGTCGAGAAGAAGGGGGCGAAGCAAGTTCGCGTGCTGACATCGGTCCACGGTAAAACTACAGTGACGGCAATGCTCTGTTACATGTCAGATGGGCACAATCTTCGCCCGCACCTCATATTTAAATGCAAGACGCTCCCGAAAGGAGTCGTTTTTTCGAGTGGTGTGATCGTGCGGGCCAGCGAGAAAAATGGGTGCGCGTTGCAATCGATGTCTTACGTTTTTTTTTTTTTTTTCGCGGTGGAAATCGGGTGCGCGCTACAATCGAGGGCGCGGTAGAAACGAGTAAATACGGTAGCTTTGCAGCTAAACAGCAGCACACACACGAATGTGCAAGAGACAGCAGCAGTGTACAATTATTTACAATAAAAAATTTACAATAATTTGTACAAATTCCGCATATGCAGCCAAGTAACCGAGCATACGCAAGCACACACAAACAGTTTTCTTAACGTGTGGGCTATGAAATTCACTGTGTAAGGGCACGTTGAGAGACACCTACCTCTACGTTTGTTGAGTTGAGCTTTTCCTCCATGACTTGCTTGAGTATAGTGAGGGCATTCGTGGTCGCCTCATTCAATGTCATTGTCTAAAAAGTAAACCATGCAAAAACAAAGTCCTGTAATGCCGCTTTTTTTAGCCAGGGTATCCATTACCATATATTATAAAATTTAAAGCACCAATTCTGATTTTTAGTAAAGGTACCACACAGCATAACTAATCTGAATGAAACCTTCAACCAGGCTGCAACACCAAAAAAAAAAAAACTCCCCATTCAGAAAGTACTTAGTACTATAGAGTTTTAAGGTACCATGTATTTGTTGTTCTAGAGGGAAATTTTGGAATTGCAGCATGCTGTAGCTGAGGAAACACTATGACTTATTTCTGACTGACTGTGCACTATTTCGATGCTTTGCAGTGTTCCTTAACAGCATGCAAGAAAGACAGCATTACATTCACAATTAGCTAAAACATTTGCACACCTACATGCACAAAAGTAATTACACTGTATAGTAGCTTTCACAAACAGGCAACCTATCGTGGATTTTTCCCCGGCAAAATTTAGCGAGAGCAGCTGTCACATTATCTGAAGCATCTCATTGCTGGATGGAGCACACATCTGGAACTGCTTATATAATTAGTCATTCAGCTTTGGCACAAGTGTACTTGTTTTTCAGTAATTGTAATTATTTGTATGATGTGTCTGTATTTACTTATTGAGCGCCCCTAACCAGGGTACATGAGCATAACTAAAATATGGCCCTACTTGCAGAAATGTGCTATGGCTAGCCACAAAATGCCTTCACCAACAGTTACTATGGCAGGGAGCCATAAAGTTCTTACATATATAAACCGGAATATAAATCGAGATATTTTCAATAAAATATTGACCTAAAGCCGCCCCTTGTCTTATATAGCGGTGTCTAGCCGAAAGTGCGCCGCTGTCTGGCAACATGTGGCTTGCATGTGCTTGAGAAGTCAGATGCGGCCACAACCGCATGCAAATCCAATCGCACGCTGTTTTTTTTTTTCTCTGTGTTTTCTTTGTGTTCGTGATTTGCTTCCGATCTGTTCAAAGTTTTCGCTCCGCTTGAGATTGCGCTGCATTTTTAGTGGTATTTTTTTTTCGTTCACTCAATATGAGTAGCGGTATGAGGAGGCAGTACTCAGCTGCATTTAAACTAAATGATGTTGAGTTCGCAGAAGCGAACAGGAATATGGCTGCTCAGCGCCACATTGGTGTATCGGAAAAAAAGCGTGCGCTATTGGAGGGCGCAGAAAGAAAAGCTGCGAATGTGCAATCCTCGAAAAATGTTGTTTCGTGGTGAAGTGCCGTTCATCCGCAGCTGGAGGATAAGCTAGCGCACTTTGTGCGGGAAGTTCATGCGCGCTCGCTGCCAGTGACCATGGATACCATTCGCAAGAAAGCCGTGGAACTCGTTCGAGAAGCTGGGTTCACGAGAGAAGAGTTTCGTGCACCAAACTCCTGGGTGCATCGATTTATGCGACGCAAAGGATTTTTTCTCCGGCCGCGCACATCCATCTGTCAGAAGTTGGCCGAGGAGTTTGAGGACAAGCTTATAAACTTTCAGCGCTTCGGGAACCGGTTTAGGGAGCAGAACGACTACATGATGGAGCAATTTGGCAATGCCGATTAGATCCCCGTGTGGTTTGCCATGCCTTCGTCGACCTCGATCACGCAGCACGGCGCCAAGGATGCGAAGCTCTTGTCCACTGGCAACGAGCACTCGCGCTTCACCGTCATGCTGGCATGCACGGCAGATGTTAGATCAAACGCAAGACAATGCTGAAGGAAGTGTTCCCGCCCGGTGTTGTCGTTCGTGTCAACAAAAAGAGATACATGGACGAGGCCATGATGCTCGAATGGATAAGAGTAGTGTGGAACCGTCGGGCAGGTGCACTGCTGAGTCTTCGCAGCATGCTGGTGTTGGATGCGTTTCGTGGTCACTTAACCGACGCTGTGAAACGTGCACTTCGCGATGGGAAAACGGACCTCGCTGTGATACCAGGTGGTATGACGTCCACCCTCCAGCCGCTTGACATTGTGCTGAACAAGCCGTTCAAGGACCAAGTGCGGCTGGAGTACCAAGAGTGAATGTCCGGCGACAACCCAGACACCGACGGACCACCTACAGAGGCCTCCGCTTGCGACTGTTTGTGGCTGGGTGCTTTCCGCCTGGCGATCCTTGCCAGATTCCATGGTAGAAAAGGCTTTAAAGAAATGTTGCTTCAGCAACTCGCTGGATGGCACGGAGGGAGAGGCACTGGGGGAGGCGGCCAGCGACAAACTCTCGTCTTCAGAAGACAGTGGGGCTTCGTCTGAAGAATAGGAACAGTTGCGATGGTGGTTGAGGGGAGCTCCGCAATCGGGATGCAGTGCACCCAACTCGCAAATTAATGTCATTCGGCAGTTTTGGGTTGTTGTTTTTTTTCTTTTTCGGTAACCTGAACTATGGGGGTCGACCTATATTCCCACTCGACCTATAGTCCGGTTTATACGGTAGATTCCTGCTAACAAAAATGTCCATGTTGTATGTTGATATGTGCAGCACAGTTCCCTATTGTGCATGGGAGAATGCAAAATTATTGATGTACATATGGTAGTAGATGTGTAAGTAGCTTGCCTTGTGGTACTTCTCCTGAAGTGCTTGCTGGGCACCCTCAGAACCTGAACCAATTGCCTTTGCATTGTACTGAACATAAGTGCCAGAGGGGTCCATGTGATACCTGCCAAAGAATAAGAAAACATTACTATTGTTTTAGAGAAATGCCTCATGCCTTTTAAAAAATCCCTGTGAAAGAATAACTTTACACAGCTTATGTATTACCATAAGTAAAAAATTCCAGGCCAGTGCAGAAGGTGCAGCACAGTTACAGCGAGAGCTAGAAGAGCATCCTTTCATAGCCTTTTCAAAACACTGATTAAATAACTACTGCAAGCACACTTACTTGATGCCTACTACGGCATTAATAATAAAAATTTTAGGGTAGTAGGCCACCACTCACTATGCTATTTTTCGTCATTCTTTTGAGAAGCGTGGTATTTGCTAAACACTTTCAAGGACTTTTGTGCCAATTGTTAATGCAGTGGCTGATGATGATAAGGAACTATGCCTGAAGTGGGTATGTGCCACAGTTAATAGCTGAACACAAGCTTTTGTAATGGGTTGGAACATTGGACGACCCGCTCATTACCCTATTCGCGTTGTGCGACGACTGCTTGTTTTTTTGCTGTTTTAAAACGCCTTCTAAGTCATATTAACACGATTGCTTTCCCAACATGAAGTCTGCCTAAGGCAAGTTTGCCAACAAGTCTCAAGCACCGAGTGGCTCAGTGGTAGAATACTGGGCTGGCACCCAGTAGACCCGGGTTAGAGCCCCATTGTGTCAATGATAATAGGTTTCTTTTTTTTTTCTAATTTCGCACGATGTGGTTACGAACATCGGCGGCGGTGGACAACTATGGCGCTGAGCGAGACCCGAATTGTGATCTCATAACGGCTTTCGCTGTCAAAGAATGAGTAATGTTATCGGGTTACAACATCTTGAGGCAAATGAGCGAGTCACGTGACTTGCAAAAGTGCTTAATTCGACTTTGCTCAATGCCTGAACAGCATTTGCCTGAACAGCATTTGCTTGAACAGCATTTGCATGCATGCAGCAATACTACCACACAGCACAAATGCCATTATGCAGTGTGCCGACTTATGCACGTACAGTTCGTACAATATCCAAAATGTGGCACATGCACTAAGGTGAGAGACATACCAAGCTTTAATCACAGTAAAATCAAGGAATATAGAGTTCTACTACTGCTTTAATAAACACCTGTATGCTTAGTCATATTTAGTTTCATATCACCGTAATTACTCGAATCTAACTTGCACCTTTTTTCCGGTTAAGCGAGTTCATAAATCGCATGCGCGTTAGAATCAAGTACGAAAAAAAAAAAAATGAATACGGTCATTCTATTGCCATCGGCATTTCCAAGATAGCCGCCCCCTACGTGCATCAGCATGGTGCGTCGGCCATTTCTGCCTATGTGTTTCCCATGTGCAGCACTTCGTACGTGTGCTGAGGAGTTCGTCATCTTGTAGTGCATTAGCATCGACGGCATGGAAGGGCCAACTCCAAAAACTCGAGTGCACCACGATGCCGCTTTTAAAAGAAAAGTCATCGCGTGTGCAGAAACGGACGGAAATCGGGTCGCATCACGGTCGTTCGGAGTTCCCGAAACGTGCGTGCAGGACCAGCGGAAACAAAAGCAGAAGATTGTCGACAGCAAAGCTTCACGCAAAGGCTTCAGTGGACCACAGCAGGGTCGGTTTCCGCAAATTGAAGAGCGTCTCGGCGAGTACATATGTGCTTGAGCAGTGAGCGGCAAAACGGGCCGTGACGACAGAACTGCTCCAAGTACGGGGTATGCAGTTAGCCTTAGAAAAAGGGCTAATGCGGAGCCAGTTTTAAGCGGGCAGGTGCTGGCTAACTAACTTTATGAAGAGGAAAGGTTTTTCCCTCCGAAGGCGAACGGACATATGCAAAAAGTTTCCGGAGGAGTACGATGAAAAGCTTCACAGTTTTCAGAGGTTCGTCCTAAACTTGCGGCACAACAACGGCTACCTGCTTGGGCAAATCGGGAATGCCGATCAGACGCCTCTTTACTTCGACATGCCTGGCACCACAAACGTCGAGAAGAAGGGGGCGAACAAGTTCGCGTGCTGACATCGGTCCACGGTAAAACTACAGAGACAGCAGTGCTCTGTTACACGTCAGATGGACACAAGCTTCCCCCGTACCTCATATTTAAATGGAAGTCGCTCCCGAAAGTAGTCACTTTTTCGAGTGGTGTGACCATGCGGGCCTACGAGAAAAATGGGTGCGCGTCACAATCGATGTCTTACTTTTTTTTTTCTGTCGTGGAAACCGGGTGCGCGTTACAATCAAGGGCGCGGTAGAATCGAGTAAATACGGTAGCTTCAGTAGAAAAATGCAGGTATTATCAATTCATAATACACATCCCATGTATACAAGTGAAACTTAATTTAACTAAGTGATGACCACATCCAAATTACTTTGTGAAATATGGAGGTTCCTAATATTGAGAAAAAACTTTTTCATTTCAGTCTTTTCAAAAGACATCCAAAAGCCCTTTCAGCATTTGTTTTGCCACAAAACTACACCTGCTCATTCCGCAAAGGTAGCTCATGGATGGCCATGTTGCCCGGACATGGGATGGTTTTATACCTGGCCTAGCTATCAGACCAGGTAGTTTGCTGTGATAGGCCACCGATTGCAATGCCACGGCAAACGATTTAGCGACTGTGTGTGAAGACTAAGCGAGAAATTTCGGAGGAGACAACCAGTCTTACATGTCATGTAAACCATGAAGTAATGATAGCAACCACCACTGCCCCTAGCAGAATTTGGTGAATAGGAGCACCACATACACACCAGCTGTGCAGGGTGCAGCTTAGATTTTCATAAAAATACACTACATAACCTCATTATAATGAAGTCACATCTGACACAAAAACACCTTCATTTTGTCCGAAAATTTCTAATGTATTGCTGATAAGCTTGTTCCTTATTTATTTCGTTATATCTGTTATGTTTGTTATTCAGAGACGTTAGTGTAAAGCTAGGGCTCCAACTAGGGTGTCTAGATGTTTGCATGCAAAAGCGCTAGAGCAGACGGTTGAAGAAAAACCAGTCTGTGCCAAAATAAGAAGGAAATCGTTGCTCATTCACACAATCTTTTGAGAAAAACTTCGTTAAATCAGGTTTAGTGGCCAAGTTTATTCATAAATTAAGACTGAATTCTATGACTACTTGCCAAGAAATTAAACTTTTTCTTTAGGTCGGGACTTCATAAAATCGTGTTTCGTTAGACTGGGTTTTAACTGTATTGTTAAAGCATTCCTCTGAAAAAGTCAGTGCAATAAGTAACAAAACAAATAATCTTTTCATTTGCACCCTCTAGCATAATACGTCAGAGGAGTAAGCAGACATGTTAATCACAGCTAAATTATGCATAAGCTGAGTTCAATATGCCAACCCAAAATAAAGGTTATGAGGAACGCTGTAGCGGCATGCCTCAGATCGCTTCTAATGATTTGAGCTCCTTTGAAGAGGCAGCCAAATCACTCTGCACAAGAAGTTTTGTATAACCCTTCCATCTGAATGTACCTGCTGCTGCAGAGAATTTGAACAGCGATCTCTCATTAGAGGAGAGCCACATAATTAACGAACCACCACAGTGGGTGGTACTCACAGTTGTGGGCCCTTGGCATCAATGCCAGCAAAGAGGATTGCCACACCAAATGGTCGACTCATGGCATTACCATCATCATCACTGTCACCAAACTGGATGGCCAAGTTTGAAACAGCCAGGGCCACACTTTCCACTTGCATCTTTTCGTTGTAGAGAAACCAGTGGTTCTGAGGCAGGGGAAAAAAGGGCAGAAAAGCAGCATTCACAAGTCAATTTGCAACAACATCCCTCACAATGATGTAAATATATGTGGCCACGAACAAGTAATAATTGGTCAATGCCACACATTTACAGCACCATATGTATGTTTGATAAAGACCCCAACTTTTCAACTCTTTCTCTCTTTTTTTTTTTTTTCCCCATCAGGTGCCATCAGCCTGCAGGAATACAAAGAATTTTCTTTTCCACTACAATTACTATCTTTTTATGATTTGTTTAGACTAGTGCATCAAGTATCGCTTGCAAGATCATATGTGCGGTAAATTTTGGTTTTACTTTGCAGGTGACTTCCTTTTGCTGCACTTGCAAAGCCCAAGCTCTACCCGATTTCTAATCTTTAAAAAGAGGACAGCTTGATACACGCTTGCTTACAGGCAACGGGGTGTGATTACAGTTGCTCACAAGTGCAGGGTTTTTTTGGAAATCAGTAAATCTAATTTTCTCCTGCAAAAATGTGGGGAAGGAGTGTTAATGCACTGATTGGGTGGTGAAAGGTCTTGTATACCTGCGACATTCATCTCCAACGATTCTCGGAGTGAACATCAAGCTTAAGGAGAACCATTTTTATAGTGCCTTTTCATTTTGATAATATATGCTTTATTAGAGCAGTATTGTGCGGTGAAGTTCTGCGTAGAACTGGGCAAAACTGCTCTTTAGACCTATGAAATTATCAAAAATGCTTACGGTAGTGATGCCATGAACTAGTAAAGTGTTTCTAAATAAAAAAACTGTTTCATGATAAAAGGGAGTAAGTTGAAAATGAGCAATAGTCAGGACGCCCTTAAACGGCAAAAAAACATGACATTGCACTGAGTCACGCCACCTCTGCTGTCAACTTTCTGACCAAACATGGCATTACACAGCTTCTCCAGCCACCCTACAGCTCAGATGTACCTAGTTAATAACTTCTACATCTTCCCTCAACCGAAAAAGGTCATCAAGGGCAGCAACAAGGCTAGGTCCAAGCCATTCAAGAGGTCGTAACGAAGGAGCTAAAGACAGGCCACTTGTCATGCCGCATTCCACAACCAATGTAAGGAGTATATATTACTTTTTTTTTTCCCTCAAAGTAAATGCAACCAAAAACCTATTGCACACACATATGGAGCCTATGATTTTATTATTTCCATGTAAAAAGGTAACATGATTGGCTGCAGAATAATGAAAAATATTATTTCACACTAATTTCAATTAAACACAGAAATGGACAAGAAACAGGATATTGCTTCATTTCCTTTCTTGGAATGTAATATAGAGTGCCTTGGAATTATGGAATGTCAACTGGACACACTAGTAGACAGATTATCATAATTTGAGCCTGAAGGGAATATATGAATTAAGCTGCTCTGCAAGTGTGTTTCAATCATGAGAACTGGAAAAAAATTGTTGCCTTTGGGGTCTACAAAAACTGATTGCCTCTTGGTAATGAAAGGATGTGTGGTTAATATATGGTTACTAGAAGAAGTTTCTTACTCCTTTGGTTTTTATGACGCATGAAAAGTTTCCTTTTGCTTGCTAAGATAGACAACGATTGCACAATGGGTGTATTTTCTAGTTTCTCTGCTGCAGGTGACTCGAGCACCATTTCTTTTGACTTGGACAACTGCCAAAATGCCTAAGCAAAATCGGATTGATTGATGGGCAGCCACTGAGATGAGGTACAACCTGAATTTCGGCAGAGTAGCAACTTCTTCGAAGTGTGTGCAGCATGGAAATTCTGATTCGGATAAATGTTAGTATAATATGCACATTTCTCAGAGCATGTGAAACATATTTATTCTGGTCTGCATACTCATATTCAACATAACCTACTTTCATATTATCTTTATTGTTAATAAGTAGTGCATCTATATCTAAGGAAAACATTATTTCTGTCACTTTGTTATAAAATGAGGGTAGATTTCATGCGACAGCTATTTCTGCAAAAATTAAATCTGCAATAAATAAAATTGATACTGTGGAGTCCACTACTGTGTCTCTCATAATCATATGGTGGTTTTGGCATGTTAAACCCCACATATCAATCAATACTGTGGAGTTGCACTTGGCAAAAAATTTGAACCTCAGTCAGTTAAAAGCCAATTGGTTATGTGTGTTTTCTAATTGATCAGTTTGTATAAGTCCAAAACAGAGTTATGGCGAGCTAATGCATTGCCGTTACATCTTCATGACATTCTCCTTCTTCACACCATTTAACTTTACTAAAAAACAAACTTATCATGCAGTCATGCTCCTAATGTTTTCTGTTTTTTGTATGCCCTAAGCATGTCAAAACCAACTAATTGTTTGACTCTAGCTGAAAGCAATAAGATTCAGGGCAGCAGCATATTTATAGACTTACAAGTGATAAAATTTGTACCTTCTGTTCGTCAGATATACCAGGTTAACTGCAATAAAAAAGTGCATAAGTTGGAAGGAAGTAAAAAAAAGAGACAGTGCAGGCTTCATGAATCGCAAAAGATGGCCTGGTATCATTTGCAGTGATTCCACAGGCCCAAGCTATTTTGGAGCAGTTGTCTATAGACTCAAATGCAAAGCCCCTAAAAGAAGTGCAGCCTTCAAAATGCATGAACAATAAAAAATAATAAGTGATGTGTGGTGTTCAGTGGCATAATCAGGATAGCAGACAGTGTCTGCTGACATTTTTTTGACCCCTACAATATGCATAGTATATATTGCCCGTACGAAAAGTGGTAGTGAAACTGTGTTTCTAGTCACAAGTGTGTGCATGTGTGAAGGAGGTGATGATAAATTTACCTAGGCACAACTATTGTAATATTCGAAGCACTTATTAAAGAGAGCCAGATGTATAGCAGCACACTATTATCAACTGAAAATAACTCATTCAGTAACCTATTAAACTAAAGCTATTTTTCAACATGCCAGCAGCTGTTACAGTCATTCGAACAGTACTAAAAAATAAGGTAAACTATATATGGCATAAAAATTTAAAAGAGCTTGGCTTGCAGTTCTCACCTGAGCCTCCACTCGTGCCCGGTCAACCATAGTTCTTGAATCGGCCATCAAACCACTGACAGCACACCCTTAAAAGAAACAAACCATAACAACCCAAAGCACCTTGTGATACCTGTGATCAAAGACTTTGGTAACTGATAACACGAAAAGGTAAAAAAAGTTATCACATGCACCACAGCCTAGGTCTTGAACTCAGATTCCACATTGCTCAATGCTAACAAAACATGTGAACTGCTTGAAAATGAGAAAAACATAGGAAACAAATTATTGTGGTATCGACTTGGGCGTCTAGACAAATTCCACTTGGAGAGCAGGAGCACTCAAAATCATGCTGAAAGTGCTCTCATCAGAGCCGGCGTGTTTCAGTGGTCACACAGGTGCAGGGGCACTGTCATCCATTGGTAGAGCGACGCTGCTTTTGCTGCACCGAGAGCAGCCAGGACTAGTTTGTAGTGCTCTCGCCTGAAAAGCGGAGTATGTACAGTACGACGAGTCATGTAGCCTCGGAATGTTACACTCCCCAAATTTTTCTTCATCTGGCAAGTGCGGCGGAAATGGTGGTAACCATGCGTATTTTGACACTACTGTTTTGTACAGGTGGCGACGATGACAGCTGGATGTCTGCTGAATGCGCCATTGCAAGGACATACTATGAATTAGGATAATTAAGAACATGTGACTGATTGATTTCACTTGTATTTTGCTGCTACCCCACAGAGAATATGCCGTGGTTTGGAATGTTTCAATCACATAGTCTCCCCACTCGTCACTCTTTCACCTGCTCCCTGAGAGCGTGCCGCATTCCGGTGGCAGTGCTCTGCCTCCCAGCTCCTCAGTGCACCACCCCTCAACTCCTATTCTCTCAATGGAACTCACCACAAGACACTACGTCTAAGGAACACCAAGTGAATGCTGGAACAGCGGCCCCGAAACAGACAAAAGACACAACTGGGTGCCAAGCGAAGGACCAAGAGCTCTAGTTTAATCAATACAAACATAGGTGCCTAAGGCATCACGTTGAAGATACTACGCTAGGTGCACGCCAGAATGGCGGCCCCGAAGTTTACGAAAGATGCAGCAAGGTGGCAAGTGAAGGACGAACAGCACTAATTTAATTAACACATTATATTATGGAATGAATGGTTGATATGGCTGTACCCTTTAGATCGGGCGGCGGCTAACGCCACCTAGCCTTAACACTTCGTGAACTACAAACTAGATTAATCTTTTTTTCCCCTTAAAATAGTGAAGTTGAGGACTGGTACTTTGCAGTGAAGGGTTTAATTTTCACTCGTGCCTTGACTTCGTATACAACGGAATGGCGCCTCCTGCGGGCAAGAAAACATGCTCCTAAACCGGGACCTAAACTAATATACCACAATTATGATAGATGATTTGAACTAACGTGATCTTAGCCGCCATGCTGGAGACTTAGCAATATCAGAAAGGAGCAGCTGTTATGTTTGGCAGGGTGGTTCTATGGCAAGTTCTGGCACACGCACAAGCAGCATGGTAAGGCTCCAGTACAGTGGGATACTGTGTGTCTGACGTCATGTGCAGAGCACTTATAAGGGGCGTAAGATTTCAAGCGAAATGGGCAGGCCACACGGAACACTTCGATTGGGTGCGTGTTTCTCAATACTCAGATTACCGCATAACCTTTCCAGAATAAACTTTCCAAAAGGAGGGCGAGTTGCGGGTTGCTTGTTTGCGAACCATTTATTTCGCACTATGTTTATCTATATAGCGTTGCAACTACTCATACGCGTAGTATAATCAGGTCATTTCCACTACTGAATGGCCAAACGTGACAGATCCAGCAAATGAAAGGCGCTGCCTACCAATGTGGTCGTCGATCTCGACGATCTTTTCTATTGTGGTAGGTTCCATGAGCGGCGACGTCACTCGCTTCTCGACGGCCAGAACAACGCCTTCGGAGGTTTGTATGCCGATGGCTGTAGAGCCGAGCTGAAAGCACAGTGCACGTTATGGCGTTACTTCATTTTGTGCTCACGAGCTTTTACTCACCTTGATTGCTTCAATCGCGTATTCGACTTGAAATAACCTTCCCTCTGGTGAGAACGTGTTGACGCCTCGATCGTATTCTGAGCGTGTCATGAACATCTAAGAGACGAGGAAAGAGAGCGTCAAGGTCTTGGAGTCTTCGCAAGTCTGCCATTACGGTCAGAGATAGAACAACACATTTGGAAAGGTACTCTACAAAGCAGGGCATTATTACGCTCTCTTGATTTCTGCTACTACGAAGAATGCTAGAAATTCGCGTTCGCTAAACAGCGAGGATGACATGCAACTCTTAACGCCGGCCGAGACAACTTCCTGATATTCAGTTCACGAGCAGCCAGCAAGCTGCCGCTGCCAACTTAATACATCGAGCGATGCTTAAACATTACGTTCCACGTGAAAAATATGCGCTTACTTTCGTTAACGCTTGTCAAATCACCGATAAACTCCAAAACACAACCCGCCGCAACCCAACTTGCAAGCTCGTGCGGTGTGACTGTGCGTCGCCTGGACGCCAAAGTCTGATAAAATTGTACTAAAGTAAATGTACAATTCCACAAAAAATAAATAAATAAGTTTTGTGATAATCAAAACCTTAAAATGAACACAAATTTTAGTTTAAAAGATTTTAATTGAGCAGACGAGGCTTGAAAAGAAAATGACTTCTTTAGCTACCAGTGTTGACAAACGAGCTGGCTATGAGTCTTACTCAGTCACGACAAGCCAAGTCAGGTCAAGTCATTCGAGAGCTCGTTGCCTTGTTTGAAGTGCGTGGTCGACTTGTGCTCTTTCGGCCGCGTTATTAGCGGCTTTGTTTTCTTACAGTTATTTTTCTAAATTTAGTGGAGCTTTTATACATGCGACATTTTATCAAGTAACCTTCAGTAGTAATTAATGCGAGTACCATCGCCTAAGCACAATGCACCGAGCTCAACTTCGCGGCATGTGACAGCACCATTGAAGATACCTGCTGTGCACGAATCCCACGTCTTCTTTGTTAATTAAGGCTTGGGATAATGTGATCAAGTTTTCAATCTGAGGTGCTCCTTGCCGTGCTCAGCGCCCCGTGATGAAGTTAAGGCGAATATGACTGCGCTTGAACTCCCGCTTCAAGCGGTCGAGGTCGCGTGGGCCGTGATATTGAGGAAAAAACTTCTGAGGGTCCAGATATTAGAACATGGTTCCGATGATGACATTTAAGTATGCGAGGCAACTGTGAGCCCGTTACTTACTCCTCATACTCATTAGTTTAAGTCTGAGGAACCAGCGACCACGTAAAAAATTTTGGAAAGTTGAAACTGCTTGTTGAAAGGGGTGTAGCTGCTTTTCGTCTGAACCAAACCTTGTGCTTAGAGATGGCTAATTGCAGTTTGATCTTACTGATTTCAAGTAAAATCAACGCTGTACTTTCCTCCCGGGGCCACTTCGTGTAAATTGTTTTTACAGCAGAGTGCGTCTACTCTGATGGGTTCAACGCATAGAGCCGATCTTCTGCCTTACAAAGAACGAAAGTGCACCGATGCTTTTCCGAGGACCGTGTAAGGCTTGAAGGCATCAAGAACAATGCTCTTGCGTTCTCAGTAGTCCATTGCAGCTGTTGTCAAAATACTAACATAATATTCAGTAAGCACTCGCCTGCGTCTCATCTGATGCTATAGGCCCGTGTGCTCATATTTGGGTGCACGTTAAAAACCCCAGGTGGTCGGAATTTCCGGAGCCCTCCACTATGGTGTCTCCAGGGACGGCGCCAGGGGGGGGCAAGGGTGGGCTGGAGCCCCCCCAAAATTCTCGCCTGCCCCCCCCCCCCCCCCCCCCCCCCCCTATGCCCGGAAGCATATATTGAAAACCTAGTAGGAGCAGAGCTTGCTTGCCCCCCCAGTAAAAACATCCTGGCGCCGCCCCTGGGTGTCTCTAATAATCATATGGCGGTTTTAGGGTATCAATCAATCAGTTTTTGCTACAGTGTCAGGTGCGTCTCCTGTGATCCGTCCCAGTTGGCCTAGCTAGGTTTCCTTGTTTTGTAAAGGCCCATGCCAGGAACATCGATGCTATAATGTCAGCTTCAATCACACATCTCAATGTAATTATTGTGCAGAAGAAAATTAAGAGCATTTCAGTGAACCACCTCTATTTCACATTAATAAAGGCTTTCTTTTGCTAAAACTATTTGATCCATTTTATTGCAACCAATGCGATGCGTTATCTATATAGATGGACTTTGGAGGACCCAGGCAGCTTTCACAAAGACGTTTCACTTTACAACACGCAGGTGCCAGCTTACATGTAGTATTTTGTCATGGGTTGATTCTCAGCTTCACGCTGTAAACACTTACATATTGAAAGTTAGTTACATGATGAACAGTCCTAAACTAGCTGAAAAGCATCCCTCAAAATATTTGCACTGCCTTCTGATGTTCCAATATAACCCATTACGAGGTAACCCATGTGTCAGAGCAACACTGCACCTGTGTAGTAACTGGATAGGACAGGCGGGTACAAAGCCTGTTTTATACACTGACTTGCAAGAAACGAGGCATGTTGCTGTGATTAACCTTCGTCCTCTCTGGACTGCGCACACCTATGGTGATTACAATGCCCTGGTTTTTTGCTTTTTAACCCAGATATGTGCACAGCTATGCACTAAGCAGACTCTATGGATATTGACAAGAGACAGCCTGCTTAAAGCTACCATTTACATTTTTAAGAATTGGAATTTATAGACCATAATATATACATAGTTGGGGGGAGGAGAGTTGCTCTGGAAGCTGTATGTATTGGACATCATTGTTTCCTTGGCATGCTACGAAGGACAGTACATTATCATTACTGCATTTTACCACCACGGCTGCGTGCTGCAATTTTGTTAAATAATGAAACAAAGACACAGAGTGCATCTAAAAATTGTACTTTACATGGTTCTTTTCTTCTACAAGATGAACATGCAAAGGCAGCAGTTATGTGCAGCTGCTACATGAGTTTTTACGTCATTAGATGTGTGAGCTATGTACAGGTGTTTTACAAGGGGCACTTCATTGCATCAGTAGTGATGAGAAATATCTCCAGTGTATTCCGATATGCTGTCATAGCTGAAGTCCAAGACTGCTTTGTCATACAGCATTTGCACGGTGGCACAGCATCTTTCCTTGTCCCTTTTCAGCACTAATCCAACCTGCAAATAAAATGAACATTTGACTATTTACTGATGCTTGATGTAGGTCTATCTAATAGGAAAAAATAAATTAAATTGTTCACAACAACAATAGCGAATTTAACATCACCTGCATAGGAATAGTCAGTCATTTTTGAGAACAAGCACAATACAGTACATATAAAGTGAATATCACGGAAGTAATGTGAATAATTCGTGCACAATAGTGGTGTGCTCCATTTTTGGTACAATCGTATCGTGCAGTGCAGCGTATTAGGTGTATGGGCAACACAGAGGCACTGGCTTGGCCATAGCCAGGCAGCAAGGGAGACGTGACACACGCATTATTTGTAGCACAATGCATCTGCTATCTAGTCCAGATACATGTGTCCAAAAACATAAAACACTACACTTTTCAGTTTTAATTTCGTTTCTATGCATATGCTTTGCAGACGAAAAAATGACATTCCTTGTCAACTTACCTGCCCACAGTAGCTTCCTAACAACACAAGCACATGAGCTGGTGCCTTCCTAGGAATTACGGTTTCCAGCATTGATGCTTTGATGTCTGGAAACAATAGAGGCATTAAGGCCAGTTGAATGTGGCATTCTCAGGGAAAGCGTGAGACAGGCAAGATCAAAAGCAGAGAGGCAAAAGCAAAAAACTAGGCATGAAGGGTGAGAGGAGGAAAAGTGAATTGAATTGCTACAATACACAGTCCCCAAAAAAAACATTATGTACAAGTCCAGCAGTTTGAGTTAGTCGGATGTTCACGATCTTAAAAAATAGCACAAAAACAACGGACAAACACAAAATGACAAATGAATGCCGATTTACAACTGGTCTGTTTATCCAGAAACACGTAATATATAGCACTGACATTACAAGGAATTGTATTACGCACAGATATTCTCTTTCTCTGTGAAGAGGAAAGATTGCAGGATGCTTACACACTATCTTCGTGCACTAGAAGAGTGAAAAAGATCTGCCGAGTGAAGCAATGGCTTGTTTGTTGTTTTCATATAGATAGCTGAATAATTAGATAACTCTTACTGGCACCATAAATTGGAAGCAAGTCCTCCTTTTTGTGTGCGTGTATGTTTCTTTGTTTTTTGTGCTGTTTTTTACAATCACAAAGAAGACTGAAAAGACAAAATAAAAGGAGTGCCATAATTTTTATCATAGCACAGTTTTACCTTCCAAGATCTTGCCATCTTCTGTGTTACACATACAAGTAGTTCTTGAAGTGACATCTTCGATCGTCATCTGAAACAAAAAAAGTCAGCAATGAAGTACACCAGCTGTGATTATACAAATGTTGGAGACACACTGGTAAAATATTAAGCTAAGACTGTCTAATTATTAAAAGGCCAAAATGCAGTTAGTTTTACCACAAGCATGTAGGCTTGGTAAGACGTAAAGAAACTTAAATAATAAAAATGTGGGCAGCATAATCATGCATCTTCCAGGCCAATTTACAATTAAGATGGGCTCCGGAAAAAAAGTTTTATCAATATGTAGCCTAGGGCAATGAAATTTTTCCTGTATATGTAGACTTTTATGGTGATTTCAGATATGTATTACTAGTTCCATAGCAAATTGCACAGTTTTTGTTTGACGTTTTTTGTTCCATGACAATAAATAAAGCACAGTTCGTTTTGGACAAACTTGTTATGTCACTACACTTTTATCGTGATAAGCCATTAAAGGAACAGGGTAAGCAAAAATATTTTTAAAAGTTATTGTTTTCTTTTTGCGCAGTTTGAAATCTGCAGCCTTTTCTGAATCAGAATGAGTCATTTTTTTATGTGTGTGACTTTTTTCTGTCTAAAAATCACATATTTCGAGACCTATGCGACGCTCTGCTGCACCCCCCTCATGTATGCTGCACCTGAGCGCACACGTGGGCAGCTAAAAACGTGCCAAAATGAAGGGCATTAATTTTTCAACAAGTTTAGTGGGAATAATATTTAGTCTGGCAGCAAGTGCTTCATCTGCCGAGTCAATGTTCAGTTACTTTGCGGTGTTTTCTTTTTTTTTTGCACGTGTTGTTTGTAGTGTTCCAAAAGTATTATTGATTGATATGTGGGGTTTAAAGGCCCAAAACCACCATATGATTATCAGAGACACTGTAGTAGAGGTCTCCGGATGTTTCGACCACCTGGAGTTCTTTAACATGCACCCAAATCTGAGCACACGGGCCTACAGTTCCAAAAGTATTATGGTTTAGCCATTAAAAGAAATATAGGCAGCTTATAGGACATAAAACACTGCCTGGGCCAAATATTTCCACATGACATTAACGGATACCAATCTATCCCACAGCTTTTGCCCGAAGGACACCCACAGCTTTTGCCCGAAGGACACTGATACTTGGCGTATATTCAACAAAACCCAGTTCAGTGGTGAACCATACGTTCACAAAGAACACCTTTCAGCACCTGTTCTAGAGGCAGTTAACCGATTTATGAGCAACTTGCTAATCCCGAATTACTTGCGAAATGCCTCTATGGGAAAACTCTAAATCCCAACAAGTCGTTTAACAATGTTGAGTGGAAGCGCGCTCCGAAAAACGTGTTTCTCGGACAAATACACTCAAAATATACAATCGTAATGGTGTAACCACCTTTAATGATGGCAATTTGGCTCATGTGAATGTGCTTAACTCGTTTGAAATTTCGCCAGGTCCTCACATAGTGTGTGCACTTGACCTGCGTTGACAGTACTTCGTGGACAGGACCGCGAAGCAGGCGACAAAGGAGGCCCGCCAGGCCAGACGCCTCAACTCAAAAAGAAAAAGTGATATTGGTGATGAATATATGGCTGGTGCCTATTAAAAATGTCCTCGAAATGGGGTTATTTTGTGGTACATTTGAAATAAAGCATATTTTCACTTCAAATGCAACTACCTCAAAAGATGCTTTTTTTTTACTTATGTAACTTTTTCTCAGCAACCACTGTATCTAGAAACATGAATTTCAGCCAGTATTTAGAGAACGTGCTAGAGAATCTACTGAAGCAGAATTATTGTTGTGTGAGAAAGTACTTTTTTCTAACACGACATGTAATACCGATTAAAGGGTGATAATTAGGCACCTCAAGTTAAAAAATTTAAAAAATTACCATTACAAGTTTCAAATATAATTCTGCTTCAGTAAGAACAGGAATGGCTTATGATCACAATGATAGTAAAATAATTACAGTAGACTCAGTAAACAGAAATCTGTTAAACGGAACTACTGCTTAGAGAAAACTATTTTCCCTCCAATGCTTGGTTTCAGGCTTGTATTCTGCACCCATGTTAACCTCTCAGTAAATGGCACTCCTGCTAAATGGAACATATTTTTCCGGTCCCTTCAGGTTCCGTTTACAGAGACTCTAGTGTACTTTAACATTTATGGTTATAAAGAAAAAGGTACATAAAGTTGGCCTAAAGTACATGGCAGGTATAGGGCTGACCCTGTTTCCTTAGTGGCTCATATTGCTCCAAATTAACAGTATAACGGAAATAACTATCAAGAAAGAGCATATAAGACACTTCTATAGACTAGAAAATTGCATTGGCACAGCTCTTAGAATCCTACACTCACACTAACTGCTTGCTTTATGTTCGTAATAAGTGTACAAGTGATATCAAGTTAAAAAAGATACTTGCACCCTTCACACATGGGCGAAATTTTATCTTGATCTGACCATCGAAAGCACTAAAGACATGATGTCTAAACTCAAAAAGTTGCCCGAAAATAGATTTTGAAAAAAAAAAAAGCTTATTTTAGAGGTATAAGTCAAAGCTCATCTATGTGAGAAACACAAGTTTTTAAACATTATTTTTTGCATCATGAGACCTTGCCAATCATTGTTATTTTGAGCATGTGGCATTTGTGGACTTTAGATGCAATAGCAAGCAGCAAGGGACAATTTCCAGGGACCCTAGAAAATGAGTTCATTTTTAGTTTTTAGTAGCCACCTTGTGCTTTTTAAAAGCAATTTTAACAGGCTTGAAGATTAATTACAATCTTTAGTTTTTTGTAGTGAAAGTAAAGAAACTAAACTTATGAAAGCAAATTAAAATTAAATTGAATTGAAATTGAATTGAAAATTAAATTGAAAGCAAATTTTGAAGTCTTGCCAGAATTCGATTTGAGAGAAATCACAAAATGAATAAATTCTGGAGCCAGAACCATGAGGCACGCTGTAGTGTCAGACTACAGATATGCATTCACCATCTTGGTTTCTTTAATGTAATACTCAGGCTCATTTGCAGACCATTATCTGCACAAAAGCATACAATATGTACAATAATACCATGAAATACTTGTTCTCAAAATGTCATCCTTCGAAATTAGTTTCCTAAAGGCAATACTAACATTTACTTACTCCACACATATTAAATCAAATTTACTAATAGCTGACTAACTTCCAGAAGAGTTAAAACTCAATTATTTTATTTTAGTGCTCCAAAGAAAAGCAAAATATTAGAAAATGACTCATTCTATTTCAAATACTTTGTCATACAAAAATGTGACCCAGAAAAAGAAATTTTTAAAAAGGCAAATGAAAAGACCGCCACTAACCTTTGTGTTGTAGTACTTTCCATCCTTGTACTTGCGGTCAATGAAGCGGACTCTTATTTGTGGCCGAAGCCAGAACTGCTCTTTTCGCTTGGGTGACCTATTATGTAGCAGCAAATAACAATTAGTACAAGAATAAGTAGCATGCTTGAATAACATAACCACTAGTAGGTGAGTTCTACTCTTCTACTCCCTCATTTCTTACAAACTTTTTTTAATAAAATGAACTTGACTGCTCAGTACATTCTCGCTTGACTCCAAACGAGTCTCGGCTAGAAAAGTGCTTAAGGGGAAACATGAGTATTTAAGATTAGTTCTGAATTCGAGATCGATTTTTGATCACACTTGAGTTCACATATATTTGTGGATTGATTTCAATTACACATATGAATTATTTTTCTAAATTGAGAGTTACAAAGTACCAAGTCAGCAATAATTTGAAATATATACTAATATACACAACAAAACAAGAATAAATATTCAAAACACATCTGAACAAAAGTTATGATAAATTGGCAAAACAAATGTTTGTTTCGCCAAGCAAACTCAACAGGTAATTATTTACAGGCCCCTCGCTATCAACCAGTTTCATTATGAGAGAGTTCCAAGCAAGAACGACAAGCCAAGGGGTACAAATATTGCTACCTAGCGTGTGCAGCTCTCGACTACATCAGCACACAGAACTGTGACACTGTTCCGCACGGTCCCCATGAAAAAGTTCCTTCAAATAGGAAACGAGACTGCAGTATTGCCAAATACAAAACTTTCAATGTGTGCGTCGCGACCACGCACGTGTGACCAGCTGCCGAGAAGTACAAACTGCTGGAACAAATTTGGCAAAAAAAAAATGGCGGCTATGACGTCATCGTAACTTGTTTTATTGACTCCAGCGTGGTAATGTGAGGAAAGTAAGGGAGTCCTCACGGGGTCCCTTTTTCCAGTGTCAATACCTTCGAAATTCGTGTAAAATACCTTCCAAGCTATATTTGCTGTAGATATTTTGCAGATAATATACACATGCTCACGAGAATTGATCCCACAGGCTATCTCGGTCGCAAAACTTTGTGTCAGTACTCCTTTAACAAAAGTCCACTGTACTACATCCAGTCACTTCAACTGGGTGCACATTTTTATGAGTTGGTACAACTGCACAGTACAGAACACGTTAGTAATCACATTCACTTTTCTGTGATGTTCAATATAATGTTACGGGAAGGAGATTGACTCAGAGGGGTAGTCACTGATGTATTTACAGCCGGTTAGGCGAGCAGCGCCAGCCACAAATATTAGCTCGTGCCAGTCTATCTGCTTTGTCTTCTTCAGCTCCATGCACTGGCATGTAGCATGACTCCCGGTGGTGAAGGCACCGTCCCGGAGCTTTAAAGGTCGTTATCTGACGCATTATTGTAGGGCTTGATCCGCGAGACGTGTACGATATCACTGGGCCGCATAGTAGATGATGATGGACAGATGGGGCTGATCTCGTAGGTGACAGGTGTTACTTGACGCAATATACGGTAGGGTCCCGTGTAATGAGACAGAAGTTTTTCGGATAGGCCCAGCCGACGATGAGGGGACCAGAGTAAAACGAGGGTACCGGGAGCGAAATGTACATCTCTATGTTCCGCATCGTACCGACGGCATTGGTTGGTTTGCGACGCCATCAGCCGAGCGCGAGCGAGCTGACGGGCATGATCGGCTTGCCCAATCCCGTCGCGGGCATACTCGCTGGTGGACGAGGTGTGAGCTGAGATGACCGTGTCCAGTGGTAAAGTAGGCTCTCTTCCGTACATTAAGCAGAATGGCGAAAAGCCCGCTGTGTCGAGACGGGATGAATTATACGCGAAAGTTGCGTAGGGTAAGGCAAGGTCCCAGTCTCGGTGGTCGGGCGACACGTACATAGCGAGCATATTTGTTAAAGTGCGGTTGAATCGTTCCGTGAGGCCGTTTGTTTGAGGGTGGTAAGCGGTTGTCAGTGTGTGTTGCGTGGAACAAGAACGCAGAATGTCGGCGATGACTTGGGATAGAAATGTACGGCCACGGTCTGTGAGAAGCTGTCTCGAAGCACCGTGAATCACTATAACGTCCCGTAACAAGAAGTCAGCGACGTCGGTTGCACAGCTGGTCGGTAGAGCTCGCGTAATAGCGTAGCGTGTAGCGTAGTCTGTAATAACAGCTATCCATTTGTTTCCTAATGTTGATGTGGGAAAAGGACCAAGCAGGTCTAACCCAACACAGTAAAATGGTTCCGCGGATATGTCAATTGGTTGAAGATGGCCAGCGGGTAGCAGCGACGGTGTTTTACGACGTTGGCATAGGTCACACGTGGCAACGTATCGGCGTACCGAACGAGCAAGGCCTGGGCAGAAAAAACGGCACCGGACGCACTCGTACGTGCGGGATACGCCAAGGTGTCCAGCCGTGGGAGCGTTGTGAAGTTCGGTGAGAACACAGCGGTGCAAATGCTTAGGCACAAGAATGAGAAGGTCGGGCCCGTCTAGTCGGAAATTGCGACAGTATAGCACACCCTTTTGAATGACAAAGTAGCGGACGGAAGCATCATTTGTGGAGGATTCCATACGGCTGATGATGTCAAGCAGCTCTGGATCACGCTTCTGTTCTTTCCCAATATTAAGGAAGTCGGACACTGACAAGATAGAGTTCTCCGTGGGCTCGTCAGTGTCCTCAGGATCGTCGACAGGGTACCGGGAGAGGCAATCGGCATCACGGTGTAGGCGGCCAGATTTGTAGACCACCGAATAGGAAAACTCTTGCAGGCGCAAAGCCCAGCGACCAAGGCGGCCTGATGGATCTTTCAGAGAGTTGAGCCAGCAGAGTGCGTGGTGGTCGGTAACTACCGAAAATGGGTGTCCGTATAAATAAGGTCGAAATTTCGCCACTACCCATACAAGAGCCAAGCACTCACGCTCTGTTATCGAATAGTTACGTTCAGGGCCGGATAGGAGGCGGCTAGCATATGCAATAACGCAATCATGGCCATGTTGTTTTTGAGCCAGCACTGCACCAATGCCATGCCCATTTGCATCTGTATGGATTTCCGTAGGGGCAGTAGGGTTGAAGTGTGCCAGAATCGGAGGGGTAGTGAGTAGAGGGACGAGAGTCGAGAACGCAGAAGCCTCTTCGGAGCCCCATGAAAACGGTACTTCTTTCTTGAGGAGCTGCATAAGCGGCCTCGCTATGTGCGCAAAATTTTTCACGAAGCGTCGGAAGTAGGAGCATAGTCCGATAAAGCTGCGTACTTCCTTCGCAGATCGTGGTACAGGAAAGTTTTTGACGGCGCTGATTTTTGCCGGGTCTGGTTGTACACCGTTGGTGTCTACTAAATGGCCAAGAACTGTGATTTGATGGCGTCCAAAGTGACATTTGGACAAGTTGAGCTGCAGGCCAGCGCGACGGAAGATTCCCAGGATGGCCGAGAGGCGCTCTATGTGAGTTTCAAATGTCGGTGAAAAGACGATGACGTCGTCCAAGTAGCACAAACAGGTAGACCATTTGAATCCTCTGAGCAGGGAGTCCATCATTCGTTCTAAGGTGGCTGGAGCGTTACAAAGGCCGAAGGGCATGACCTTGAACTGATATAGGCCATCGGGGGTGATGAATGCCGTCTTTTCACGGTCCATTTCATCTACCTCTATCTGCCAGTAGCCGGAACGAAGGTCTATGGAGGAAAAATAGTGGGACCCATAGAGGCAATCAAGCGCATCATCTATTCGTGGCAGAGGGTAGACGTCTTTTTTGGTAATTTTGTTTAGGTGTCGATAATCCACACAGAAACGCCATGCACCGTCTTTCTTGCGGACTAGCACTACAGGAGAAGCCCAAGGACTGCAGGATGGCTCAGTGATGTCCTTGGCGAGCATTTTGTCGACCTCACTTTGGATGATGTGACGCTCGGCCGCAGACACCCGATATGAACGCCTATGAATAGGATGCTCATTACCAGTGTTTACGCGGTGGCTCACACCGGTAGCTTTCCCCAACGGACGGCCGCTGATGTCAAAAACGTCAATGTAGGACAGCAGAACCCGGTGGAGCTCATCAGTCTGCTGCAGCGTTAAGTTGGACGCGATCATCGAAGTAATAGCGCGGTCGGAGCAAGTGGCAGATTGATGTTGAGCGTGAGGGTCAGAAGGGGCAGCCATCGCGAAAACATCTACCGCATTGTCTTCTAAGGCGCAGAGCGACGCCAAAGAGATCCCTTGTGGCAAAACTTGAGGTGTCAAGCTAAAGTTCACAACTGGGAGGTACGTAGAATTTCCTGCGACGGACAGAATGGTGTGCGGTAATGTAATGCCACGGCTTATGAGAACATCGGTGATAGGGGTCAGAACATAGTCACCGTCGGGAACTGGTGGTATTGAGACGAGCTCTATGTAGGTCAGTGTCTGTGGAGGGAAGCGCGCGTGTCCGGTTGTGCAGAGGCGACTCGGCCGTTGTGTAAGAGGTTCTGTTGCGGGCAAGTGTAGACGGAGCGTACTGGTCGAACAGTCTATGAGGGCAGAATGCGCGGACAGGAAGTTGAGGCCTAAGATTACCTCGTGGGGGCATTTATCAAGGACGGTGAAGAGAACAACTGTGTGTCGATCCGCAATGCTCACACGAGCGGAGCACATTCCAACGATAGATGCTATTCCACCATCCGCAACACGGACGAACTGAGTGGTCGCAGGTGTGAGAACCTTCCTGAGCTTGCGGCAACAATCACTCGTCATCACGGAAAGTTGGGCGCCGGTGTCGACAAGAGCAGTGACATGCCGTGTACTTGTACGTCTATGAGGTTCCGTTTTGTCGGTATCGTCAAAAGAGGATTTTCGGTCAGTCCAAGCGATGCAGCGCCGCCTCCGGGGGCTGCAACGCTTAGTTTTCCGTCGGGGAACCTCATGGGAAAGCGGGAGAAGATGGTCGGCGGGGCTGTGGAGAACGAGACTGGCGACGTTGGGGGGATGGAGAGCGGGAGTAGCGGTGTTCAGGAGCAGGTTCCTGGCAAAATGGTCGCGGCTGGTCTCATGGCGATAGGCAGGACGTGCATAGAAGGGAGGAGAGGACAGTTGTGCAGGAAGACCCCAGCGACTTCTGCAATGGCGAGAAATGTGCCCGATTCTGTGACAGGAGAAGCATATCGGCTTGTCATCGTGTGTTCGTCATGCGGACGGATTACGGAACGTTGAGGGAGAGCCGGTCGGGAAGGGACGTGCAGGCGTGTATCGGGGCTGGTAGTCGGTGCGGGGAGGCGGTGAGATAGAGTGAATTCCCAAGCTAGCGATTTTTTCCTGCCGGATGACTGCTTGAATGAGAGGCAACGTAATTGGCGGAGAGGGGTCAGGGGACGTTGGTGCCACCTTAGCTGGAGCAGCCGCTTCGAGCTCCCGCCTGACGATTCGCGTCAAGTTGTCACAGGTGTCTGGTGGATGATATGTGCCGAGACACGAGGACGTCACAGTGGTGTTCGGGAGGCGCTGGAACTGATGGGAGATGCGTCTGCTTTTTAGCTTGTTGGAACCGGCGGCATTCTTGAATGATCGCATCAGATGACACATTGTTGAGTACCAACAAGTTGAATGCATCATCGGCGATACCCTTTAGGATATGCGCAACTTTTTCAGGTTCAGACATATTTTTGTCAGCTTGGCAGCATAGTGAAAGGACAGCCTGAATATAACCGATGCAGGGCTCCGTGAAGATTGTGGGCGAGTCGACAACTCATTTTTCGCAGCTTCACGACGACCAGAGATGTTGCCAAAAAGCTCACGGATCTTTGCCTTGAAGCTGTCCCAGCTTGTTATGTCATGCTCGTGGTTATCAAACCGAACACGAGGGGTTCCGTCGAGATAAAATATGACGTTTGCGAGCATTAGAGTGGGATGCCACCTGTAAGTGGCGCTGACGCATTCGTAGAGGCGTAGCCACTGGTCGACGTCGGAACCCTCGCTGCCCGGGAACACGCCGGGGTCTTTGAGCGCGGGAAGCGTCACGAAAGTTGTTGCGGGCGCTGGGTTGACAGGTCGGGCAGAAGGGGGAGCGACCGAAGAGGATGTAGCCGAGTCTTGAGTGGTCATGTTGTAAGCCGCGAGAGAGCGTCCGCTTCGGAGTTCCGTGGCGAGGACGGGGATCGCACAACTCCACCAAATATGTTACGGGAAGGAGACTGACTCAGAGGGGTAGTCACTGATGTATTTACAGCCGGTTAGGCGAGCAGTGCCAGCCACACAGATTAGCTCGTGCCAGTCTATCTGCTTTGTCTTCTTCAGCTCCAAGCACTGGCACGTAGCAATATACACTTAAACCTCATTATAACAAAGTTGCATCTTACCCGAAAATAAGTTTCTTATATCCAAAAATTTGTTAACAAGGTATATTCCTGACACTATATCTATGGCACGACCATTTTCTATTTACTTTATTAAAACCGATATTTCGTTATACACCGTATTTACTCGATTCTACCGCGCCCTCGATTGTAACGCGCACCCGATTTCCACCGCGAAAAAAAAAAAAAAACGTAAGACATCGATTGCAACGCGCACCCATTTTTCTCGCTGGCCTGCACGATCACACCACTCGAAAAAAAAAAAAAAAATCGACTTCTTTCGGGAGCGTCTTCCATTTAAATATGAGGTACGGGCGAAGCTTGTGCCCATCTGACGTCTAACAGAGCATTGCCGTCACTGTAGTTTTACCGTGGACCGATGTCAGCACGCGAACTTGCTTCGCCCCCTTCTCGACGGTTGTGGTGCCAGGCATGTCGAAGTAAAGAGGCGTCTGATCGGCATTCCCAATTTGCCCAAGCATGTAGCCGTTGTTGCACCGCAAGTTTAGAACGAACCTCTGAAAACTGTGAAGCTTTTCATCGTACTCCTCCGCAAAACTTTTCGCGTATGCATGCACCCCTTCGGAGGGAAAAGCCTTTCCTCTTCATAAAGTTAGTTAGCCAGCACCTGCTCGCTTTAAACTGGCTCCGCATTAGACCTTTTTCTAAGACCAATTGCATAGCCCGCACTTGGAGCAGTTCTGTCGTCACGGGCCGCTGTGCCGCTCGCTGCTCAAGTACATACTCGCCAAGCAGCTCTTTAATTTGCGGAAACCGACCCTGCTGTGGTCCATTGAAGCCTTTGCGTGAAGCTTTGCTGTCGACAATCTTCTGCTTTTGTTTCCGCCGGTCCCGCACGCACGTTTCGGGAACTCCGAACGACCGCGATGCGGCCCGATTTCCGTCCGTTTCTGCACACGCGATGACTTTTCTTTTAAAAGCGGCATCGTGGTGCACTCGAGTTTTCGTAGTCGGCCCTTCCACGCCGTCGATGCTAATGCACTACTAGATGAACTCCTCAGCACACGTACGAAGTGCCGCACATGGGAAGCACATAGGCAGAAATGGCCGACGCGCCATGCCGACGCACATAGGGGGCGGCCATTTTGAACTTGCCGATGGCAATAGATTGACCGTAATTTTTTTGTTCGTACTCGATTCTAACGCGCATGCGATTTATGAACTGGCTTAACCGGAAAAAAGGTGCGCGTTAGATTCGAGTAATTACGGTATATCTATCCATGTTTGTTATATCGACGTTTGAGTTTACTATTTCCTAGACTAGGTATAGTACTCGTAGTCCCGAATGCACATCTTATAAAGGTAGCAGCATCGGCTTGTTTGCGCAGCATCGTTAATGAGGGAATTGAAGCGCTAAAAGGATGATGTGGACAAATGATTGATGAGCGCCCATTGTTTATCTACGCTCGTCCACATAGTCCGTTTAGCCTTCCACCCCCCTTAGTAATCTCCTTTTGTTTTTTGCACTGAGTCATACAGATTAAGTGTTTCTAATACTGACCTGGATCGCTCTCTCTTTTCAGCCGACTTGGACGATTCCCGTTGTTTTTCAACTCTGGACCTCTTGTGCGGCGTGTGCTTTTCGCGCTCGTCTCGTCTCTTCTCGGCCACTACTTCTTCCTGTGCTTCATGCTTTTTCTTGTAGTCATCATATTTTTCTTTGTCTATCGACGAACAGGGAAAGGAATGCATAAAGCTTGAAAGGGCACATGGCTGTTATAAACGCCTATTACACATGAAACTAACAGGTTAGACATGAATTCCGTACATCAAAATATACTGCTATTTTCCAGGACACGTTTTTCACAAGTTCCAGACCACGCTGCCACAGAATAATGTGGGATCCTGGAAACTTCTGACCACCCCTGTACATATGCATTCCTTAATCCCAAATACAGTTGAACCCCTTTATAAGATACATCAACTGAGGAACATTTCGTGTCTCTTATATCAGGTGTCTCTAATCAGCAAGGTACCATGTTCTCATTTTCTTGTTAAGCCCTATTTCAATGTAAGCCCACTGGCGTTTCTTATAAGTACCCAATTGTCTCTTTCATCAGTGTCTCTTGAAAAAAGGTTCCACTGTAGTTGAAATAAAGATGAGCAAGAAGCTCATACCACGAATAAAAATGTATTTTTCTTAGATTAAATATTTCCAGGGCTTTCAAACTGTCTAGCAATTATTCCTAGTTTCGACATCTGACAACCGATCTATCTGATCTATATCTGGCACATGAACAGCATCCAAAGTGAAACAATCAGTGCCTGGCTTACTTGCAGCAGAGAAACCAGCGCATACGCTCACAGCATAATCGCTGTGTATGTGAGCATAAGAAAACTCTGGGTGAACACTAGGTTTGTATGAATACTCGAATATTCGAACAGCTAATGCAGTATTTGAATTTGATTTTAATCGAATTTAAATTATTGAAATTTTTGAATTATTTGGGAATAACTAATAGGTGCATATTAGCCCTAGTGTACACACTGTTAAGGTGGTTTCAGTGCAGTGATGTTTCAGCAGCCGTAAAAACACATAATCGGGAGAAATCTACACCGCAGTGAAACACCACTTCAAGGTTAAATCAAGATATTAATAACCCATTGATTCATTTTTCACTTTAAAAGCTCGATATGGCAACCTATAGACTCTAAATACATAACATTTTAAAACATAAAATACCCTGCAGGCTATAACTTGCATTCTACCGAAAGTCAAATCCTGCTACTAATCGAAGTTGTTTCCACTTCTTTTGATGCAAAAAAAATGGCATTTGCACAGGCCTCGTTTCAACTTCAAAAAAGTGTTGTCTAGGTTAGTTTGGTCATGACAAATATGCCCCTTTTTCTTCATTATATGTAATATATATACTAATCTAATTTAATTTGAAGTCATTAACCAAAATCACTATTTGCTTCAAATTCGCTTCAAACCTGAAATTCACTATTCGCACAAGTCTAATGAACAACCATCAAGAAAGAGCTCACGAGTGAGACAATTTTGAAGAGAATAATTTTAGAAGTTTCCCATTGATGGCTACGTTACCACTTGTTCACTCGGCAGCTTCTTAATTGAAGGTCATCATTACCGTCGACGAGCTATTTCAGATTATTTTCGTCTTTTAAGCAAAAACTGTAATAATAAAACCTGTCATGAAAAAATAACTAAGCACCACTAAAACTCGATTTTATGGCACCCAATTTTATGAATTTCCCAATTGAACGTGTAAATTCGGATTTCCACCGCACTTGCCCATAGGCCTAATGCTTTTACATAATACTCAGAATAACAAAATACACTTCACTGCTGCACTCGATTTAACAATACATTACGAGGAAAAGGATGCACTGAAAAAGACATTTTTCCCAATTTATGGCATCTAAATTGTCTGCCAGTGTGCTGCCAGCATTCCAACTGGCTTCTGTGTTTTCAGAGAGCACCACAAAACTGTTGGCAAAGTGTCAAACAGGGAGTCATGCAGCGTAAACAAACAAGCAGACGACAAGATATTGGGAAGGTACGCCGCACAAGACATCTTCAATGTGGATGACAGCGGTCTGTTTTATCACATAGACGCTTTGATTTCACTGGCTAGTTAAAAGAATTATGTGCTCCCACTTCTCACGAATTGTGCACAGGCAATATGCAAGCTTTTTCACTATGCAATAAATTTGTCATGCTCTTCCTTTCACTAAACTCCCAATTTAACTAAATAATTCAGAGGTCCTGGTGACTTCAATTGATTAGCACTTTCATCAATTGGTGACTTCAATGCATTGGTGACTTCAATGCTTTTGATTAGCACTTTCATGACAGCGCCTATCCCCATCAATAGTACGTTGTCAATATTTACAACTTCAGTATTTGTCCCGTTCCGAGTGCTTGTGGCCATCTTACGCTATCCAGCGTGTAAAAGGAGAGGTATTTCATCAATTTCGCTTTTGTGTTTTTGTTTTTCATCTCGTTGGGATTTCAAAATGCCTTTCCTTATGCGCGGGTGAGCGTGAGTAGTTTCAATAATGGTGTGAACGTCGAGTGTGACCGCTTCCCGAGAACAGCATATTTCAGAGGATTCTCGAGCGTCTGGGCTGGAATCTTCAAACGACAACAGCACAAGCTCGAAAGACGACATCGACACTTTTGATTTCAGCACGGACGAGAGTTGATAAAACTGCCCTAAAACATCAGCGGTCGTCCACCGGTGAGTGCAGCTTTGTGCTCGGGCCGCGTTAAGGTTGGCGCGTGTCGATGTAAGTTGATCCAATGTGTTCTTAAGATTAGGGGCTCTTATCTTTAGGGTTTCCAGATTCTTCAGGCGGGACCACTTTTAAGCGACAGGGCAAAAAGTGCAGTTTCGTGTGCGGAGGAAGCCGGGAGTGAACCTTGGAACTGCGCTACAGTGTGCTGCGCGGCACTTCGTGAGAGCTGTCCACTTTCAGTCCGTTTTTTACTGCTCAAGTTATAGCAGAGAACAGAAAACAAATATTTTCAGTGAAACATGCCCAGCAAACTTGTGTTTTACCGCTTCGCAGAACTGCTTGGCAAGAAAAACATCACATGTAATATTATTCTATGTGCACAAAGACTTTGCATTTACAGTGCTTAGATTTACAGGATAGTCGTTTGTGTTCCTTATTCTTACATTGTATGTTTCGATTTTTGTTTATGCTTACCCTGTTCAAATTTTTTTGTTCATGTTATAATTTCTCCTCATTTGATCATTTTTTTCCTACTGTTAATAAATTTGTGGTTTTAAACTGACCTTCTTTGAAAGATAACTCTTAGCTTTACAATTTCATACCATAGACATTAACATCAGAAACTTTGGGTGCCATAAACAGTAACGTTCCCTGGACTACCTAAAAACAGCCGAATTTCTCATGGTCACCAAACTGTTAAAATATATAAAGCTGATTTTCGATTGCAGCACAATGTGGTGCTAATTGTTTATTTGTGGCTCAATGTGGATGAAATTAAAGATTTTCTCAAATGCACGATTTTTTCCCTTAAGATTTAAAAACTTCAGTGATCCGAAAACATTCTTAATTCAAAATTTACCTTAAGTAGAATAACTACTGATCACTGGGATATTTACACAAAAGACAGCATTGCAAGAGAAAAAATACATAAACGTATAATATTTTGGTAATATTTTTGGAGGTGTCTATGTCAGAAAAACTGCAGTAATAATGTTATGAAGCTTTGAACATTTTACACAAATGTCTGCGCCTAATATGTAAAACAAATTTCACATTAAAATGAGAAACAAATTTTATGACAAACATCACTCAGACAACATTATGCGAAATTATGAAGGCTATCATGGGACCAAAAAACTTTTCCCTCCGAAATATTCAAGCAATTAACTGCTTACAATACAATAAATCAGCAAGATTTCGAGTGAATACAATTGAGATGGTTGCTATATTGACTGGGAAGTTAAGTGTGGAATGACCCAACAACACAAAAACTGCTGACAGCCTGGCTTCTGTACATTGGATTTAATTGGTTATATAATAAACACTGTAACAAGAGAAACACTGTCTTAATTATAAAAGGGTTATTGAGGGCTGCATAGGCATATTTACGAGTTATATAATTGAGCTATTTTCAGACACATGCTAATAGTGATAGAATATTTATATGGCTGAAGAAGAAAGCCCACAAATTATAGAAATACCACCACACGACAACACTGCAACACACATCAGGAAGCTGCGCCCTTATATGAGCTCTACAGTTTGTGCCTGCGACAAGCAACAGCAAGCGATTGTTTAACAAATGAATTGAATTTTCACTTACTCAGTAGCTTTCCATACTTCTGGTAATCCTTTTTACTGACAAGACTGACAAAGAGCTCACTGACGGTCACTGTTTTGCCACCTAGAGCCAGCTTTACAATGACACGTGCATTCTCATCATCAAGGCCTTCCACCTGAAGAAATTGGAAGAAAAAACAATTAAGAAAATCAGCTGTAGCACTGAAAATTTTCCCACAAAAAGTTACAGCCACAGGCTCAAGATCACCACCTTTAGGACATGCTTCTGAAATGTGTCATGACGTACCACAAGCAATTTACATTACAACTACAGACAGTAGACTCGGTAAACAAAAATGACTTCAATGGAACTGCTGCCTAAATGGAACTGTCCATAATATCATTGGTTTCATACTTGAATTCCGCAGTCCTGTTCATCTCTCAGTAAACGGAACTCACATTAAACAGAATACATTTGCCTGGGCCCTTCAGGTGCCGTTTACAAGAGTTGACTGTATGTATATCAAGAAATTATTAACATAGCATTATTGTAAGAAACAAGCCAACTTTCTAAAATTTCACAGGATCTCCTACGCATTCGCTCAAGGCCAAAATCTACCCAATGTAACTCCATCATCATCATCATCAAAGCTCGAGAGGTCACATGAGTCACCGAACAATCTGCTGATGCTGATGCATTATAGCTTGACTTTTTGAAATAAGTTGGCAGCTTTTAAACCAACCACCCGCTAAACAGTTCACATAGCATGACACATGGTGGGATTCTATTCTCTTTCCATGCAATATTACCATACATCTGTTAACGTATCTGCTTGCCCTCGCCATGATGAAAGCATGTTGTTATTATTTTTTTTTTTCAGAAGTGGTTTCAAGCACTTCTGCTGCAGTATAATATTTAATAGCCATGAAGAATACTCTGCTTGATGCTAGCTCCATAACCAATTTTTATTCCACTTTCATTGGTCACTACTGTCACGTGTTTCCGTACCCCGTGCCACGCTTTGAAGGCCAGCATCTTATGAAAAGCAAGACAACAGTTACCTGCCCATAGAGGTCTTTATGTGAGCCTTCCTCAATACGGATGTAGGCTCCTGTCCTTAGGACGAGGTCCCCATCTTCCTTGGCCACAAGAGGAGGAGGCTTCGCCATTTTGCTGTCAGCCCCGAGGCCCAAACCCTTTGGTCTCAAGACAGCTTCTATTGGTTTAGCTATCCTGCAGAGATCAAACACATATCAGTTCATAAGAAATTACACACCGAATTCACATCTGTGAAGTGATAGCAGGACAAGTTTGCACTACAATAAAAATCAGTTTTTTTCAATCTACCAAGTAAGCTTCAGATGAAAAATCAGGGCAGTATTTGGCTTGTTCAACAATTAACCAGCATATTTTAGTTTCGTCACTTCCAAGCTTATTATTTTGTACTTGTGAAAACTTTTTTGTGCTAAGAGAGTATAGGCCTGGGTGTGTTGGCTTTAGGATGGTCCATCAGTAAAATGGACTGTTTCCTGCTGCTCCGTCGGTCACCATTGCTATGGGAACATGGAATGTTCTTGGCAATCTCGTTCTCAGCGTGCTCACGAATAACAACGCCGCATGTTGCATTCTTGCAGCTCCGGCCACCGGTCACTTGTGCTAATCTTTTTCGGTTGAAACTGTACATTCCAAATAAGAATAGTTAAATTGCAGCATTAATCCACATCTAATGCATTTTTTCTTTAGAATGTGCCCTGATTATTCGGTAACTTCTTTTTTGAAATAGTGCATACTGTTTCTATAAGTGGTGTGAACTCACTCAGTACAGCGAGCACCGATGGGCTTGCCTGGGTTCCACCCCATGCCCCTGAGCATGGCTAGGCCATATTCCTCAATAGGAACACTTTCATAGTCTTCTAACGTAGACTCCTCGGCTCGAAGTGACACGTCGACTTTGTCATCTGTCTCGAAGCCATCGGGGACTTTGTTCTGCATTAACAGCGGTATGCTTATGTCTTTGGTGGTTCCCTTGCTGTCCAAGTTTCCACAGTTTGCTGCTTCTGAAAAGAAACAATTTGGTGGTACCTGTTCGTCACCTTCAAATGCATTTCTTATTGCCAACTCCTACCCGTAAGCACATTTCTGTACCCCATGCAACCAGCCGTAGCCAATAAACAATGTGATGTGCCTCGTTATTTCAATAGCCATCACAACACTTCTCTGCAATTTTTGTTGCAAAAAAAACTAAATGGGAAGAAAGCAAAAAAACTTAATTGTGCATTTTTAATAAATTAATACTTCAAGCACACCAGACATGAGGGGTAGCACTAAAAGGTAAGATCACTGTAAATGTGACAGCAGTATAAATGATAATGTACCCTTTAGCTTGCTCACTTATACTTCAATCAGGTATCAGCAAACTATCTGTTTATAAACCACTGAAAGTTGCCACTCAAGTTTGGCAGTTTATGTTTCACTTTGTCCCTGTCCTTTCAGTGCCCTATCTACTTTACTCAAGCAATGAACCACCTCGCTCGGCAAGAGGTCCTGTTGCATGAGAGCCACTTTATCTTTTTCATACTAAAGACTGTGCTGCCAAAATGTCTTAAAGTGGTAGACAGTGTTCACAGAAAGTTTCAGGCACATGTGCCAAAATATTTGCATTCCTCACAACCCAACTATACTGCAGGCAATTAAAGAGGATATCCCGACTTGATCATGTAGCTGGCAAGTGCAAGTTTTCCGCTGCAAATAATCATGTTACTGGTTACACAGACATCTTATCAATACTGCACAAGATAATGTAACACATAAAAAAAAACATAGATGTCTCTTTGGCTTTATTGGAATACCTGCCTTTATATTCTCTGTGCGCATTCTTTACTGCATTTTGGGATACAACCAAGACACAGGTTTGTCAGAAGCACTGACTATTTTTTGGTCACAAAACAATTCTACCCACCGAGGATCTTAACCTACTCATAAGCACGATACCAGTGCTTACAATCACACGTGCTTGATTGCGAACTCATTTTATTCACCTACATTTTTCATTCTTTTCAAAGTCATGTAAGGAAATGTCTTAAGTGAAGCGAAAAGATGAATTAATGTAAGCATGCATTGGCACTTTATAAATCGCCTTATTGACCACATTTTCTGAAATTTTACAGGCTTTATATTTGTTGCTTCACCTGGTGTGCACTGACCAAGGGCATAGCCGCCAGAATTTTTTTTTTTTTTTGGGCGGGGGGGGGGGGGGGGATGTACCTCCTTGATTTTGGGGACTGCACCCTCTAAATTTTTTTTACTGTATGCCATAGCACAAAAAAAAATCGAGGGTAGGGGGCATGGTGTGCCACCCCCTGGCTATGCCACTGGCACTGACATGTGCCGTGATAAACAGAGATTTTGCTGAAGTTGTGGCACTAGTACAGTAAGCTCACATGCTTTTCATGAGATAAAACTATGGTGACATCTATCAACTCATCTGCTTAGGAAGTTGGTGTTAGGGTGACCACATGTGCGCGTTGCTAGTCACAAAACTACATACGCGACGCAAGAATCACACCAAGGAACCAGCAAAACACAAGTTGAAGTTGTCCTGATTACTTATTGTTTCGGTCAAAGAATTGATCATTCACAACTAGTAAAGACCGGAAGAAAAAGGTGCAATAAGATACCTGCAAGTATTTCTTTAATGGCTTGCTGCTCCAAGGAGAGTTCTGTTTTGTCTTCATCGGGTATATGGATGTCTCCTGCATCTTTCTGGGTACCTGATTTTTCGTTCTTTGGTACCCTCCAAACGTTGTTCTTTATAAGTGGGATAACCAGCTCTTTCTTCTCGGCCTTTGGTAGCGAACTGAAAAAAAGCGAGAAGAAAAGGCTGCAAGTGAGCTGTAGTAAATCTCTGTATTTTTACGCCCACATGTTAGAGAGGACAATATTCCAGTCGGCCTAAGCTACACATACTGCTAATGTCACTTCTGTAAGATTTCGCAGCATTGTATTGAAGACAATATCGTTCTCTTCAAAGACAATCACGATCCAAGTAAACATACGAGACGGTTTTGGTACCTTTTCACAACACTGTCGTCGACGGAAACTACGTAATCCCTTTCTTCATTGACTTCACGTTCTGTTCTACTATTTTCGCAGCTTAGTACTTTGTTCTCGACTTTTTTTGTGAATTTAAAACTGAGACTAGCTTTCTCCGCTGGGGCAGCAGCTGCCATCTTGGGAACCACGGCAGCTCAAAACGTTTCGAAATCGTAACCAGGCCTCTTCCAATTCATTTACTTTCACACGTTTCAATTTATAACATTTATTCTAAATTCAAACACTTTTATTTACCCCAAAAGTTATTTCACAAAAAATATTAAAGCTTAGTGCAACAAATTACAATATTCAACAGTAGTGTTCATGCTTGGTCACTCAGTGCCGATATGCCGCTTTATTACTTGACATCAAGCCAAGCTTCTAGCCAATCCATAGTGGCGTGCGTGTAATTTTGTGTAACCACGGTGTAACCAACGCAACGCTCCATGTGTAGTCTCTGTCTTTCGCAGATTGTACTTCTTGGCTTGGTAGTGTGAGTAGTGCCACTTAATCAACTACGCTATGGTGAGTTCATTCAGCATCTTAGGTGTCGTTTTGTGTAACGCGCTTTGATGGCCTGAACTTCATACGCACTTAAATATGCATATTGACATTTATCTTGTTGTCACTGCAGTTGCGGCGGCTTGCTCGCGAAAGGCGAGAATACTTGTATAGGAAGTCAATCGAGGACAAAAGGAGAACCATCGAAGAGAAAAAAGAGCGCCTAAAACAAGCGCTAGAAGGTTTGTGCGAATGATCTGCGGCTATGGCTCTCGCGTAGTGCGCAGCAAAGCGTATGTTTTTCCTCATCTTCGTGTTATTATCATTTTGTTTTTTAGAGAACCGTCCGATTCCTTATGAACTACGCGAGGAAGCTCTTAACTTGCAGCGTGCCTTGGACTGGGATGATCCCGGAGGGGAAGGTAAGCTCGTGAATCAGCAAAGCGCGCATTGTGTGGCTCACAGCAGTGACATAATACACGGTTTGGATGTCACCGTGCCAGAACATTATGTGCTAGCCCGGTGCACAAGCCTTGAGTCCGCATGTTGACGCTCACTGTTGATCAAGTAAAGCTTCGTGTGTCAGGAATGCGAATCTGTAAGGCTTCTTCATCGCAGGTGTGGTGAGTCATGAAGACGACGAATACCGTTGGGCAGGAGTGCGTGACCCCAAGATTGTTGTAACAACTTCTAGGGATCCAAGTTCCAAGCTAAAGCAGTTTGCCAAGGTGATTAGCGACCACATACAAAACTTCTATTGCATTTTTTTCGTTGACATTTTATGTTAACTGGAATAAAAATGCACCTTGAAAACAGTCTTGTCCATAACGTGTGTATGTGTCAAGCAATGTTCTTATGCCTGCTTCATAAATAAGACTGCTCACAAAGAGGAAGTATTTGTGTGTGTATTTTTGTGAGACAGAGAATATGTAAAAAATTATTCGAATCAAAATTAAACCACTTTCAAACGATACAGCAGCTTTTTTCTTCTTGATCAAGGCAGGTCGGAGCTCACTGGACTTCATGCAAACAAATTAGTTAATTGTACTTTATATAAATACATAAGTGTTGCTTTTAAATACCTAGTTAAAGAACTAGTAATGCTGACATGAAAGATTTATTTTCCAATAAAAGATACACACAATATTCTTACCTGTTGTGGCTTGTATGCAGAATGACAGTGGCCGATTTGTCTTCCATGCAGGAAATTCGGCTAATCTTTCCCAACGCTCAGAGGATGAATCGTGGTGGCTACGAAATGAAGCAGCTCATCGAAGCCTGCCGTGCAAATGAGGTCACAGACTTCATTGTTGTTCATGAGACTAGGGGCAATCCAGGTGTGTTTCTGTGATTATTTTAATTGGGGCTTCACAGTGCCACTATGCTGATTATTAATAAACTATGGCTGCAACCCCATTCCTGTATTTTTCCAGATGGCCTGGTGGTCTGCCATCTTCCATATGGGCCAACAGCCTACTTCACCATATTGAACACAGTCATGAGGCATGATATTCCCAACATTGGCACAATGTCGGAAGCCTACCCCCATCTGATCTTCCACAACTTCAAGACCAGGCTTGGAAAGAGGGTAAGTTCTTTAAAACACCTGTTCCGGCGCTGGAAATATAAAGCACTGGTGCCATCAGCACCATTTGTTGAGCAAGGTTCATTTATTTATTAATTTTATTTATGTTACCCTTAGTGTCAATACACTTAAAGATGTGAGTGGTAATAGAAACAAAAAAGTGAGATTATAATTACAAAGAAGCCACACACTGTTTGAGAGGGATATACAACATTTCAAAACCAATATATGCATGTTGAAGAATTAAGTGCAGTGTTTCTAATTATATCATAGCTATTAAAGTTCAAGAGACAGCAAGATCTTATGAAACACTCGTTAACAAAGGTTTAAATGTGTCATAATCTGAAATTGTTATTTACCCTCCTTCTCAATATCACTGCCACCATTTACTAGGACTATGAGTAAAATTGGATACATTTTTAATGACAAAAGAGGCCCTTCTTTCATTGCTCTCACAAGTATCATGCACAAATGGTTGACCTGACCTAGGTAGGACAAGAGCTTGAGAAATACTATTGTGCGGCTGCTGCAACAGCCATGCCGGCGTGTGTGTAGGGCAGCTGTGAGTGACCTGGAAACTACTTCACATTTCATCATAGTTTATGTCCTGTGGCAACATGGTATGAAAGTACTGTAGAAACTCATTTTAGCTATGTGATGACCACGCTTGAATTATTCTACTGGATTAGCAGCTTTGTAAGATCAAGAAAAAGACTTTCTGATCCTTTGAAATCTGGAATACTGACACCCAAGAGCTATCACGAAACCTTTTTTTTTTTTTGCTTGCTAAACACAGCTGCGTGTCTAAAAAATTTGGGCGGTGCAGGCCAGGCGGTCATGAGAAGCTATTACAGGCTACAGGATCATGGAGTGACGTAGAAAACGAATGCAACAATAGTGAAAGTAGGCTGCACGAGAAAGATGCGAGGAGTTAATGAGTGTTATCTCTCACATAAACCACAGAAATAACTAAAGCAGCCACCACCGCCTCTAGCACCATCCGGCATGTAAAGAGCGCTATCGACTGCTGTGTCCATGCATGGATGCGGCATGCAGCCTCATCAAAGTAAACCTAGTATTGTAACTAAAGTACCTAGATGCTTTAATTCTATAGCATTCGAGTCGTACATATTACAGAATCTCATTAGAGAAGCCCAGTGAGTGCTTGTAGGAAAACCCATCATGCTTAAAATTGGAAGGGAATTACCACTTGTTCACTGAGTTACTTTAGAAAGAACTTTGGTACATTGGATTAGGTGGCCACATTAGTGCAGTGATTTGGGTTGATGTCAACACCATTTCCCAGGTAGCGAAAATTTTTTGTTAGATCGGGAACTTAATTATGTCAGGTTTCGTGAAATTAAGTTTTCACCGTAGCTAAGTTTTGATCAGCCATGGTGAGAACATCACTTCTTGCTGAGCTAAGCTCCGCGGTTGGATAAGGTGTTAGATTAGTAGCCCCTTCATCCCTTACAGGTGGTCAACATCCTCAAGTACCTTTTCCCGGTCCCGAAGGAGGACTCCCACCGCGTTGTCACCTTTGCCAACCAGGACGACTACATTTCTTTCAGGTGAACAAAACTCTTCTTAAACTACATTCTTGGCTCTCCAAAAAGATAAACAAGGCGTATTGGAACGTTTATGTTAATTTTAGTTTTTATGTTCATGGGGCACGGTGAAGGTAAAAAACCCCTGTTGCACTACATTGACCAAAGTAAAAATTAAAACACAGAGAAATGGATGTTGAGACATCCTCACCATCACATTTTGTTTGTTGCACAAACTGCTATGAAAGACTGGCTTCTTGTGCCATCACGTGCTCTTTCTTGGTCCTTCATTCTGTTGCTGTAGGTTGACTGTCACATCTACTTTTTCCTGCAATGCTTCCTGAGTGCATGCTGTATTTTCTTGCATATAACCTTTACAAGATGCACTGAAAATTTGTATCAAATGTCAGGGTGCAGGTTATATGCAAATGTTGGTGTACAAGGTAGCTTCACAGCAATATAAGGGGGCCTTTTTTTTCTTGATTTGTAGCTGAGAGTGTGTACTCTATGGAGGGGCAGATTGTACAGAAGGAAATATAGTATTATAGTCAAGGGTTTCTGCAAGCTAGGTGCCTCATATATCTGTATGAGATTTCTTTTCTTTGATCTGATCACCAAATAATGCTATGACTGATGAGTCATGTCATCTTCTTGTGACATCTGTTTATCTCCCTTCTCACCTTCACGAAATTATTCCTGATATTTCAGTCTCTTTATGCAGTGCAGCCATTCAGTTTGAAATGTGCAGAGGGCAGGTTCTTATACTGTCACACAAACTTTTAGATTGTCTAGCCCAATAGACCGTTCATCTGAAGTAAATTTCTCATTTGGTGTTGAAATGGGGTTGCAATTCAATTGTTTAGTGAACTTGATGGTTTGACACCTTTTCATGCTTGGCTCTATGTCTGGTTTTTCTGAGCAAAACAAACATGCAGAAGGCGAGCAGTATAAAAAGAGCATCATGAGTAACGAGCTATATAGAGGTAAAGACAAACATTTTTAATTAAAAAAAAAAGGACTAGGTACTGTTTGCTGCATATTTTTCTATTAAAAGTGTAGGTTCTATGCATGTAAAAGAAGAAGTGCTTAATTTTGGTGTGATAAGGTCTAAAATACTTGTGACAAACTGTTTCAAAATCACTGTCTGCTAAATGTAGCAGATATTGAGTAAAGCAGGCTTGCCATGAAAGCAAACTGTCATGGATGCAGTGTCTAGAATTAGATGTTGCGTCTACTTGTGTTGTCTTAAAAGCAGCACATGCATTTTGTGCAAACATCACTTCTCCTGGCTTTGTTGGCACTCTGCATATTTCATCTGTGTTAAGTATAGAACAATTTACACCAATGTTCTCACCCCTTTTAATAATTCAGCAGTTTTCTGTCTCAAGCAGCACCAGCAGAAGTTAACATGAAGTTGCTTGCCTAATACTGAAGAATAAACCATACCACGACTTTTCATTCTGGAAGTTAAATGGGAAATTGTTAAGGAGCATCAGGCAGTGACAGGCCCTGA